AAACATTCAGAGAATGAGATAGAATACTGACTCTGCTCTGTCTGAAAAAGGGACACACCATTCTACTGCCTCATGAACTGACAAGAGACTCGATTATAACTTTAGTATACTTAAAGGTCCTATATTACACAAGCTTTAAGTCATGTTATAATGTTGTTACCTCCTCAAAAACAGACCTGGAGTTGTGTTTTGTTTCACTCACATATGTTTGAGTAATTATTTTTATTAGTCTGTCTGCATCTCCAAAGCTCAAAATGCTCTGTTCCACCTTGTGATGTCATGAAGCTGTAGCTGTCAAGTTAACAGCTACATTTCACTTCTAGTTCAGTAAAGACTGTCATTTCCAAGTCTGAAATTATCCAAATGATTCTGGTGAAGGTATACGGAGTTTAAAAACACAGTGGAACACTTTATGTATTCCCACATGACATCACAGGGGCCAAAGTGTTTTCTGTTTGAGAGAAGAACTCACCTTAAAAATGCAGGGTTTGAGTGTTAAACGTGTGAATGAAACAAAACACAACTCCAGGCATGTTTGTGTTTGTGATGAGGAAACAACATTATAACAGATAAGAAAATAGCATTATATGAATCTTAAACATGAGATCAAACCCCATAGACTTTCAAATAGGTCTGAAAAGCCGACAGACTCACACTTTTTTGGAGGCGCGCAGATGCCGGGGCAGAAGTGGGAGGCCAGACACACACGGCCTGGGTCAGTCTGAGCACAAACACAAGGAGGTTAGATACTCCACAGATCTGACACACTTATGTTCAAATAGTGTTTTATATTTTTTTGTATTTCACAAAAAAATAAAAGTCCTCCTCACCACTAGCTGAACTCTGCCTCCGTTCAGAATATCCCGCCTCATCCTTGGTAAGAAACTCTCACTGAAATAAAAAAAAAAGAGGTGGTATTTCACTTCTATGGGGTATTAATTGCTAACACATTTGGATCACCATGTTGCCCTTTATTCTTTTGAAAATACTATATTTGCTGAAAACAACATATCAACACATTTCATTTGTTTTTGATGCTCTGAGTCGAAAGTCTCCTTCACAGTGTTATTACATTATAATCAGCATATGTTTCGCTAATGAAACATCAGGTTTGTCGAGTTGTTGTGTACTGTTTTTTAACATGTTTTTGTATATTTATGGAGAATTGTTGTGTAGGTGACATAGACTTGTGGGTGGAGCATCAGACAAATCTTACAGCTTACCAGAAGGAGGGTTTGAATAGGGCCTGGGAGAGATTGCTAAAATATGCAAACATGCATGGATGACATCTAAAATCTCTTCAAACATATTTTTGATGAAGAAACAAGGCTAGAACATTCCAAAAAGTCAATTTTGCAAAATGCACCTTCTTTTAGGTATGATAATGCAAACAAAATGAATGAATTAATAAAGAGGACACTGACTCCTTAATAAACCTGTCGGAGTCTCACCTGTTTGTCTGTGAAGGCTTCTTCTGAAGTTCGGTCCCTCTTCCTGCACATAGCAGAAACAAGCACAAGCAGAGAGCGGACAAAATGATGACATTATTTATTTCAGAGGTCTACCACAACAAGAATGCATGTTTTGCAAGTTATTTTAGTAATAAAAACACATGTAATTGAATAAAGGCAAAGTAGAAATGTAATTCCATACAGTGGAACAATTCAGACTAACAAAAACATCTCCATGGAGACAAGCAGACGGCAAAACCTCCATCAGAAAAGTTACATCCTGCCCCTTGAATACTTGCAAAAGAGGTTCTAGATACATCTGTGCACCATTCACTAAATTCATAAGTCTTTGTAAAGTAGATACTGGAATAACTTGTCTAATAATATCAGCACTATTTCTCTAAAGCCCATATGACAGGTTTTCATGTTTTTCTAATTCTGCCTTGGCTTGGTAGGATAGTACCTGTGGTCAATATACATTATAGTTTCAAGTGGCTGCTATTGAAGGAAAATTGAGAAGAAAAGTTCAAAATACAGGAAGTTGCACTGACTTTTAAAACAGAATCCCTCTACCTATGTCAGCAACACGGAAAACTCCAAAATGCAGACTATTTACGCACAAGGAAGGCTTTTTCCTCACAGTTTAAACCTTCATATAACAAAATAAAGGTGTTTCTCTTTATTTTTATTCATCTTATCATGACTATTGTGTAATTTAGACAAGCTCTGACTCATGTTTACATTATAGTTGCAAAGAAATAGTTTTGGAATTACCTCTACATATGTCACATCTGCTGCCTGTGTTTAGCCAAGAAGTACAATTATAAACTTTTCCAAAATTAAAAAATATAAATTATTTAGGAAAATCTTAAACATAATAATGCTAGCTATGTTCTAGTGAAATAAATAGTTTAACATGTCATATGCACTTTAAGCTCCTCTTTCTATCAGATTTGTGAGTGACTGTGGCCCTGCGGTGAGGAGAGGCGTCCCAAATCCAAACCAGATGAAAAGCGGTGAACGCGCAGAGAGCTCAAGTTAATAAAGTTATTTTGTATTTCAGAGCCTAAACAGCAGCTTGGATTTCAGCGCATGTTTGTAGGAACTCGGAGTGTGAAATTCAGTTAAGTGCTTAGGAGACAGGAGACAGGAGGAGGAGACAGGAAACAAACAAGGAGCTAACCAGGAGAGTTTGGACGCGGATGTTTGGGGAAAAACTGAAAGAGAAAAACTGTAAACATGGGGAAAGTATTGAAAGCTGGGAAGGCTATATGGAAAAAAATATGAATGTGTCATTTTTTTAGAGCCAAGGTCAGAATTTGAGGATTTTATCTTGAGTCACGCTGCAAAAAGGAATATCTGAATTGTTACTTAAAATGGGAAAAGTGCATATGACAGGTTAGACTTAATTTACAAAAACACAGTTAACATCATATTTTACAAAAAAAACTTGCCTATTTTTTTCTAGTTTTTGAAGTCTGTTTGCTATTGCTCAATAGATACAATTAGACTAATCATAATAAAGGACAACACCTTTATTGTATTAAATGCTTCCTGTATTTTTGTACATTTGTTCTCCACCTTTCTCCACAAACTGACACTTAACAGATGTAAACCTATGGTAAATATTTACCACAGGTACTACCCTGCCAAACCAGGCCAAAATTATAAAAACATAAAAAAACAGTCAAATTTGTAGTTTGTAGTGTATGGAAATTACCCATCCTTTAGTGTTTCTGGGTTAAACCTGCCAGGAGCAATGGGTTCCATCTACAGGTCTGAGCAGGTCTTGGTCAGGGCTACCTTAGCTGGGGGCTTAACTGTTTTTTTAATGCAAAAAAAAAAGTGTATTTTCAGTGGTCTGCTTCAGTTGGCCTGCTGGCGTGAAAGCTGATCAGGTTTGGAGTGGGTCAGTCCTGTCCACGTGCCCCAAACATAAACAGCGAGAGGGGGATATCTGAGGAGGAATCTCCCTGAGCTCTAATCACCTCCAGAAAGAGCACTCAGGCCTGAACGCAAGCCCCAGAGAGAGCTGGAGAGCTGGGTATAGAGAAGAGAGCCAACTGGGGCAGGCTTGGTTCTGGTTGATTAATCTACAAACCCCAAATGGATATCCCACTGATGATAAGATAATGTAGGTAAAGTGTCTTGCCTAAGGACAAAACAACAGTTTGCACTAGAATCACTGCTGCCATTCCCAGCCATCTCCCATCAAACCAGCCTCACCTCTGATCTTCTGCTCCCCTTGTCTGTGCTCCTCTGGTCTGGACCTCATCTTCTTGGCTCTCCTGAGCATCAGCAGAGCTGTGCATCTGTCTGTGAAGCCCCTGAGTCACAAACAGATGGTTAAAGCACACTCACAAACCAGGAGGCCGGAGACTGTAAAGCTCATTACAAGTGTAAAGCCTCATTATTATTATTATGGCATGAGATGAGACCTGTCCATTGTCACAGTAAGGCACACTAATGAGTCTGCGTGTGTGTGAGGGAGAGTTCATCTGCTCTGTCGTGTGCACAGAAAACCACAAAGTCAAACTTGAGTGTTCAGGATTTTGTGAGAAGAAACATCAGAATGGCACACAGGGAAACAGTGGCTCAGGGTTTAGAAAGGTCATCCACCAACCAGGAGGTCACAGGTTTAGTCCCAACTCTGATCAGTTTGAATGGTATATTGGATAGGATATATATTGAAAGGTTTATTGTTGGACTGGAAACTTTTCCATTGTGGGACCAATAAAGGCTCTGTTGAACTAGCTCATGTTGTTGTGTCCTTGGGCAAGACACTTCCCTTCACAGTTCTGTGGTTATTCTACTGTAATGAGTAATTTAGTTCTTGTATATGAATGTGTGAGTGAGTAGTTTGTGTCTTTAAACTAAAAGAATTGTATTTTTAAGACAGATATTTACCATTCTTCTACAATCTTCTCAGATCGTTCTGAGAGCCCACTGAGCACTGCTGAACGGAGAGGGGATGTGCTCCTGAAATTACATAAAAAAATTAACCATAAATCATGTCAGCAAATCTGCAACTTGAAAGTAAACAGCTAATTCCACCATAGATTTCTGACCCCTTCCTCCAGCTCAGTGTTAAAGGACACCCATGCTGTCTCCTTGTTTATACATTTAATTGTGTTTTAATAGTGTCCCCTCATCATTATCTTACTCAGAGTTGTAATATTTAAAGTCCTACTGTGATACTTTTTAACCAAAATTCTAAAATTAAAGTGTGTTTTTTTCATTTTGGTTGTATTTATTGTACTGAAAAATGTATAAAAACATTCATCCTTAATGTGAGTGGGCTTGCATCTACATAAACCTGACACTTATTTGGCCCTTAGGATGGCCTGCTCCTGCTTTTTTCCATGGAAATGTTGTTTCTTTGGCTATAATATTCCACAGTATGGCATAAAACAAAGTATGGTTTTAACTTTCCATTTCCATAGAAGCATGCAGGTGATGTGAAACCTCCAGAGAGTGACACAGTGTTGCTTTAATACAGATGGCGGTCAACTTGAATCTTTAGGTGTGATGCATTAAAATGTGCCCCACCTGAGAGAGAGCGAGGGTGAAGGTGCTCTTGTCATCTCAGAGCTCCAGGCCTGTTTGGATCTAAGGTCTGTCACTGAAGGAGCTTCCCAGAGAGAGGTGCCACAAGCCTGGGGACAAATGCACAGTTAGTCTGCCCCCCAACAGAGAGGCAGCTGTCTCCTCCTCTATGTGTGGAGGTTGAGGGTTAGACTCCTGATCTCTCTGAGTGGAGTGTGCATGTCCTCCCTGTGTTACTGTGGCAGAGTGGTTATCCTGTCTCTCGCAGTAAGGAGGTTGTGGGTTAGACTCTCATAGTGAAGTGGGCTAAATTCCTGGGAGATTTTACCTCTGTTAAAACAATAGCAGACTGTTTTCTGAAGCATTGATGGTGGACACTTGTATCAGGAGTTATGTCTCTCCCCAGACGCGTTGCTGTTAGACTTGTGTACATTACAAATATATGATGCAGAAGACACACAGCCATGTCCGGTCACCACTCTGTTTTTCTTGGAGGATTTTGGAGTTTTTACGTTGAAGGAATGCCCATATTTAAGTCAAATCTACACTTTAATTATCCTCCAGCGCTTATTTTTACTCAGTGTGCGAGCTGTGAGGTTCATCTGTGCTTTGATGTGTAGGTTTAAGTCAATAGAAGGAGGAGAGAAAGGGAGAGAGCGAGGGGGAGAAAGACAGAGGGGGTGGGTGTAAAATGTGATGTATAAACTATGTATGCGTAAATAAATGTATAGTAGATATTGTACCTTAGCAGACAGTGGCCGTTCCAGTTCAGGAACATAACTCTCACTGAAGTCTAAAATCCTAGTGACCAGTCACCGTCAAGAGACACCTTTAGGAAAAAACAAACGTTAAAAAGGGAATATTCTGCAAAATCTTTTGAGCTTTCTACCATGTTATGCCTGAAGAGGTTTTAAATGTCATCCATGCCTGTTTGAATAATCTAGTGATCTCTCCTGGGCCATATTCGAACCCTCCTTATGGAGGGAGATTCTGTTAGCTTCTGTGCAATGCTCATCCCATAAGCCTATGTCACACACTCCCACGCTCTCCAGTTCTCCAGAATACAAAACTGTACATAACGCTTGACGAATCTAGACTAGTTTCATTAGCGGGTTGCACTCTGATTGTGTTGTGATAGCACTCTGAAGGAGGAGTGACTTAACACCATGAGCAAAGGGAGGGTGAACTTACAGAATTTTTAAAACAATGCAAGGTGACATAATGATCTAAATATGTTATGTTTTAGCAGTTAATACCTGGTAAAATAGCTCTTCTATAAAGTTACAGTCTGAACATTCAGACCTGGCCCTGTTGTATTCTCACATACCACCACTAGATGGTATCTATGTTAGTGCTGTCTGATAGTGTGCCAGCTTTGGCCTGACAGAAGAGGACCAGAGAGCAGAGGTGAGGGAGGAACGGTTTTCACATCTGACATCTACTGGTAACAAAAATCTAATACATTTACAATTGGGAGCTTTAAATGTTATATTGATACATTGCATCTGATGTCATCAACATTCTCTAGGGTAGTGATGCTAACTGGAAGCTTTTCTCTGTCTGAAGCTGTAACTCAAATTATTTTCATTTGGGCTTTAGTTTAACACAATCTGACCAGAAAGAATCAACTTATTAGTTGGAACTACAGCAGGTGCGATGATATTTGCTGTTAAACAAGTCCCTCTCAGATAATATTACAGTTATAAGATAGCCAGAAGTTTTTCAGTCAGTCTCACCTTTTTGTTGAAAATCAAACACCTAAATAGAACCATGGACGCTTGTATTGATCACAGGCTCTTGAAAATGTACTGATTAAATCCATTTCAGACTTTTTCTTGAGTTTTTAGACAATCTTTGGATAATTATTGCTAATGTATGCATTGTGTCACCATGGTAACTGTTGAAAGTTCTGCCATAGACACATAGACACACATACACGTAGAACACCCCCAGCGTGATGTCACAGAAAAGTATCAATATGTATATCTTACTTTAAAAAGGGTAACTATATATGCATGTCCAAGCAGTACTCATATTAATCTAAAGGCTTAAAGCCCATTCAACTGTCACCAGTCAGGTCTTTGGGGTTGAATAATGGCACCACTTTCTGTAGCTACTGTGAAAAAATAATTTCACTTTTGGTAATTTATATTGACAGAGAAGACACAAAGCTGTTTTTTGTTTTATGAAGATAGGCCCGGTGAGATATTAACCATAAACCAGTCAGTCAGTCCTGTACACACCTGATCCATGACAAACTCCTCCAGGTCCAAGGGCTCCAGGCCCTCGTCCCACCCAGTATCAAAGCTCTGTGTCTCAGCTAAAGCGTGCCGCAGCCTCCTCCTCAGACGGAACCCTCTCCAACATGCCTGGGACACAGAGCGATGGAAGGAGAGAGAGAGAGGATGAGAGAGAGAATTATATCAAAGTGTGACCTGTTGAGCAGGGTCAAACATTAGTCACTGGTTTTGAGGACCACTGCAGAGAAAGTCATGTTTTATCACTCTCACAACTGTACCAGACACTGGAGGGACCAGAGACCAGACACCACAGACCAGAGACCATAGACCACAGACTATAGACTATAGACTATAGACTATAGACTATAGACCTTAGACCAGACCAGAGACCAGAGACCAGAGACCAGAACAACTTATATTACATGTATTTTCCATTACAAAATGTGTCTTAAACAATATCATTTTCTATAGACATGAAACTCTTTAGGATCTTTGTGTTTTGTGTTTAGTGAACTCTGAGTGACTCCAGGCTCAGAGGAGACAAATGAAACAGCACTAAATCTTCTGACTCCCCAAGGAATAAGAAAGAAGGAAGAGAAAAGGAGAGGAGGAGGAGGGGGAGAGGGAGAGAGGGAAAGAGTGGAAGTGAAGAGAGGAGGAGAAGGAGAGGAGAAAAGAGGAGGAAGAGAGAGGAGGAGAGGAGGAGAGCACTTAAAGGCCCATTACATTACTTTTTAGACTAAAATAAAAACATGCTTTTTATTTTGGCTGTTTTTATTACTGCAAAACAAAGACAAACTTGCACATGCACAAGTGAGCTTGCAACTCCACAAACCTGACTCTTATTTGGCCTCTTTCTACTTGTTTCCATGGTAATGTTGTTCCTTTGGCTATAAACTTCCACAGTATGACCTTAAACTATCTCCATGGAAAATGTTGTGGCTTTTTTACCTCCAGAATGTTACACGCTATTGCTTTAAACAGGCTAGACTTGATTAGGACTCATCTGACTTGTAAAAAACATGATCTGACTTGATATGTGTTACCTGTATTACCACAGCCGCCCGCTCCCTCTCCTCTGTGTCTGCGGGGGGCGCTGTCCACTTCTGTCTCATTGCTGCTCCTTTACTTCTCCATAAAATACACAATCACAGAGAGAGTTAGCATGATGTCACTGCTCCTCCATCTCCCACAAACGCAGATTTACTCCTGGGCAAACATCTGGACCTGCTCCCGGGGGTCTGGAGGCTCTGATGAATGGTCCTCTCAGAAGATAGAGGAGCATTAAAGATCTGTACTGCTAAATCACAGAGAAGTGGCTGAAATGATGACGAACGTGTACCACGGAGAGCTATGAGAGCCTGCCGCTAAAATAAGACCCGTATCAAACATGAAGAGGGAGGGAGCTTTTCAGGGATGTTCAGAGACGGAGCAGGAATGTGGACTTTTATAAATATGAGACCACAGCAGCGGATCTCACATGTCCTTGTTACCGTGGAGATGTGTTCAACAGACTGTAAACTGTAAAGGAAAAGCAGTTTTGAACAACATAACAGGTTGTCATAAGTATCAGGAATCAGATACTAATTATTATTTAAATTAGAAACTCATTTGAGCAGGTATCAACTAGAAAAGTAAAATTCACAGGACACACATGAACATTTCCTGAATAGCTTTAGACTGATCTTGAGCTGCCTCAGAACTGTACAAACACATTGACTAGTATACGCCCATGGACCATGGAGCCTACCTGGACCACTGAGAGATTACGCAAATATAAGGCCATGTAGTAATATAAAAGAAATGACTATAATTTACTGTTGAAAATCACATTCTATTGCCTAAAGAAAGAGTGTTTTTTATTATCATTGTGGTTTTGGAATCAGTATTGAGTATCGAGTCTATTCATTAAATTTTAGTAAGGTACAACAATAATATGAAGTGTGCTTATAAAGTTAAGGTTAGGGTGGAGGTTATTATAGGGCAGGGGTGTCCAAACTTTTTTCATCAAGGACCACATATTTAAACACAAATGAAGCAGAAGACTGATCGAGGGCCGTAGACTGGAGCTCAGTACAGTGAATAACTGAAATATGTGCATGTTTAACACGTTAGAATGAGCCATCAGTCTTTATTCATGCTAAGACCCTTAAAACCACACACTAAATATTCAATATGAGCTTTATCAAGGTAGATTTTTTTTAAAAAATGCTGTAAAAAGTTCATTTTTAATTAATGCAAGGTAATTTGGGCCAATTCACCTGGAAGCCTGAGGGCCAAGAAAAAATTGTCTGAGGGCCACATTTGGCCCACGGGCCATAGTTTGCACATGCCTGTTATAGGGAAATGTGTCCTCTGTATTTGCGGCATGCCCTGGTTAAACCTGTCAGGAGCAGTGGGACTCATCTACAAATGTTGAGCTAGTCTTGGTCAGGACTACCTTAGTTGGAGGATTTGACTAATTGTGCTCGTTTTAGGTTGATGGGGGAAACTGGTGTGCCTGGATAAAACCCACCCAACATTCGCAGTTTGGTAGCTGAATATACAGGAGGCTGCAAAGGGTTCCTCTCAGAAAGAAGGTTGTGAAGAATGCATATATATGGCAAATATGGCAAATCACAATTACTTTTTTGGCTGGAGGAATAATGGATGCTTCTCCGTGCTCTCCTCTTCTGTCTGCACTTCCATTTCTCCTCCCTGTTCTTCTGCCACTCCTTCCTCCCCTCTCTCTTGTACTGGGCTCATCTCTCCGTACTCGTGCTCCAAGCGTTGTTCCTGGGCCAGGTGAAACTCCTCGTCCAGGTGTCTACAGCAAATCTCTAGCTCCTCCAGTGGAGATGAGGTAGCACTGCGAAAAATAGGACAAATATTATTAGTTTAAAGACCTAATGTGTAATTATATTGGCTTACCCAATCTTGTTGTATTCTCATTACATGCTATCTATATTACTGCAGTTGGGAGTCTGTCCAGCTTTAGCCTGACAGAAGAAGACCAGAGAGCAGAGGTGAGGTGAGGGGCCAGGTGAGAGAATGGGGAACAGGTTTCCTTTATTTACTCACTCACAGATAGCAGGTTTGAAAACTAATTGAAAAAGTAATTATTTACCAAAATACATTCAAAGCTTGCATTCTGACAATAATATGTATACTATTGTCCAGTTTTAGCTCTGGTTCAGTCCTGGTTTAGGTCTGGTTTAGCCCTAGTTTAGTCCTGGGTTAGTCCAGGTTTAGTCTGGGTCTTAGTCTCCCTGGTGGTCTGCTGCCTCCTGACCCTTTCTATAGAAGCTGGAGATAGTGGGGGTCAGACAGGGGACTGCTTTGGCTTGGGGCCCTGCTTTGGCGCTGCTCTGGCTGGGATAGACCCCACGCTGGGAGCCCTCTGCCCTAGAGCCTGGGACAATGGAGCTCTCTGAGGGGAGACCAGAGGAGGGTAACACCAGACAGAGAACTGCAGCCGGGGGGACATATGGGAGACCCTACCCCCCTTGAGTCTAGGTCAGAAACGGCCTTAAATGAGATACCTACAATTCATCTATCTGTGAGGTATTTTGGGGCTTAGAGGGAAAACAGAAGAAGAGGTACCAAACTTTTAAATTTTTCTGCTTCATCAAAATAGATACGAAATAATGTTTAATGAGGGGGTATTTTACTTCTATGGGGTATTAACTGCTAACACATAGCATATTTAGATTACCATGTTACCTTTGATTTTTTTTGAAAGTGCTATATTCACCAGAAACATTTTAGTTTTTGACGCTCTGAGTGTCCACTACCTTTGCTCTCAGCAGTAAGTAACTCCCCCGTCAGAGTGACTGAAGTGGCTGTGTAAAGTTTTGTGTCATGCTTTTGTATATTCGTGGAGAACTGTCTTGTGGGCGCATGGGTGATGTATTGCACAGAATCTTACAGCTAACTGTAAGAAGGATTTGAATAGGGCCTGGGAGAGATTGTTTGTGTTACTTGAGAAGGACTTTTTAACAGCACAAATCAGCTCACCTGCTGAAGTTCCAGCTAAGTCAGTTCTTTCTGGTCAGACTGTGTTAAAACAAAGCTCAGATTAAAGTCTCACTTGAGTAATAAAAAGCTTCAGAGAAGGCAGAGCCTCTAGTTAGCATCACACCCTTAGGGAATGTTGATGACATCAACTGCAAAGTATCAGTATCAGTAGTGTAAATTAAATGAGCTTTGGCCCTTGTTAACATTATGGTGAAATGAGTCTAAGCTGTCATGTGCACTTTAAACATGTCAGTATTAAGCCAGTACTAAATCAAAGTTCCTTCTGTCTTCTGTCTGCGATGGAAAAATCATTCTTAAACATTGTGTCTGCTCATAAACCACTCCCTAAATCACAACATTAGAGGCGTATTTATCTGACACAAATGAATGAGGAACTCCAGCTAAATATTCCACACGTTTAGGTTTGATTTAAAGGGGAGCCATTTTAGGAGCCATCATCTGTTCAAAGGAATCAGAGACGATCAAACATGACCGGACTGCCTGTGTGTGTGTGTGTGTGTTTGTTCTATATAGGAGAGCAGAGGTATAACTCATGTGGACAGCTGTTTCATTTACATTGTGCTGGGTTAAATATAATAATGTAAATAGAGATGTTTGGTCTGTGAAGAGGCCACCTAGCAACAAGAACCAGGACTACAAAGAGAGGTCTCTAAGTATTTTTTCATGTATTTGAGCAAACTGTGTCTTTCCCCAGCACAGATATATTGTATAAGGTCAAAATAAGTACACTCTGTACAGTCTGTCTCTAATTATAAAGCGTTTTGTCCTCCGCAGCAAACTAGAAAGGTTGCTGTTAGCATGCTAGTTGTTGTTAGCATTACCTGTACTCAGCTCTTGCTCAGAAAATTGTGGAAAGGGCTTATAAACTCATGGCAGTGAATGATTAGGATGCTTGGAGTGCATAAGGTAAGTGACGAATAACTTTGGAACACTGCTAGTGTTCTAGCACTAGCAGTGTTCTGTTTTTTCTAGTTAGTTCTGTTTTTAGTTCTGTTTTTTTTTTTTTTCACCTTTTTAAGACAGTAAAAAACAGGTGCAGCGCCTTTAACTTTCTATTTTTATATAGTCATGTGACGTGTCTACTGTTATGCCTAATCACTAACAATATGACTGAATCTTCAATTAAAATGTGATTAATTTGGTCCTATTTTAGTCCCTTCCTGTTTGGGAGTGATCCGTCTCTATTAGTGGAGTTTTTGTTGGTGTCGCGTCTCTAAACCCCGTCCTGCTGTGACCCCACGATGACCCAGCAGGTACAGTTCAAAAGTCAAAGGCCGTGTCTCTCGTGGGGTCGCTGCAGTGAGAGTGAAGACAAGGCCTTTGTGCACAAGTGTGGCTGCTCCTCAGGCTATGGACCATCACAGTATAAGCACTATATTTACTGGCAATGAGTAATATCACAATTGGTGTTTGAGAGATATGCAAAATGTGATTATTTGAGTATTGTCTAGAATAAATTAATATAAAAAATTCTGCAGAGCTGAATAAAAAAATAAATAAAACAAACTTGCAGAGTAATCATCCAATTAAGGACATAAAATTATATTTCTGTACTCTACAGGAAAGAAGGGGAGGAGCGAGGGGCAGAAAATCAGGTCTAATTGCCTCATTAAAGCCGCAGTGTGGACCTTTGTGTCAGGATTATCTGTCCAATGAAAAGGACATTATCTGGCAGAGATGCCAATGTGTGAGAGACAGGAGACAGGAGGACAGTGGACACCTTCAGTTGCCAGCACAGAGAAGACTGGACATCTAATGCACTGTGTAGAAGACCATACAGTATTTAACACTGTAAAATTAATATTAATGATGCGTAAAAATAATTTGAATTCAGGATATTTATCTAAATATTTACTTTAATTAATTTTAATTCTAATACGTCTAATACATGTAATTCTAATAAATATTTTATATTTTACTTTTAATAAAAGTTAGCATTGATCATTTTAAATTATTGACATGAATTATGAAATTTTGAAACTAATGGTTTTCCCTAGATCCATTTCCCCTGACTAAATGTATAACTGATCTGGGGATTGGTCTCTGCACTCCACTGCTCCTGACAGGTTCAACCCAGAGACAAATGGATAAAATGCAGATGACAAATTTGGGACAATAATATTACAGTGTGTACGGCAGGGTTTTCCAACCTTTTTCCTCTGGTGTGCTACCTTTACAAAACAAAAATGCCAAAGAGCTACTTATTTTAGCAGTTCCAAGAAACTGAGTATAAATAAGAGTCTTAAAGCCTTAGTTGGTAAACAGTTAGATGCCTGTAAAATACAAAACATTATCCATTTATTAGTGCACAAAACTGGGCAGCATAATTATTACAATGGCAATTAATCAAATTGTACTTAGTCAGCCCAATATATGTAATTCAGACATCCCTTGGAGAGCTACTTGGAAAGGGGCAGAGAGCTACTGGTTGCTCTCACAAGTTACAGGTTACCCCACAGGCTATAGGTTGGAGACACCTGGTGTACAGTAATGTCATGTCTTAATGTTTTATTGTACAGTTTTTTTTTTATATTTATATTTATTTTACCTGATCTCTAAGCGATGGCGTGCCTGCAGCTCTCTGCTCTGATGGTGCTGATTCTGACACAGAAAGAAAAAGGTCCCAGAAACCACACTCAGCCTGGGACCAGGGCCAAGACTAAGACCAGGACTGAGACCAGAACTGAGGCCAGGACTAAGACCAGAACTGGAGCCAGGGTCAGGTCTGGAGCAGGGATTTGGAGCAGAGTCTGTGGGCAGTCCATCAATGGTCCTCAGTCCAAGGACAGACTTCTGCAGAATGGACCTGGTGGAGACAAGAAGCTCTCACTTTAAAACCTCTCTCACAGTTTGCATCAAGTAATTTCTAAGAAAATATTTTGCCTTCTGAGAACCACCAAATCTAAACTATGTCCAAAACAGGACTTAACCAGTGTTATACCAGTTCTAAACAAGGACTATCCCAAAGAAGAACAAGAATGTGGATTATATTGATTCGACATCCAGAAAATATCTGAACTTCTAAGGAAGGAGCTCCGTTTGAGAACCACTGTACACCACTCTAAAACATGAGGGAAAGTGTAAGCTCTGAGATCCGAGGAGAACTACTAAACACTTTACTCATTTGAACAGGTATTGCTACTAAAAAAGTCACATTCACAGGACAGAAATGAACCTTTCCTGAGTAGCTTTAGAATGATCTTGAGCTGTAACAAGTATAAAAGCACATAGACAAGTAAACACCCATAGACCACTATGGAACCTACCTGGACCACTGAGGGATTACACAGTATAAGGCCACAAGGTAATGTAAAAGTACTACAATTTAATGTTGAAAATTACATTCTATTGTCTAAAGAAAGAGTTGTTTTTTTAATCACCGTGGTATCAGAATCAGTATTGAGTATCGGGACTGTTCTTTAGTATCGAAATTATTTGGAATTTTAGTATTTCGACACTGGTTTGGAGTTTGCAGAATCTGCCTGTGACAAGCCGAGACACAGGTCCAGATCTGTGGAGGTCCACTGTTACATCAGAGTTACTGAACAAAAAACAAAGAGACTAGTTTTCTTTACATGGACAATATAGTTCACTCTCGCCTTCAGCAGCATTTAGACAACATTTGAATTCTTCTGATAGCAAAAACACTAAATCTATGGACACTTATAAATCTAGGCTGGTGAAAAAAGAAAAATAAATCCGGGCAGTCTCCACACCCCCCCTGCATTAGGAGTTTAAGCCCCTCCCCTCAGGCAGGAGATACTCGGTGCCCAGATGTAGGACAAATAGACTGAGAAATTCTAAAATGTTCCCAATTAAGGAAAAAAAAAAGAAACTATTATTAGAGGTATTTGTTAGACTCAGTCCTGTGAAGGAATGTGATTAGAGCAAATGTTTGTTTTTTATTTACATACTAGTATATTTTGCAGTTGAGGTAGAATACAGTGATTTAAAGGGCCTCTCTGATAAAACAGTGGACTTTAGGACTTCTGGTGTTTGGGGGCTTGGGGGAGATGTGTCCAATGCCTGAGGCAGGGGAAGTCTGGGGCGAGTCTGGAATTTAAAAAATCTACAGAAAAAGAAACTACAACCAGAGAGTAGAGGTGAAGAAGACCACAGACCACTCTGATCAAACTGCAGAAAAGGATCTGTCCTGCAGGGGTTAAAACTGTGTTTTAAAGGACCCATATTGCAGTATATAAGATATATGTTATAATGTTAATTCCTCATCACAAACATACCTGAAATTGTGTTTTGTTTCACTCACACATGTTTGAGTAATCCTTTAATATTAGACTGTCTGTATCTCAAAAGCTTAAAATGCTCTGTTTCACCATGTGATGTCATGAAGTTTTAAACATAACAGCTCCTTTTAACTTTTGTTCAGTAGAGATAGGCAAATCCAGAGAAATCATGAAAATTATTCTAATGAAGGTGTGTGGAGTTTACAAACAGTGGAGCACTTCCTGTATTACCACATGACATCACAAGGTGGAACAGAGTGTTTTCTGTTTGAGAGAAGAACTCAGCCTAAATATGCAGGGTTTGTGTGGTAAACATGTGTGAATGAAACAAAATACAACACAAATCACTCCCCCTTCAGAGCGCTATCATAACACAATCACTGTGTGTCCGGCTAATGAAACTACAGCACATCACATCAGGTTTGTCAAGTTTTGTGTAGAATTTTGTATCATGCTTTTGTATATCTATGGAGATTTGTCGTGTGGGAGCATGGATGATGTAGGCTTGTGTAAAGAACCTTGGACAGAATCATACAGCGAACCATGAGGAGGGTTTGAGAGAACACAAAATTACTGCAACTTACCTGGATGACATCTAAAACCTCTTCATGTATGTTTTTGATGAGAGAATAATGTTATAACATGGTAGAAAGCTTCAAAAAGTACATTTTGCACCCCGCTATACCCCCTCTTTAATGTCCTCATTTCAAATCTTTTTCATATTATGTGGATGTTGTTTTTGCAACTCTGCCCTCACATGCTCTTGGTTCAGTGGGAAACTCTAAATTTGGGTCTAAACTGGACACAAGAGACACCAGAGACAGGAGGGGAGACCACTGAAAATCCACAAACTCCAAACGCCTCGAGCTAAAACATCTCAAACTTTAACTTAAACACAGTGGGTTTAACAGCATCATTCCCAGAGAAAGTGTATCCAGTTTGTGAGTCACAGAGGAGGCTAAACACATGAGAACGGTGAACCAATTGTTTATGGAAAAAAATATATATATTATTTGTTTAAAGAGGGGCTATTTTACTTTGGGGCATTAACCGCTAACACATAACCTATTCAGATCACCATGTTACCTTATTTTTGTTTTGAAAATTCTATATTCACCAAGAACAATGATTAAGATGTTTTGAAGTCACACCCCATTCAGAGCACTATCACAACACAATCAGTGCTAATCTAAAGCACATCGCATCAGGTTTGTCAAGTTGTAGTGTACAGATTTATATCATGTTTTTGTATATTTATGGTGATTTGTTGTGTGGGAGCATGGATGACGTAGGCTTGAGGGCTGAGCATTGCAAAGAATCTTGCAGCTAACCAACCGTAAGAGGGACTTGAACAGGGCCCAGGAAAGATTGCTAAATTACTAAACATGCATGGATTACATCTAAAAATTCTTCAGGCATATTTTTGATGAGGAAACGACAGTATAATATGGTAGAAAGCCTTTAAAGTCTCTTATACGTGTCTCTGCTCAAACCCTGTGGTTCAGTCCTGGTCTGGGCTCTGTCAAAAAACAACCTCATGTTTTTTAATGTGGTTCTCTCTCTCCATCTCTTTTTCCCTCTCCCTCCCCTTTCTCTATCTCCCCCTCCTTCTTTCTTTCTCTGGTTTAAAATCCATCTCCAAAGCAGGTCCATAGTCACATGATGTCATCAAGGAGTGACTCTAATTCAATAAAGTTCTATTGGCCCTGACTGTAACGTTTGGACCAAAGTTTAATGTTTACAACAAACCACAAACCAGACCTGACCCAGCTGCACTTTACTGGAAAGGAATGATGCAAGACAAAAGTGTGGCAGAGTGGTTAGCCTGTCTCCTCCTCTCAGTAAGGAGGTTGTGGATTAGACTCCTGATCTCTCTGAGTGGAGAGGGCATGTCCTCCGAGTGTTACTGTGGCCTGTCACTTCCTCTCAGCTGGGCGTTGTTTAATAACGTTACTCCAACATAATATTACTCAAGCAAAGTAGTGGCCCAAGAAATTACTATAGTAAAAAAACTACTAATCAAGTAAGAGAAACTTAAAGAATAATCTGAGTAATTTGAAGTCAATGTAATTGGAAGGACAAAACATTAAATAATGCACAAAATCTGGTATTTTTAAAAGATCGACGGAAGGAGTGGTGCAAGAAATACAAATGCTCATATCGTTTCATACTGTCAACATAAAGCTTTTATCATAAAGCTTTTGTCACTTGTAGACTTCTAAATAAATGTACTTAAAATGCTTTTGAGTACATTTTTTTATCTTCAATAAAAAATATTACCAAGTAGTAAAAGTATGCTACATATGCAACTGAGTACTACACACCTCTGGATTTTAAGCAAAACTGCAGGAAATACCAAGGATAAGAAGTCCACAGTTTAAAGTCTCACTGGGCGGATTTTTGGATCTTTTAAAACACTTTGTTAAAATGTGCCTCGTGTGACTAAAGCCTTTTATTCCACTTCCTCTGGTTTGATCGCCCACTTCCACCCTCACTCACTCTCCTGTTTAATCAGCCTCTGTGTGGAGCTGCAAGCTGCAGACCTGCACTGTCATTGACCTCACCTGTCAAGGACCTCACCTGTCAAAGGACCTCCTAGTTCAGTGTTTCTCAAATTGTGGCATGTGAGCTCCTTCAGGTGGTATTTGAACAGCTCTTCAGTTTGTGGGTTTGCCTCATTTTAAATTCATTTTATCTACTTTTTGTCTTTTAGAACATTTCTAGTTTACTACAGTGGAAATAATTATTTTTTTTAAACTTTTAATGGACTTAATTGGCAAACCACAAAGGTTGCCATATTTGAAGCACCAGCATTTCCTCAACAAACAACAAAATCTCCTATGTTATTCTGCATAAATACCGCTAACCCCGAAGTTTAGATCTGCACAAACATGTTCTGAAATGTGATTCTTATATTAGTATGTCAGTTCATATTTCAGTCTTTTTGTCATTTTTTCTGGACGTGAATCCTGTTATTAAAATATAAATCCTAATTCAAACTACAATTATCTATTTTTCACAGATGGTTCAGTCCTATTGCAGAGCCCCACAGAAGAGGTCCCTGACAGCGCAGCGCTGCAGTTAGATCCTTTTTGGCAGTGCATGTTTAATCCCTAATCGCAGAGTCCCACCCGGGCACCTTTCTCTGGATCTGGGGTGCTGTTTTAGTTTCTGCTTTGTTATGACTGGATGCTGATGAAAGGGATGGGGTTAATCGCAGGATTAAAGTTAGAGGTGAGTGAACGGGCAAAGTTAGGGTTGGGTCTAACTTTATTCTCTCCTCAACGGTTACAGCTTAAAGGGGCACTATGTAACTTTTCTACTTGCCTGTCTTTCTGGAGATGTTACTGATTAGCATGGAATATATTAAACTTATTTATCTTGTGTTGCATTTACTTTTTGATTGTTTTTATTGCTTGAGGCTAGGGGTGGGCGATATATCGATATTTTAAATATATCGAGATAGTTTTTAAACTCGATATGAATTCTGACATATCGTATATATCGATATAATGCTTATATTCAATTCTGATTTCCCCGCTTCGCTTTTTTACCTTCTCTCTCGTCGCCTCCGCCTCCCTGATTTTGTTCGCTCGTGTCTCCTTCACTCCTCACTATCGCCTTGAACGCCGAAAGTTGGTGCCAGTGAAAAGCTTCAAGCACCACGAACCTTTTCCACCATTTACAGACAAGAACATCAGCAGCACATCCTCATATTCCACCGAGTCGCGTCCTTTAGCCCGAAAGAAGCTAAACGAGCTGAGCTGCACGAGAAGTGCGCTGTTTATGCAAATGAGCCACGCGCTTAAGTTTCGTTTCTGTAAAATGTAAACACACGTGCGTAAAACTGCATTAAACACATTATTATCGCAAACGCGCTGATGTGGCTCTAGAGTCGTTATGCTTTATATATTGTAAAGTTTAGTCATGTAAAGTTTATTTATGCAGAATATTTTTTATTAATAATCTGCTTCAGTGTAACTTGTACAATAGTGTTTGGAAACGTTGGGTTTGATCTGCAGTGAATTGTGGGAAACCTCAGAGCTCCTTACTGCTGGATAATAACATGGATCTATTGAAATAAGGAACATCCTGAGCTTCTTCTGGTAAATGAGCTCATGGTAATGGGATGGTTAACAGAGTTAATGCAAAGATGAGCTTGTGTTGAGTTGTTTTATTTATGAATGAAAAGAAGGAAATATGTATTATTTCTTTTATTTTACAGTTAAATTATTATTTATGTAATTAGGGTTTTTGTAATCTTAAGTGTTCCTATATGAACTGCCGACCTCTTATACTTCAATAAAAAAAAAGACCTTGTGGAATTGGCAGATTTGTTTTTGCAGTTTTCAGTTTTAGGGAGTTATTTTTTCTTGAACATATATCGAGATATATATCGTATATCGAGATATAGCAAAATATATCGAGATATATTTTTTGATCCATATCGCCCAGCCCTACTTGAGGCTGTGGAAGGTACTCACCCCTTCCAGCCTGCACTGATTTGGGAAGGATCGGATGCTTAGTTGCGCTGTCAGTCAAACCTGTTGCTAACACTTGTGGGATCAACCTCTGGGAAAGAAGGCACCCGTTATTTATGTTCATATCTTGATTTATGGATAAAATAGTGAGACAAAAGCCAAAGGATCATGTAGAGCAGATTAAAACAAACATTTTAAGACAAAAATGACTTTCAATAGAAGTCGAATCCAACCAGACCTCAAAGGAACCACATTCGTGCCCATGCTCACATCCTATTTGGAACACAGCGGCTAGTGCTTTAGCTATGTCCATACAGTCTATGGCTGTGCCCGAATGTCCATCTTAGTCACTAACCTGTCATTCTCTACAAAGGCCTGCATTCTTTAGCACATTACATAGTGCAGTCATAGAGCAATTCAGCTCACTACTTTTGTAGTCACGAGACTACAATAAACTCTGATAAAACTTGATTTCTGATCAAATCAGACTGGCACTCAAGTATTGATCTCTGGATCTCACATAAACGGACTGGATTATTTGCTTTTTGTCAGAGATGCGTGAATCTTTTAACAGCTGGACCTAAGGTAAGCAACTAACACTAACACCTTTACAGTGTTTTATTCGTAATCAAGATCAGCAGTGAGATAAACCAGAGCTTCTATTGGCTTCATTCAGTCATGTTGTGTCCAGTTAAACACCTGTCACTATCTGCTGTTGTTTTTCCAACTCTTGCCATGCACTGTGGTCTATATTGACTGGTGTAGTGATGACAAATGCCCACTACTATTCAAGGTGCATTGTAGGAAATTTTGAGTGCACTATAGCCTGTGCCTCTATGGACAAGTTTCTCACCTCCAGTGTGGCTCCTGTTGTAGAGGATTCCCTTCCACAGAGATGTCCCTGATGAACAGACAGCCCCTCAGACTCTCTGCCACTGTACTTAACTCTGAAACAACACCACACAGGACACAGGCACTGTCAGATAAGAGCAGATACAAAGATCAATAGTCAAATTAACCCTATCCACAATGTTAAAGAGGGGGTATTACACTACAATGGGGAATTAATTGCTATTATATAACATATTCCCCTCTCTCCTTGCTCTCTGTGCTAAATCACTCCCCTTTCAGAGCACTATTACAACACAATTAACGTGTATCCTGCCAGTCAAATCTAATGCACAATGCATCAGATTTGTTAAGTTGCAGTGTACTGTTTGGTATTATGTGAAAGATGATTTATGAAAGATGACCATGTAGGAGCATGTGTGACCAAAGCCTGTGGGCTGAGCCTTGGACATGTTCGTACTGCTAAATTAACACTATTCACTATCAACGTTAAAGTTGCACTAAGTAACTTTTTTTGGTGGAAGCTCCAGGACCTGGTCAGGGAGCAGGTGGCGGACCACTCACCAGAAGAGTTACATAGTGCACCTTTTAAGGACAAGTATTCTGTATTTGGGTTTGGTATCAGTGTAATCTACTGGCAGCCATGACAAAGAACAAAATCATAAACAAGTTCAGCAGCTAAATACAACTCCACTTATGTTCATGGTGAGGGAACAATGTTAGAATATTTTTAAAGGAGCTGCATAATATAAGTGCTTTAATAAAATTCCAAATTCTGAATAATTGCACATTGTGTTTGGGTAGTATTTGTACCTGATAAACAGTTAAAGCGTAGATCGAGAGTCTGTAGGGACACGAGGCTGGACAGTGAGGGCAGTTCTGTAAGACTGAGAACAGAAAAAGAGTTAAGTTGCAGACAAACACAAGAGATCAACAGTCAGACCAGTCCCGGGGTAGGGCGCTGCTACTTGAGACACTGATGTCACCCAAACATAACTCATGATTTCTTAAAGAGGGGATATTTTACTGCTATGGGGTATTAACTGCTAATATATAACATATTTAGACCACCATGTTACCTTTTATTGTTATTGTTTATAAGTTTCACTTTTGTTTTCATGCTCCCTTTGCTCTCAGTCGCTGCACTACATCACTCAGATGCACAAAGCATCAGGTTTGTTAAGTTGCTGTGTACAGTTTTGTATCCTGCTTTTGTGTATTTATGGAGAATTGTTGTGTTGGAATATGAATGACTTGTCTTGGCTAGTGGCTCATGACTTGTGGGCTAAGCATTGGTCAGAATCTTACAGCTAACCATAGATAGGCTTCAAATAGGGTCCGAGAGAGACTGCTGAACTGCTGAAGCACGTATGAACGATATCTACAACACCTAAGCAGGCATGTTTTTGATGGTAAATGCAGAAAGCTCCAAAAAATCAATTTTGCATTATACCCTCTCTTTAAAAAATAAAATCTAAATCATACCTGAATCATACTTTGGTCGATATGGTCGATCTCAAGAATTCATAAAAAGACGTTTAGTAATTCCAATGAAACAACGGCAAAATCTTCAAGCTAACGCTGGACTAGGTAATTTGGGTGTGCACCTGTTCTGAGCCACGGTGAGCTGGTGTATCATGGGAAACCAATTCTGGGTCAGAGTGTGGAGCGACGAGAGACTGTTGTCATCCAAGTGAAGATCTCTGAGCAGCACCTGGTTCTTCAGGTCAGGAGGCTGTGAAAAGAGAGAGAGATTAAATGGTAAAAATGGTCACAGTTGTTATTCTACCATTGAAGAACTCAAAGCTATTTACATCAAGGAACCACTCACCCATTCACACACATTCACACATGAGTATATGCAGATGCTAGGGGAGAGGTGGGTTACTGTCTTGCCAAAGGGCACAATGACAGCATTAATCTATGGAACATGGAATCGTACCACCAACCAGTGGATCAGTGGATCTGACAGCTCAACCAGTGAGGTTTTTATGTCAAGAAAAGGACTGAACTGCCAACCTTCAATTACACCATATGACTGTCTCCTCTACCTCATCGGCTTCATCTCACCCTCTCTTCTACATCATCTGCCCCATATGACCTGCTCTTCTGCACCCTCTGCTCCTCTGACCCTCTCCTCTGGTTTCTCCTTTAATCTGTGCCTCCTCTGTACCTGTGTGAGGTTGTTCCCTCTTAGATCCAGACTCCACAGCAGAGCGCACTGGTCAAGTCCTTCCACAGAGTTAAGATGGTTACAGGACAAGTCCAGGTGCATTAAGGAGGTCAGAGCTGAGAGGCCTGAGGAGCTGGTGAGCTGGTTCTGTCTGAAGGAGAGAGTCTGCAGCCGCATCAAGGACTCCAGTCCACCTTAAGAACACAGAGATTATACAACAACTCCAATCCACATTAAAGAAGACATATAGTGCTCGGCCTACTATATAGTTAAAATCTATGACACCCGTGGATTATTATGTTATAATTTGTCATGACAACAAAGAGTCAGCACCTCCTATGGATAGCTGCATATCACGCAAGTAAACAGCTGAATTTTTTTTTTTCATTTGTATCAAAATTGCTATGCAACGCTGCCGAATCCTACACATATCGCTGATTAAGAAAATTAAATTGGAGTAAGTGCAGATAAGTGGCTGTGTACAGGGGACGGCGAAAACAGAGAATGATAGTCAAAATGACTTCTTGAAAATAAGCAATTAAAACTTACTCAGACATGCATAAATCACTCCAAATACAACATCGAGTGAGTAAATGGTATGGGGAAACAACTATAAAAGCTGATTTTGCAGGTCCGCTTTAAGAACAGAGATGCAGGTTTGACAATGACTCCAATTCACTTTAAGAACAGAGACGGCTTTGTACAGGAGGGAGATACACATATCTAAATGGAAGATAAGCTGAATTTGAATGCTAATATTGTAGATATTGTCATCAAAAAGAGTTAATAAGAAATACAGTGAAACTTGCCATGTGATTGTTTTAAAAAGGATTAAAGCATAACATTTCAGCACTTTTTTCTAGTTTTACAATTCAGTTTTTGTTTGTTGTATACTTAGCTATGTTTTATCATTTCTGTGAGAATCCATGGTTTTAAAAACTATACTAATACTATATACTATCAAAATGTATAATGTATTTTCAATAGTCTTTCATTGCAACAGGAGCTTATGGACAAGTCTGAAGAGGTCTGACTCTGCCTTCTAGTGGTGATTCTACTCTTCATGGTTTCTACTTGAAACCAAACCCTGCCACCAAACCACAGTGCATTTCAAGTATCAACTGACAAGTAACTAATCCTTCAAAAATATTAGTCTGAAATAAAATTTAACTAAATTAAGGTTAAAATTTCAGAATGTCAGCAAAATTGAATAAGTTTACCAATTGCCTTTTAAAGATGCAACCTTTCTGGTAGTGATATATTGAATGATGAATTGATATAGTATTTCATACAGGCCTATAGTCACAGATGTGTATGATGCGGTTGTGTGTTGTGTTTTATGTGTTACCGATGCGAGTGATGTGATTGTGAGATAGGTCCAGCACAGACAGGTTCACTGCTCCTGACAGCCCCCTAGTGGACCTCAGGAAGTTGTGTCCCAATCTCAGAACTCTTAAACTTTTCATGTTTTCAAGGTCCACTCGAGAAACCTGATTCTCCTGAAAAACATGTCATCAGCAGGGCCTTAAACAACATGCACAACTCCCTCACAAATTTGGGTGAGTAAATGGTGAGAAGAAACAACTATAAAAACACCACATGTAGATAACGAACTACCAACACACCAAGGTGAATAAATAGATAAACACCTGTACATCGACATAGCAGAGTCTGTGCAGGTAGTTTAGATGTTCCAAAGCCTTAAGTCCACACCGTCTCAGAGTGAGAGACCGGAGACAGGGACACGAGGACAGAGAGGACAGATTGTAACTGGACAAGTCCTCCAAGTGTACTGTGGTTAGCTGAGGAGAGAGAAGGTAATACATCACATTCAAAATATGTTTAAAGTCACTCAGGTTTAGGTAGACTTAATGTCATGTGCATCTGACCAATATTTTAACGGGTCACATGCCTCTAAGCCAGGACAGGATGTGATTAAACCAGGATTTGAACATCACAAACCAAGTCTACATCTATCACTCTAGACTCTGAATACTTTTAAATGAACTAATTTTCACATTTAACATTATCAAATCTTCACTGGTTTATTATTAGGGTGAGTGAAAATTCTTTGAGGTGTGACAGTCTGATGTCTATTGGGAAATTTTATATGGATCATATTTGGAACATGGAATAATTTCTACAGTAGTAAGCATTGTTCTATATCTAAAAGTATGAACTGAAATATGCAGACAGTAGCTTTAGGGAGAGGGAGAGGGGACAGAAGCAGTTTTCTGTTGCCATCTTGTGGTCAATGTCTAAGTTACAATAAAAAAAAAACGAGTCCACGCTGTCGCTATCTGGCAGTGAAATGTCTGTATGTGGGAATGCAGCCTTACAACTCCACAGACCTGACTAGTAACTTATTTAATTCTATTTATGGACCAAATGTTACGACTGTGTAACATTTGGTCTATAATATACTTTAATATACAAACAACAATGTATGAAACTTATCATTACTACAATATTTTGTCAAAGTCACATAATATTATTAAGAGCCTTTTTTTAATACTTATTGCTCATCCAGGACTAAACCAGAACTAAACCATGTCCAAAATCAGGACTAAATCAGGTCTAAACCAGGTCCATCCCAGTCAGCCCTGTGTTCTTACCCGTGTGAGCTCCGTCAGCCCTGTGTTCTGGAGCAGAGTCTGAGGAGGCAGAGGTGGCAGATGGTCTATCCCAGCCGCAGCAGCTCGTTTTGGGCCTCTGCTCATTTCCCCTGGTATGGTTCTTTTGGTCTGGGCTCGTAGTCTGGACCAAGGGAGACACTCTCTCATCCACTTTAACCTCTTCTGCTCTGTCTCCTCTGGCAAACATAAGCCTGACCAGCCAGAATCCTCCATCAACATGAGCTTAGATGCAAATGTTTCACTGCTCACTGCTTGACGATTCTGAGAAAGACGATTATTCTGAGAACCTTTCCCATCCTCAATGCTAAAGATAGCACCAGAGATGGTAGATACATTGTCCGTGTTGTCTTGGTTAATCTCGTACACACTGGCCGCATCATAATTAACAGGAGTAGTGCTTTCTCCTTCAGCCACAGCCTTCAAGATGGCCACCTTTTTGCTGTTGTGTTTGGAAGTTTCTGCTCCTGCCATCAAATTTTGTAAATCAGAATCAATTGTCTCAACCAAGTCCTTCTTCTTTATATCTTCTTCTGTATCAATTTGATTATCAATATTAACTGAATTTGGGGTAGTTTTATTTTTGTAATTTTGGTCTTTCATACTATTTGCCCTTTCCACAAACTGTGACAAGTCTTTGTTTGCTCCAGTTTCAGAAGAATTTTGGCTTGAATTTTTCTTCGAAATATCATTTTCACCATAAGTCCCCAACATGGAGTCCATATTGTGGTTCTTGTTCCCATGCTGCATTGTGTCTTTACTACATTCAAACACTGTATCAAAATCACTGCTGCTTGGGGGTACATTGTCTTTATTAGCCGTTCTGGTCGTCAAAATGGCAACCGTGTTTGAGTTTTCCTTTCTGCTATCTTGTACAGGAACTTCAATTTTGTCAGACAAATTTTGAGAATCCATGCTTGTTACTGTAATATTATTCTTAACCTTAACCTGTCTTAAATATGAGGACACAACATTAGTAAGACTCACAGATTTCTTGGTTGAACCACCTTGGGTACTACTCAAACGTTTATTGCAGTAAACTTTACCGCCATCTTGTCCAAAATGTTGAGGTTTTGCCTTTTGTACAGAATCAAAGCTTGTGGTTGCCTGATTTATAAATGTGATATCTTCATGCACACTTTGGCTAACATTATCCTTATTTATTGTAGTTTTTTGGTTTTCTGTGGCAACATTGTCTAAGAAAACACTTTTTAATATAGTCTGATCTGTGTCTAAATCACTTGGTTTTCTAATATCATTGCTAATTGTGAACTGTTCAGAAACACTTTGTGACAAATTCTTACAGCACTTTCCTTGAGTAACTTCATTTTTGTCATATTTAGTTTTGGTAGCATCAGCATCTGTATTTGCAGTTTGAATTAGAACTATTTCACCTGTGTTTTCTTGGCAGTTGTAAAAATTAAACATATCTTTGTTTCGGCGGGCATGTTGAGCCCCTTCTTCATCCACCAACTTCAAAATGTCCATCTCCTCTGTGGTTTTGCTGTTACATTTTTGGTCAGCTTCCTCGTTTCCCAAATCACAGCTTGAAGAAATTGTGCTGAATTTTGCTTTGTAATTTCCAAGATCACTTGTGCACGATTGCATTGAGAAATTATAGTTACCTTGGCCCCTAGCATTTGGCTCATTTTGTCTGTTATTTGAGCTTGGGTTTGTCATTTTACAGCCGTCTTCTTTTCGATCATATTTTAAATTTTCACCACAATTATTTGTAGGGGTAGTATTGTCTGCGTATTGTCTTGTATCTTGGCGTTTTGTGAACTCTGTTTGTTCACAGTTTGAAGTTTTTGTAAATGTATCATCTTCAACTGAATTCAGAAATTTGTCATTTTCAATGTTCATTTTGTGCAGTGTTTCTTCTCTTTCATTAGATTTGTTTTTTGAAGAGTTGTGGCTTGTGGGGGATATAGTTGAATTACTTACAGTATTACTACTTTTACTTCTTGAATCTTGTGTGCTGGGGTCTGTAATCACCATAACTTCATTAACTTCATTGTTTTTGTCCTTTTTATCGATCATGTTTTGTCCACATATGTTGTCTTGTAGATTCGAAGAAGTATTTCCAAGTTTATCAGCACTTGTGTGATTTGTCAAACTGGCATCTCCTCTATCCTCTGCCTTCAAAGTGGTCGCCTGATTCTTGTCACTATTGCAGTTATTTGTTGGAGTTTCTTGACAAGCTGTTGAAGCATTAAGTAAAGCATTGATACTAGACATTATATAGCATTGTTTTGTGCTACTTGTTGTTGTGTTTTTGCAACCGTTTTGTATAGTTTCCAAGCTAGTGTCAAATGCATGTTGCAAAGGTATTGAAGACACATTGATTGCACTGTGCTCTTCTTCACCAGTATTAGTGTTTACAAAGCTTCTACTAAATCGTCCTTGGACAATTCTGGGCTCATTTGGTGACGCATTTAGACTAATTTCATTTTTAGAGCTCATTTCTTCAGTGTTTTCCTTAACGTCACAGGCACCATCGTTTGTTTTTAATTTGGAGCTATTGGGCGGAAAATTACAGCTGATTTCAGTCGTGTTTTGCTTTCTGTTCATTGCTTTTTCATTACGATGCAACACTAAATTACTACCATTTTGGCTCTTAATTTCAGTTTCTCTTGTATTCTCATCTTTACAAAAACTGATTTGATCTTCATCACAATTCACCTTTTCCTCTTCTTCACACTTTGCTTTGTGCTTACCAATATTGTTTTCGCAGTCGTTGGGTATTTTATTTTGAAATTCCACTGCATTTTTTTGCATCAGTTGAAATCCCTGCTCCTTGTCCACTTCTGGGACCTTTCTGACCTCTGCACCAGCTTGTTTGATCTCATGATTCATAACTTTACCAATGTTTACATTTTTACACAGCAAATCTGGTCTTAAGTTTGTCAGCGATGCACAGTTTGAATTTTGAACCATTTTGTGAATTGATTGCCTTTCAATACTGGATTTCGTATCTTTCAAACACTCCAAATTAATTCTGTCTTCTGTTAAAAGAGAATCTATCTTGGCAGTAATGCTGTGTAATTTCTCTCCATGCGTTTGACCCTGATCATCGTACATTATTTGGGAATTAAATGTCTCTGTTTGAATTTGAATGGCTGTATTTTGTTGTAGTTCTGTTTGTCTTCGATCTTCCTGTCTTCTCTGCAGCTCCAGTTTAAACTTGGCCTGCTCCTCAAATCTCCTCTTGCTCTCCTCCTCCACACGCTGCTTCAGGGACTTCAGCATCTCCTGTGCACAAAAATATGTGAGTAGTAGTAGTTCTTGTTGTAGTAACAGTAGTAATAGTAGTAATAGTAGTAGTAGCTGTAGTTGTAGTAGCAATTGAATCACATTTTTAATTTGCTGCAATTATTTTGGCAGTATGCTTTGGTTATTTATAATAGATACATTTAATGCTGAGCTTAATAATAAGTTTCGCTGTGAGGTCATCTGTCAAACGTGTATGGATATTTTGTGAAGCCAGCCATCACATGAGCTGTGTTTTGTTTATTCTGTAGATAATAATAAAGAACAAACCTGCTGCAGAAACATCTCTTGCTCAAGTCTATGCTGAGCTCTCTGTGCTTCAAGCTCCAGCTGAGCCTGCTGCACCTGCGTGTTCACAAACACATATACACACACAGAGGAATACAAATACAAAATATATAATCAACTAGTCATTTAAAGGGAGGGTATTACACTTGTATGGGGTATCAGCTGATAACACATAATATAATTAGATCACCAGGTTACCTTTTATCGCTTTGAAAATGCTATATTGCCCCCAAACAATGTATTAATAAGTTGGGGCTGAGCATGGGGGGGGCATGGGGAATGCTGCATAGAGCTTTCTGGTTATGTAGGCTTGTAGGTAAAGGCGTAGCCCCTAACCATAAGCAGGGTTTGAATAGAGTCTGGGAGAGATCACTAGATTACTCAAACAAGCATGGATGACATCTAAAATGTCTTCAGGCACATTTTTGAGAGAACAATGTTATGAAGTCCATTTTGCCTAATACCCCCTCTTTAACTGTTCCTCAATATATTTGATAAAAACACAAATACACATAAACACACAGGAGTAATGTGAACTAGCAATACCAGTGCTTGTTGTTATTGTGACCTTGAGCAAGTCACTTCCTAAATATTGACAGAATTATTATTTTTATTATTCATTGTTACTAGATATTTTTATGAACATACCATACTGATACTGAATACTGTGGACGAGACACCACATCAAATCTAAAAACATCATGAAGTCTGACCCGTTCGGCCTCCTGAAGTCTCCTCAGCTCCAGCTCAAAGTCCTTCTCTATCTGCCTCCTCTCCTCTTCTCTCTCCTCCTCCTCTCTTCTCATTCTCTCCATCTTGAACCCTTTGCTTTGCTCCTCCATTCTCTGCTCCTCCTCTGTCAGATGCTTTCCTGAAACCTCCTTTATGTCTGGACTGTCAGCCTCTAAAACACATGCATAAAAAGCACATATGTGGAGATAATACGAATGACTGAGATTCAAGAGCAGGACCATGCCACAACATCTTACTGCTGCTCTGGATCAAGCCACAGCTCACCTCAAACACACTTCGAATTATCAAGAAGCCCTTCAGTCCTATCCTGAATCTACAGTGTGGGGTCCTGAGTCTCTAACCAGCCGCATCTCGCTATATTATCCATAAACAAGTATTGTTATTGTGTACTGTTTCTGTGGCATTGTCCTTACCAGTCACGGTTTCAAAATATAGAGTTGTTAATTTTTTTGTCACTATTCCATTTATTAGTGCAGAAATGTACATATGGCCTTAAGTGTTTAAAAAGGTGCTTTGTACCTTCACTGTGAGGGCTGTGAGAGGAGGGTGAGCTGCCTGTGTTATTTGGGATTATGAAGCTGTTAATCTGCAAAAAAGACATACATTATAGATTTATCATCAGCACAACATGGGCCCTATCTTGCCACCAGTCTTTGCATAAGCGCAAGGGTTAATGAGTGGGCGTGTCCAGGTCAGACTGTAGTTGGCCGCTGGGGGCTGGAGTCGGAGGGTACAGGTACATATATGGTTATGTTATCTGAACCAGTTTTTGACCGTTGTTGCATTTAAAATCACTGCCAGTGTGGGTAATGTCTGCAATCTTTGCCTCATTACGAGGCAGCAAAGAGGGATGTGGGAAAACAGGGAAAATTTTATATATATTATATATATATATATATATATATATATATATATATATATATATATATATATATATATATATATATATATATAAATGTGTTTCTCACCTTCCACGGTGGTAGGTCTCTCTCACCCTCATTCAGCTCGGGTTCTCTACCAGAGGCCTGGGAGCTTGAGAGTTCTGTGCAGTATCTTTGCTGTTCCCAGTACTGCACTTTTCTGGACTGAGATGTCCATTGTTTTTCCCGGTATCTGTTGAAGCCACTCTTCCAGTTTGGGGGTTACAGCCCCGAGTGCTCCGATCACCACAGGCACCACTGATGCCCTTACTTTCCAGGCTCTCTCCAGCTCTTCCTTGAGCCCCTGGTATTTCTCTAGCTTCTCGTGTTCCTTTTTCCTGATATTACCATCGCTTGGTATTGCGATGTCCACCACCAAGGCTCTGCTCTGTTTCTTATCCACCACCACTATGTCTGGTTGGTTCGCCATCACCATTCTGTCAGTCTGCATCTGGAAGTCCCACAGGATCTTGGCTCGGTCATTCTTCACAACCTTTGGAGGTGTTTCCCACCTTGATCCTGGGGTTTCCAGCCCGTACTCTGCACAGATGTTTCTGTACACTATGCCCGCCACTTGGTTATGTCGCTCCATGTATGCTTTCCCTGCCAGCATCTTACACCCTGCAGTTATGTGCTGGACTGTCTCAGGAGCCTCTTTGCACAGTCTACACCGTGGGTCTTGTCTGGTGTGGTAGATCTGGGCCTCTATTGCTCGAGTGCCCAGGGCCTGCTCCTGAGCAGCCAGGATCAGTGCCTTTGTGCTGTCCTTCAGACCCTCTCAAGCCATTGGTAGGATTTCTTGATATCAGCCACTTCAGTTATGTTCCGGTGGTACGCCCCATGTAGGGGTTTGTCCTGCCATGATGGTCCCTCCAGCACCTCTTCCTCTGGACCCCATTGTCTGAGACATTCTCTGAGCACCTCATCTGCCGGGGCCTTGTCCTTGATGTACTCAAGGAGCTTGGATGTTTCATCCTGGACAGTGGTTCCCACACTCACTAGTCCTCGGCCCCCTTCCTTCCGGCCTGCGTACAGTCTCAGGGTGCTGGATTTGGGATGGAACCCTCCATGCATGGTCAGGAGCTTTCATGTCTTAACATCTGTGGTCTGTATCTCCTCCTTTGGCCAGTTTACAATCCCTGCAGGGTATCTGATCACTGGCAGGGCGTAGCTGTTGATTGCCTGCACCTTGTTCTTGCCATTGAGCTGGCTTCTAAGGAGATATATATATATATATATATATATATATATATATATGGGGCATAACCAGTTCTGCCCATCCAAAATTCTATAATCCTATATATATAGGATTATAGAATAGAATTTTGGATGGGCAGAACTGGTTTTTATTCTGTGCGCACTTGCGCCCGTCATGTACACGCACCTCCGCAGGCCCATGTGTACTCACGTCAACCATAGTTTTCTCTGCATTCCTCTGTTCTTTTGTCTCGCATTACGAAGCAGACTGGTGTCTTTCTTGTGGACTCCCCATCCCACATCAGACCCGCTGATCTCCCCTGGTCGCACCCGCTCCCACCCATCCTATGTCTCTCACCTGAGGTACGAGTTTCCACTGCTGCTACTGCTGACCGCTCGCATTCTTGTCTCACAAGTATCCACTACATTTGGTCCCAAACAGGTCCACGAATTATGGAATACGTTTATTGGCATATAAATGTTTCTGATTTGACCGCATTGCGCATGGACATAGATTAAACCATAAATACACGGGGAGGGTGACTGCACGCCCTGCGCTCACAGGAGGTAGCGCACCATGAGCAGTACCCTGCAGACAGGGTAAGAAAGCACACTTGATAGTGCTGTAAACGGCCTCATGTGAATAAGCAGCTTTTGAACACATAATCATCAAACTGCGCTGACCAAACCTCGCTGTGCGGAGAGTGGGTGCAGGGCTGTGCTCTGCTACAGGAGGGCATCCTGACGGTGCATGAACCTCCCGTATGGCACACATGTGAGTGTTATGCATTTATCATATATTTATTGCCTTGAATATGTTACACGTAATATTTTTGAGTTAACTAGTTTAAGATTTATTTTTATGATTCTGGCCACCACACCCTCAGTCTGCTCCACTCCACCTAATATTCAGCCACAGCACAAGGAACACCCCTTGTGTAGAGCTCCAAGCTTGTGCTTGCGCAAAGACTGGAGGCAAGATATGACCCAATATGACATATTTTTATCCACCTGCCGCTGATGTTGTGAGTCCAGATCTTTGTCAGTGATACAGTCCAGCTCTGTGAAGACTGAAAAAAACAAAAAAGACCACAAAAGATCAAATGAGCTTGGGAAATGAAGATTTAGGGAGTGTTTCAGGCCAAAAAGGGGAGCAGTACTCTTTGGTTCAAGCTAGATTATTTAGGCAACTTTAAAGGACTTCTCATATGAAGAATTTTCATTATGAAAATTACAATTATGAAAAACAATATCCATAGTAGTTTACAAAATAGTGACCAATGACAATACAGTACTTAAAATCTACCATAAGCACTATGCAGTCAGTAAAACATGTCTTACCTTCATCCTCATCTTCATGATCAACATGTCCCAGGATGAGTCTCTCACACAGCACCGCTCTGCTCCGGGATGTTTCAAAGTACCTCAGGAGAGACGCCGGCACCTCATCTGCAGCCTGCGGTACACACATAAGAATAAATAATAATTACACATAAACAACTAATACTTAAAGGTCATACTCATATATTATGCTAAATTGACTCTTGTGAGATTTTTGTCTTATTAGAATGATGTTACCTCATCAAACACATACCTGGAATATTGTTTCATTCAGTCTACATCTCCAAAGCTCAAAATGCTCTGTTCCACCTTGTGTCATGTAGCAGTAGTTTTAAAGTTACACAACTACAGCTAAATTAAACAGCTACATTTTACCTTTTGTTTAGGAGATATCGGCAATTCCAGGGCTGAAATTATCCAGATTATTCTAGTGTATATAAAGTTTAAAAACACAGAGGAGCAATTTCTGCATTACCACATGACATCACAAGGTGGAATCGAATATTTTCAGTTTGAGAGAAGACCTCAGCCTAAATATGCTGGGTTTGTGTGTTAAACGTGTTATTATGTGTAAATAAAACAAAACACTACTCCAGGTCTAGAAAAAAAGTTTCAAAAGGAGCGCCTCCTGAACCTCCAGAGTAGAGAGAACGCAGTGGTGCTCTTTGGGGAAGGGAAGTAAATTTAAAGATGCAAAAACAAGGCACTCACTGGTTAAAGTAAATGCCTTTAGTAATTTACGGTTGTGTGTTAATAGACAACTTACAATGTCCCGACGCGTTTTAGCCTATGGCTTTCCTCAGAGGACAAAACCAACCCACTACTCCAGGTCTGTTTGTGATGAGGAAACAACACTGATGACATAGATCAGAAAATAGCGTAATAATTAGCACTGTAATGTGACTATGCATTTATTTGTTTCAGCCTTTCTTTTCAGCTAATTTTCTCTGGCTCAAATGTCAAACGCTAGCCTTGTGACCAAAACAACTTATTCGCCATAAAACCTAGCACATAGGCTAATTATTATTTTTAATATTTGTTTGAAAAGTTTGTCTGTATTTTAGGAAAACATCTATATTTGACATTTCACGGTTTATTTTATAGTATAATTTATTTACTGAGCTAAATAATGTTACTTAGGAGCATTATGTGCCCACCCTGGTGCATACGGGGCTTCAGATGGAAAGTAACAGTAACAGCTAACATACATGAACATTCACACAGACAGTGGCTCCCTCTTTTCTGCTTCACTCGAGAAAAAACTAAAACTAAACCACAACACTACCCACGCCAGTCCATCTTTCCCACAATCAGGTAATAATTTAGCTCCATAAAATACTTCTTTATAAAAGAAAAATAGATATTTATATAACTGTACAATTTTCTCTACTTTACCACTAATTTTAAGTGTCAAACGCGCTAGTTCTGGAATAAAACGACCGAAACAACTTCAAAACTACCGAAAATTTAATATAACAAAGCGGAGGGTAGTAAAAGTGACAAATAAACGTGCTTCTTGCCTAAAAACGTACCTCTTCGTCATAAAATGTTTCCGTTCTGTCAGACTCTTCGTCAAAGTACAGTGTTGTGTTTGTTGGATCGGCCTCGGTCATGGTGCGGTTTAGTTCGAGTAAAATAAACTCTTTTAGCGTCTTTTAAAATTAGCCAAAGCTGTTATAATTTTTGTCATGTTTTAACAGATATACAATGAGGACGACACGCAGAGTTTGTGTGGTCACCATGGAAACGGCTGTGTTTCTACAGAAGCTCACAAGAGACAAGCAAAGCAAAAGGCGAAGGAGATTTTACTCTAAAAATGACTTAACCCAATTAATGAAGTGAAGGATTTTGATAAATAAAAAATATATATAAATATTATTATTTTTTAATAGTGCATACCGATGTAATAAAATATTAAATAAATACGATAAAAATAATATAAATACTTCAAAATATTTGAAACAACTGAATTTGTTAATTTGTTTGTGCCATCCTCCCAGGCGCAGTTACAGGGATATACATGTATATCTATATCATCTATATCTGGAGAGAGAGAGAGAGAGAGAGAGAGAGTGAGAGAGAGAGAGAGAGAGAGAGAGAGAGAGAGAGTGAGAGAGAGAGAGGGAGAGAGAGAGTGAGAGAGAGAGAGGGAGAGAGACAGAGACCGAAGCCACTGTGGGACGGGTGCTCGCCACAATATGGCGCTCACGTAACGCTCTCGCTCTCCAAAACCAAAAGGCCCAAACCTTGTGCGGATAACCGATTAACACAGGCATGTCCAAACTATGGCCCGTGGGCCAAATGCGGCCCTCAGACAAATTTTTCTTGGCCCTCAGGCTTCCAGGAGAATTGGCCCAAAGTACCTTGCTTCAATGAAAAAAATACTTTTTATTGCAAGTTTTTTGAAAATCTACCTTAATAAAGCTAATATTTAATATATAGTGTGTGGTTTTAAGGATCTTAGTGTGAATAAAGGACTGATGGCTCATTCTAACGTGTTAAACATGCACATATTTCAATTACCCACTGTATTTAGCACCAGTCCCTTGATAGGCCCTCTTCTTTGTCTGTGTTTAGATATATGGCCCTTGAAAAAAGTTTGGACACCCCTGACCTAACAGGTCTGCAATGTTAGTGCAATTCTTTGCCAGATAGCCTCGTGATAGATCCATGGTTATCTCACAATAGAAAGCAAAATCATACAAATGTTATTTGAAATGCAGCAATTTTAGAGGGAAATGATAATGGTTTTATAATGATATTGAAGGGTTCCAGCTGCCTTTTAGACTTTTTCTCATTCAACAGTATAATATTTTGTTTTACATTGTTAATGATGAATGAAATGGATGACAGAAAATTTAAGTATTTGAATCACTATGGTAACAGTCATATTTCATTCTGAAAACATTCTGAAAACAAAAAAACAATTATTGCTTCTTTTATAACAAATAACAAATCACAATCTCACATTCTTGCTTAACAATTGAAATAACTATGTGGGCCTGTATATTGATAGAATGGGAGTCAAGTTGCTGTTCCCAGTAAGATATCAATGCATGCAGTGGGATTGGGTTAGGGCACTGGGGGCATCTGTCATCAAAAAGGGTCAGATCTGAGGAGGTGAAGGTGAATCACAGGATCGGAACAATCCCAATGTTTTCTGTGTTTAAACAAAGCATCAGTTTGCAAAGTCTGAGTCATCTGAGCCAAATGAACTGACCCCTGCCCACACATCTGTAAAACAACTTTACTGTTCTCTGGGAAATATTTGATTCTCATCAATTTATAAAACCAAGAATTAGTTTGAAGGCCACATTTTTATACCAGGTCAGGATTTTAAAATCCGAGAGACATTAAAATCTGAATTTTAACCCAATCAAAAATTTCAGTGCATGTTTGTAGAGGACTAAACTTCAGGGTTAGAACAGTTTTTTCATGGTGCTGGTTTGCCATTTGCTGGTTTCTTTGGACATATTGCTTTAGCTTCAGTATTCCATTCAGAGTATGGCATTTAGCATATATTTTGTATTCATTCATTTTTTGTTGCTAGAAAAACCCTTGGCCTGGTGGTGTGACCTGTTTGTCTCCTTGATAGATGCAGTATGTTTAAAGATCAAGTGTAGAAGATTTCAGGAAAAAGCAACAACTAACCAGAAATAAGTTACACAGTACAGCTTGTACTTCAGTGCACAGAATTTTGATAATAAATGTATTTCATGGAATTGCTCTTGTTCTTTTACTCCTACTTGTATGAAAGGAGCAGAGCCAGAGGAGAAGATAGCGGCAGAGCGAAAAGAGAAGACAGCAGAGCAAGAGGCAGAGGGAGAGGAGAGACAGGAGTAGAGCCAAGGGAGCAGAGAGGAGCAATCGGGAGCCGAACCAAGGGTGCAGATAGGAGCAGAGACAGGGGAGTAGGGCCAGAGGAGAAGACAGGAGCATACAGGAGCAGACAGGAGTAGAGCCAGAGGAGCAGACGGGCAGACAGAAGCAGAGCCACAGGAGCAGAGCCAGAAGAGCAGAGTCAGAGGAGCAGAGACAGAGGAGCAGAGCCAGAAAAGCAGAGCCGCAGGAGCAGACAGAAGCAGAGCTGGAGGAGCAGAGCCAGAGGAGCAGAGCCAGAGGAAGGAGCAGACAGGGGTAGACAGGAGCAGACAGGCAGACAGGCAGACAGGAAGTTAAGCTGCAGATTACAGCAATGAATGGGGCTGTGGGCCTCACACAGTCTGGTTTGGATAGACCCTGGTTGTTGTTTCTGAGAAGGCTTTTCTGAATCACGTTTGTGGTCTCTGTGTATAGGGCAGTGGGAGCATAGGAAAGAAGCACTCTGTCAAATGGGACATTTATAGGAATATGCTATTTAACTGTCAGACTGCTGGTTTCCTAACACATAAATCAGCTGATTTTTATTTTTTTATCAATTAATTTTATATCTGTATTGGAATTTAAAATTATATCATAATGATCTGCGGGTGTCAAGGACAATAAGTCTGCTTTAAGATAACTTTTCTTCATTTAAATTTTACATTGAGAATGTGGAGGAGCAGTGGCTCTACTTCAAGCTTCTGAGCAGAGGAAACAGGGCCATTCATTAAAGATCAGCTTCTCTAGGTGGGGCTGATGGTCATTTACATCAAATAAATCAAATGTCGATGAGATTAGTGGGACAATAATCATTAATAAAACATGTTTGCCTGAACTGTGGACACAAGAATCAGGTCACGACTGTGAAATGTCAAACGTTGCATCAGTAACAGCCGTGTTTAAACTACAGGATTTCCTGTGATCCTCTGTAACCTCTCATCAGTCACTTTTATGTAACACCTGTGTGAGGAGCAGAAGGCCTATATCCTAACTATAGACTGTATAAAAAGTGACCTAAATGAGTGTGATGTTACCCATAGCGTTTGGCTCCATTCAAATGACACTCGCGATGCTGGTGGTTACGGGGCGAATTTGGAACCAGGCTCTATATTATGAATATAATTTTTGTGAAAATAGTGAAAAAAAACCAAAAAACACTGGGATCATGTAGAGCGAGTTAATATGAACATTTTAAGGCCAAAATGATGAGGCTCACAGCAGCAGTTACAGGGAGAGGGGCAACAATATTCTAGTGTAAGTCAATTTGAGTCAGGGTCAGTAGGAGTCAGAAGAGCCCCCATGCAAACTTCCTGTGGCTAACGTGCTAGCTATGTCCATTCATATATACAGTCTATGAGCAATGGAGGACATTATTTCATACTGATACTTTGGAGTTGATGTCATCTACATTCCTTGGGGGTGTGATGCTAACTGGAGGCACTGCTCTGTCTGAGGCTTTGTTACTCAAATCTTTAGACTCTGCAGACATCTGATCATATAGAACTGACTTGAAAATGCGTGGTTTATATCAAATTAGTTGTTTCTTTTTTTGACTTTTCAGACAGTCTAAAAACTTAGAGGCAATGTATCAGACAAGTAATCTGAAAAGGAGAGTTTGAATGTTCTCTCTGTGTCTTGGTTTCCTCTGGGTGCTCTGGTTTCTCCTACCAATCTAACATGCGCAACAGTCTAAAACTCCAGCTAGGTGCGGCTGACCAGATCCGGAGCAGATCTGGTCCGCTGCTCTTGACAGGTTTAACCCAGAGACACTGAAGGATGGGGCAGTTGCAGAGAGGACACATTTACTACAAGGATCAGTTAGTCATAAAGCAGACATTGTACCATAGATCATTATGTTGTAATTGACACAATTTAAATCACAATATTTATCTAAAAGGTGTCCGCTGACTTCTGCTGCATTGCCCAGTGGGAGCAGACAATGCCGTAAATGTCATCACAACAAAGCACTCTGAAGTTGTTGGGCTCTCTTGAAAATAAGCAATTAAAGATTTTTCAAACATGCACAAATCACTTCTAATACAATTTCATGCAAATAAGAGGTGAGAAACAAGAGGGAAGCAACAATAATATGGTTAAAATTTCTAAAAAGTCTATTTCACATAACAGGTCTGCTTTAAATAATACCCGTTTATAAGATTGTGGACTATGAGCAAAAAGATTACAATGTTTACTTACTAACTAAAGTCTAGAGTAAATACATTTAGAGTTTAGTTTAGTTTAATCTCTGTCATTCACATAAAGGAAGTGTTTTAGTTTTAACCCAAACCAAACATTTTTTTCTTTTCATTTGCTCATCTGTCTCTGTCACATGATTCACTGTGGCGCTTTCAAAACCCATTCATAAACATGGGAGAAAACACTACTGTGCGATGTGTTCACTCTCCTCTGTAACTCTGAGTGAATGGTTTTAGTGTCTTATTATACACTCCTCTGTAACAGTGCAGAGTTGTTTCAACCACTGCAGTTAGACAATATGGCATAATGCACATCTGTCTGAGGCTATGAGAACTAAAACTGCTGAGTCAGGAAATATAGTCTTTATGTTTATTTGTAAATACTTAATACTTACGGACATAGAACATAAGCATAGGACATAGCTAACTCGCTCGCCACTGCATTCCGAACAAGAAGTGAGCAAGCACGATGAGCTTCATTTGGCTGGAGCTGAAGGCTATGGGTGATGTCACACTCACTTAGTCCACTTATACAGTCCATGTTGTGACCCCATGTGACCCAAGCGGCCCTCAGCAGTGGCTTGTGATAATCCGCATGCTTTTTACAGAGAGAAATATGTTCAGATATAGTAAATGCTTTCTCTAGAACAGTGACAAATTCTGTTCATTCTGTTCTTAGAGTCAGACATAAGGATAGAGCCTGGAGATGTTAAAGTCCTCCTCACAGAGCAGAGACCGGCCTCCTCTGCAGTCACATGCACTGCACCATCACTCAGGGCAGGACAAATATATGTGCATATGTTTCCATGGAGATAAATAATGCCATACTTTATGATAGGTGACCAATGAGCTCCTTTGCAGATCTGATCGGACGGTCATGTTTGAGCCAGGTTTGAGACGTGACATGGGGACCAAACTGATATCCCTCTGTATAAAAAATACACAGAGGGGTATCAGTCTGGACTTTAACTCCCCCTCCCACCCTCTTGACCTCTAACCCCTTTGACCACAGACCTCCTGAGAGCTCTGGTGCTGTTCGGACATGAACGGAATCTTCTGCGGAGGACTTTGGACACGTCCCAGAGCTCCTGCTGTTCTTAAAGGTCTGAGTGGTGGACATGTCCCACAGAGCACAGCTGTCCCCCCCTCTGTCCCATACTTCAGTCAAAAATCCCAGACAGGTCCTGGGATAGTGGTCTGAGGGTGTCTTTCATAAGGGCCACACAGGAGATGAGGGGAGAAGGACATTTTAAACAAACAAAGTCTGTTTTTCTGTGTTACAAAATATTTGGCTTCATTTCAAAATCTCATGGATGAAGATTATGATATAATTTTGATATATAGATTTGCATTTGTTGGAAGAGATAAACAAAAAATGTTCATAACCTGTTTCTGCTAGATTCAGTAGTGGTAAACTTTTTCTGTATGGCTGCCCTGGGGTAGACTCACACAAGTAAGGCTGCCAATTTGCATTATCAGCCACTCCGACCACCACCAACACTCAGTCACACCACAATCATACTAGTGATGATAAATTGTCTTGCTTAAAGATGCACTGGTTTGTACTGGTGATCTTGAGTCCAGGGGGTAAACACTCAACCACTGAGCCAATGCGTTAGGACACTTTTAACAATGATGCCGAAGACGTCACTGCATTTGGGTCAAAGGATGGTACTACTTTTAACAAAATTATATTTTTCAAAGTAGTTTTCAAGTCCCATACTTTCACATCTACTTGAGCAATATATATATAGTACAGTGTAATAGTACCCCTACTTGGGTAATATATTGTACAATACTCCTACTTCAGTAAAAAGTATGTTTCCACTTAGATTAGATAAAATTTTGTTGTCATTGCAATTGATATAAATACAAGGTATTCTTCCCACTGTAAGTCTATAAGTGACAAAAGCTTTATGTTGACAATATGAAATGATTTCAACATTTGTATTTATTGCACCACTCCTTCAGGCATGATTTAGTGTGTATCATTTTTGTGTCTAAATACATTTGGTCTCTGTTTTGAGCACCTTGAGTTCAGCAGAGACACAACAGAGGCTCAGATAAGTCCGACTCTCATGTCCTGGTCTTATCTCAATATGGAACTGATACAAGCTCCTCATGACCTTCACTCTATCTACGCAACTCACACTAATATCTGCAACTAGGGTTAGACCAGGACGAGATCAAGACTAGACCAGGAATAGACCAGGACTAGACCAGGACTAAACGAGGATAAGACCAGTACTAAAGGGCTAAACATGAATAAACCAGGACTGAACCAAGTCTATAACAGTACTGAACCACAACTAGACCAGGACTAAAGGGCTAAACCATGACTAAACCAGGACTGAACCTGGTCTAAAACAGGACTGAACCAGTACAAGACCAGGATTAAACCAGGTGTAGACCAGGACTAAAGGGCTCAACCAGGACTAAACCAGGACTGGGTTTCCTCCTACAGTGTTTCTGTTGTTATTACTCAGCTCAGTTTGAAATTCTGGCATCCTTGTTTCAAATATGATTGTGTTTTGCGTCATTGACAAAGACAGTCAGTGTGTCAAAGAACTGGATACAAACACATTCAGAAATAGTCAAATCCTCTAGCTAAGGTAATCTTGACCAACATTTGCTCAAGATCTGGAAATGAGCCCCACTGCACTGAGAGATGGGTCAAATGCATGCTTAACCAAGAGACTCTGAAGTACGGGTCAGGACACAGAGGACACATTTCCCTACTTGGCGTATGCTGTCACAGCTTTGTCATGATGAATTGAAGCTAAAAGTGATGTCTTCATACCTCTTGCATTGGCCTCTGATTGGTGGAGATCTCTTGTGACATGTACAGAGATGTGCCCACATGATCCATGGTCACAGTCTGTTCTTCCTCCTCCTCACTATCAGCTCAAGTCACTAAAGTCATCAAGAATTCAACAGATCAACTCACCAAGAGAGGGTGAAACCAAGGTATTTGACCCTCTCTTCTGCTCCTCTTTTCCACCTGACTCTCTCTCTTTTCTCCGTCTGACCCTCTCCCTTGCTCCCCTATCCCTCTCCTCTGCTCCTCTTCTCCATCTGACCCTCTCCTCTGCTTCTCCTCTCCATCTGACCCTCTCTTCTGCTCCTCTTCTCCATCTGCCCCTCTGCCCCATTTAAACCTAGAATAGTCCTGTCCTAGACCTGATTTAGATGTGGTGGAACTTGGATGGGCAAACATTATCTTGGTTGGTGGTACATGGTGTAAATATTTGAAAACCACTGATTTAGAATTTACTGAAGCAAACACCTCCACACAATGTTTCTTTGAAATGAAACTTTAAATCTACTTTAGTTCTCAGAATTTGCCTCTTCTGATACTGTCTGAAGTTCAAAGCAGTGAACCTCACAAAATAGGATTATAACCTCAGGAATCCAGATGGTCAACTGTCTTTTCAATGAAACCAAAGAAAGTTTATCTGTCTCCTCCTCTCAGTAAGGGGGTTGTGGTGGGTTAGACTCTTGATCTCTCGGGAGTGTGAGTGTGCATATCCTCCCTGTGTTACTGTGGCAGAGCAGTTACTCTGTCTACTTCTCTCAGTAAGGAAGTTGTGAGTTAGAAAGATATTTTTCTCTAGCAAAGTAAATGTTAAGGTTGATGTATTGTTTGTATCTGCAGACTGTTTTGACTCTAATCCACTCAAAGAACAGGGACCCTCTCTATTGTCTGTTCCACATGTCACTTCACGCGGGCGATGACGCACAAACCACTCCGACCTTGAACTAAAACCACAAACTCAAACCTCAAAACTTCAAAGCAAATATTTCTTTTTACCACAAACCTCTCAACGGGAATAGGAATGAATAATTTCCACTTTTCTCACATAACGTTTCCAATAAAATAGTAAAATTAAATCGCGTATAAACCATATAAACAGTAGCACATTGCTCAGGCTCGTTCCGTGTTGCAGTGGAGTAGTGGTCCGTACCAAGTCTAAAACAGGGGTGTACCCGCTCCAAAAGACGACTTTAACCAACGGACACGTATAAAAAAACAAAATACTTTCAATTTACTCCATTTACTACGAGGTATAACGTGTCTGAGTAACGCTTTTGTGTAAAAACGTGGTTTATCGCGAGAATAGTGTGTTGGTTTTGCTTGTCCCTCCCCTCGCCCCCGCTTCTTGCCATAGACTCCGCACTGTCTCTTGTCTCTCGCATCACTCGCCTCCTTCTCACCGGTGTCTGACCACATCCAAGACCGACCCGCCCGTGACAATGCCTGCTCCCTGCATGTGCTCTCACAATTTCATCCCCTGATCCTCGCCATTTGGATATCACGCTTTTTTTGCACAGGTGAGGCTTTAAATACATGTTCCTCTACTTAACATGTTCCAAATGTATGTGGGGATGTTTGAATGAGGCCAGTGCGGGCAGTGGTGGGAGATGATGAAACATTTCGCGGGGATGACACGCACGAGGCGAGGGCGCGTGGGGCTTATCATAAATTAGCTTATAATTAAACATGTTTCAATCATGACGCACTGGGAGATTTGTGGTTTGACCCATTTTACAAAGCCATATTTTATTTTTATCTCAATAGATTAAACGTCAGGTATTTTCAATTATTCACGCCCATACATTCCAGAGCGAAGTATCCACTCCCTTTTCTGACGTTTACCGGCTTTTTGCCGGCCTTTGATCGCGCACAGACGCACCGCTTGGTGCAGTGTTCTGGATTTATCGCCAAATCGCTACCACTGATTATGAAACGTGTCTGGCCTCTCCTCTCCAACCAACCAAGCATCCAACCAGCTAAACTGACCAGGCAAAGGGACTGTTTTATCCGCTAACCCAGTGCGTAGAGGAGCGTTTAAAAAGGCGTCTCCAGAATCAGCGGTGGGATCGTGTATGTCAGTTCGGTTTGAGTGACACGTTTTTCACAGGTGATGCTGCGATGATGGTGCGCTTTCTTCTCCGCTCTTCCTCTGCGCTCAGGGTAGCGATGCGACTTTCGGCTCTTTTATAGGATCCGAATCTTTTGGATCGGCTCATTTCAAAGACCCGTTGAAAAGATTTGCTCTTTTTTATATTAATTTACTGCGAAGTCATTTTATCTACAAACTAATCACAGAAAGAAATTACTAAAGCAAGGGTTAGTTTGAAATGGTTCAAACTGAGTGTGGGAATGTGCACCCTTTGAAATTATACAGAATCAAAATAAAAGGTTAGCCTATAATAATAATAATTAAAAATTTGTCTTTTTTTTTTTTTTGGTTTGGTTGTTCTCACTTGTGTTTCCTATTCTGCTTCTGTGATGATTTTTGCGTTGGCTCAGCATTATTTAGTATAAGTATCAATAAAAACTAGAAAGAAAAAGATTTGGGTCTTTAAAAAAATGTTGTTAAGGAATCGTTTAAAAGAGCCAACTCGTTCATGAACGTCACATCACTAGCTCTGACCATGCGGCGCGCCTGGTTTACTGTCTGCTATTAAACGAGTCGCCTCCAGTGACTCCAAGTGAAATGTGCTCATTGTAATCAAAATGGACACGTCTGCTCGAGTATACCCGCCGTTTTGCTCGGAGGAGGTGAAGTCAGGTGATCCGACAAAAAATGCTCTCAGCAGAGAAATGCACGTTCTGTAGCGACGAAACTGGATCATCTGTGGTCTGAAAACGCGTAACAAAGCTCAAAACGTCCATTTTGTCCATTTTGAATATTAGCTGTACAAGATTAGGATTTTAGATGTTACATAAGAAATGGATTGTTTGAATAGATTGTTAAAATACCAAGCAGAATTAACAAGGCAAATAAAAAATATAGGCCTACTGACATTTATAGAAATAGGTTTGGTTTTCCACTATCGCGGTGTCTAGACTGGAGCCAAGAGCCCCGTGTGGTTTATAAAGGTTACATCAGGACATGGACTGAAAATAAATTATGCATTTTTTTCCCCATTCAAATTATAACCAAATTAAACAAAATAAAACATGTACGTTAGTGGCAGAGTGGTTATCCTGTCACCTCTTCTCAGTAAGGAGGTTGTGGGTTAGACTCCTGATCTCTTAGAATGAGTGTACGTGTCGTAGAAGTGTCAGACACGGCCAAAGTGCCAAAACTATTTCACTTCCTCTACTCTAAAAAGGGCACTTTTTGGAGATGCAATTTATCAAAGGGTTGCATCATATAAAGATCCATTTTCATATGACATCTTATCATTCATATTAGCAGCTAAATATAATATTGTTATAATGCAGAATTTTGTTGTAATACAGTGAGTTTGTAATTCAATAAAAATAAATATCAGATTCAGGTCTGTAGGTCAAAGTCAGGATTCTGAAATGTCCCTGAATATGAAATCTAACTTGTCTTTACACTCAGAGAGTATTGCCTCTGCCTCCTTGGGCCTGTGCAGTTTGTTGTGGAATCTGATCTGCTTTAAATATTTGAGGGATTTCCCTTCAGTGTTTGGGTTCCTATGCAAATCCTCCATCTTCAATAATTCAGGAGAAACATGAGGACAGTCAGGATGCAGCTGATAAGGCTGTGCTCACCAATGAGATCTAGAACGTGATCATTTCACATAGAGCAGGGGCCTATTGGTACTTTGCAGTGACAGAGATGCATTGTAATCAAACTGAAAATGCAAATGTAGCTATGTCTGTGGAAGAATATTCATCAGTTACCATGGTGACACAATGCACACATTAGCAAACGCAGCCTGATAAGTTTTTAGATAGTTTAAACACATTTTCAGGAGCCTGTGATCAATACAAGCATTCATGGTCCTGTATGGGTGTTGTATTTTCAACAAAAAGGTGAGTATGACTAACTGAAAACCTGCTAGCTAATACTAGCTAGCTTGTGACTGTAATTTTATTTAAATGTGTGATTTTTGAAAGATATATCACCACCAACTGAAATATATCATTACCATACCATACCAGCTCGTCAAAGCCTGATCCCATCAGGTCTCAGATGCGAAGCAAGGCCAGGCCTTGTTACTACTTGAATGGGAGCCTGCTGGGAAAATCAGGTGCCACAAGGGGCGTCAGTCACAAAAACTGTTGTTATAACCTTAGGCAAGGCACTTCACCCACATTGCCTAGTATGAAAGTGGTGTGTGCATGCGTGATGGTGGTGGTCAGAGGGGCTGATGATACAGATTGGCAGCCTCTCTTCCATCAGTCCCATGGAGTGAATGAATAATGAGCTGTAAAGTGTCTCTGAGTGTCCAGAAAAGCGTTAAATAAAACTGATGCATTATTATTCATTATTATTTGTTTGGGATTGGCTCCACAAACTTGTCATGTTAATATTATGGTTTAAAGTCCTTTCAACTGACAACATCACATCTTTGGGCTTGAATAATGACACCACTTTCTGAAGCTACAGTAAAAACAATCATTTCACTTGTGGGTATTTGTAAGATGTGGAACTTTTTTGTTTTTGTTTCATGTAGAAAGGCCCAGTATTACAGATATATGAACTATAAACCAGGTCAACAAATCTGTAATCTGACAGTTAAACAACAAAAAATAATCAGCTCTTGTAGGCACTTTGGAGAACTGTATAAAATCACCCTCAAATTTACTCAAGTCAAAGTTATTTGTATTTTAATTGCATTAAATCTAGATTATTTTACAGTGCACATTGTCAAGTGATGTCATGTGAGGGGATCCTGACTTTATCACTACTACTTTCATTAATATTGTGGTTTATATGAGGCCATACAGTTAAAGACTCAACAGATTTCAAAATGTAACTGGATGCATATTATAATACAGTTGGTTCAGTTTAACTCAATTCACAGTTTATGAAAGAGATACCCAAAATGAAAATTCACAAATGTTACACTATTATTTGTTCAATATTGCATCCACAAACTAGCTGTATTGAAGGAACTGTATGTAAAATCTTGATTTTAAATGTTAGAAACCTGACACAGCTGTGTCCCCAGATATAAGGTAAACATGTACAAATCAAGTATAGGTATTACTGATAACAACTGAAAAGCTGATTTATTCTTAACTACAAACCCATTGATAAGATGACCATGCTGTTTATGTTATAATTTTGGTTCTCAAGACGATTATCCAATCAGGAAGCAGAAATCATTTGAGTTTCAATGCTGAAATCCAGTTGGTTTAAAATTAAAATGCCTCTCTCTGATCTGAATGCACATGCAGCCAGTCATGACTCAGTGCTAGTGCAGCCTCTTCAGCTCATTGAGGGAATTCTGGAGGTTCTGAGCTTTCACGTGAGCTATGGCCTGTCCATATACTTTTAGTTTTTTCACAGTAATTGCATCTTTTTGATAGAATTATGAGAAAAATATTTCAGCTTAGTTAATTGAGCTCACATATGATGCATAACAAATATTTTGTAATTTTTTAAAGGAATAATTGATTATTCAAATCAAGTGAACAGCAAAGACCTAAATAGAGAAGATATTAAACTTAATGTCACTTACTATGTCTCCTCTGTGTGTGACAGGTCTGAGGTGAAAATGAGCAAATAAGCCACGCCCTTCTCTCTCCTTTTTCAACAACCTCATTTAAAAAGACTGATTCCATCTCTGCCCTGTCTCTACACTATCCGTTTCACTTCCTGTTTCCTGTGCCCCTCCCACCTTACCTTATTTGGACACGAGCTCCTGCCCAATGCCCAAAAGCAGTAAGTCGGTGAAGAGAGGCGACTTGGACGAAGACGCCACAGAGTCTGCCCGTGATCTTCTCTCCAATGAAGATGGCACCGACGAATCCTTTAAGAAGACCGCGCTGATTGTCAACGGTGATGGGCCAGTGTGCGGGGCCAAGGACGTGGAGGAGGCGGGATCAGATGAGGAGGAGGAGGAGCGTCCAGCCTGGAACAGTAAACTGCAATATATCCTGGCTCAGGTGGGATTCTCCGTGGGGCTTGGGAATGTCTGGAGATTTCCCTATCTCTGCCAGAAGAACGGAGGAGGTGAGAATTTACTATTATGCAGTCTTAAACATGTGAAAAATAGAACAAGTTCATTTTAAGTAGTTTGCAGTGGTCCAAAGTTATTCCTCACTTACCTTATGCATTCAGAGCATTCTAGTTATTCACCATGATGAGTTTATAAGCACTTTTCACAGCGTAGCTTGAGCATCACAGCACTGTTAACAACATGTATCATACTAACATTGCACTTCCTGGTTTGTGGATGATAAAATGCTTTCTTTTTATGTAGACAGTACAGACAGGCCACTGCTTGTACAATATATCTGTTCTGGACAAAACAAAATTTATTTAACTAAAATAAAAAATAAAAAACGGTACAGTCCCTTTAAACGTGACAGCAGTAGCTCGAGGGTTGGAGCGTTCACCCATTAACCCAAAGGTCAACACGTCAATCCTGGCTTCAACCAATTCATATTGTAGTTGTGTCCGCAGGCAAGACACTTCCACCCATGAATGTGCTGAGCATTGGTGGTGGTCAGATGGTCCGAGGGCACAGATTGGCAGCCTTGTTTCCGTTGGCCTGCCATGGCTACAGCTGTGGCTACAGGACTGTCTTAACCACCACCAGTGAAGAGTGAATAATAATGATAATACTGTGGCTTTTCTTCTTCATATTCGAGCCAATTTATGTAATTCCTTCATGAAAAACATACCTGGAGTTCTGTGTTATGCACACACTCAAACTGAAAATATTAGTTAAAGATTAAGCTGATGCTTAAAAATAGCATCAAAAACAATCAAAAACAAATTTAACTTCTTGCTCCATCCTCTGCCTCTTGCTGTGTTCTCCCCTCTATCCCTCTCTCCTCCCCCCTCTCTCTCTTTTATATTTTGTGTGTTTGTCATATTGTTTAGACTCTCTCTAGTCTCTTTCATCACTCTCTCCCTCCTGTTTTGTGTGTGTGCTCCTGATATTGTTTTTACTCAATCTCTCTCTTTGTTTCTTTCTCCCTGTCTCCTGTCTCTCCCACCCCTCTCTCCTTCTCTCTCTTCTCTTTCTCCTCCCCTCCTCTCCCATTCTTTCTCTCCCTCCCTTTTGTCCTCGCTCTCTTTCTCTCCTGTATTGTGTGTACATGTGTGTCCCTGGTATTGTTTTAACTCTCTCAGTCTCTCGTTGTGTTCTATATAATTAGATTAACCCCAGACAGTCCGTGTGTGTGGCAGTGTTTTTATATACATGTGACGACATACAGGCCTGTGTTTGAGACTGTGCAGTAGGGCTGTGCAAAAAAATCAAAAGATTGATCAATCTTGATTTAAACTTTGATCAACCTTGATGATAAGATGAGCACATTTTAATCGACAGGTCTACGGCCAATCCTGTGGCTGTAAAAGCACATGGTACTGACGAGGAGCCACCACTCTCTTGTTCAGGAGAAAGCTCTGAGTTACAGCGCATCTCTTTATGTCTTCTCATGTCTTTGTGTTTCACAAGTTTTGACTTAAATCTAAACAGTCTGACTAAAAGTCTCATCCCTCTGCATCTCTGTGTGTGGTGCCGTCTGGGTTTAAACTCAGGTTAGGCAAGTAGTGACTATGCTTAGGATCAGTCTCCAGAAAATGAACGGATGTCAATGTAATGTACAGAGCCTGTAACCAAACAGTGAAATCCACTTTCATTCACATTGCCTCATAGTCCACCATTTGTCTAATAACTTTTCCTTCTAAAATGGTCACAGTTAGTATTTTTTCATTCTTTTCCCCTATTTTATCCTAACCTAAATAAAAGAGTTAATCAACTATTCCCTGGATTACTCCTGGTTCAGTTATTATACTGATTTAAGTACTGATTTAAAACTGCTTAAGTATAGCCTTGTTTTTTGCTTAGTTCTATTTTAATCAACAACAACATTTTCAGGAACTTGTGATGAATATGAGTGTCCTGACATGGTGGTCCTGATTAGGAGTTTGAGTTACAACAAAAAGATGAAAGTGACTAACTGAAGTCTGTTACTAATGAAAGCTGATAGTAATTTTTAAGTGTGAGAGACTTGTTTAACAGCACAAACCAGCTCCCTGTTGTAGTTTTAACTAATTCAGCTCTTTCTGGTCAAATTGTATTAAAACAGAGCTTAGATTGAAGTCTAACTTCAGTAACAGAACTTCAGAGTGAGCAGTGTCTACAAGCATGGCTGGGATCCTGCACTTGAGGTTTGACCTGGTTTAATTCACTATATTATTAACACCCTATCAACATTACGGTGTTACACATAAGGCAGTAAAAGTAGAGCCCATTAAAGCCCTGTATTTAGAGGCAGGTTCAGACTAGTGGTTTATGCTGGACTCAGTAATCAGAGTCTGACTCATTTAAGCCCTGCCTTCAGTTACTCATCAGGTCTGTAAATACAACTTTAATACTACTACTACTACTTTTGAAGCGTTCATCATGGTCGTAGTGGAACCATGAGGGAATGGGCTGTGTGATGCTGTACTACACAAGTTTGTTTGTAGAGCTATTTAAATTGTGGGAGTAGCTTCCCCACTCATTTTTAGTATGACTTCATTGCACATTTGTGATTATTGATACTTTGTAGCTGATGTCATCAAAATTCCTGGGGGTTGTGATTCGAACTGTAAGCACTGCTCTGTCTGAAGCTCTGTTCCTTTAGTAAAATGTTTAATGTGAGCTCTGTTTTGACACAGTCTAACCAGAAAACTGAACTTAACTGACTTAACTAGAAGTACAAAATGTAATCAGATTTATGCTGTTAGACAAGGCCATCTCAAATAACAATAACATAAACAGGAAGTCAACAGTGATTAATCCTGTAACAGTCATATGTGGATAAGACATGCATGATGGTGATGATATGAAAAAAAAAACATTGATTAATGAGCTCAGTGTATATTTCATACTCATTACTGTTCAAAGATGAATCAAAACATGCCTCAGAAGTAGTGTTTGATTTTGGGGAGTGTGAAAGTGAAACAGGAAATGATTGTAAACACAAGGGCTAGGGGTTAGGGTTAGGTTGCTTTATTCGTACCCGTAGGTAAATTTGCTTTGCAGATTTGAGAAGCAGGTTCCACATTTCTTTCATCCACAAAACACATATAAAAACACAATTACAAAATAAAGTGTTACAGTGCTCCAGTGCAGAATGGTTTGCAAGAGAAATACAGTCGATATTAACTGAAGGGTCGTGTGCAGAGCGTGACTTCTTTGACTTGTTACCTAGCAACCATAATGTAAACAAGGGTCAAAACTTGTCTAAATAGTAATTATTACACTAATGAAGACACCTTTCTTTAGTTAAATGCCTTCCTAGTGCATAAATTATCCCTGAAATTTGGAAGGATGACATTTGTTGATAACATAGGTATTTTTGTAATTTTCTTCTCAACCTTTTCCATTTAACTGATGTAAAACTCTGATAAATATTTACCACAGATACTATAACACCAAGCCAAGTCAGAATTCTAAAAACATGAAACTATAGACCTATTGTTACTGTTACTGAGTGTGATCCTGTGAATATCCAGTGGGCATTATTAAAACAAAGACAATTTATGTGAGCTTGATCATGAGTTTAGAGCTGCTGTTTATTTAAAAAAAAAAGTTTCTCGAAGCAATATAAAAGCAATAGCTAAACCACTTACAAAACACAGAGTTTTCTGAAATGTTTTGCATATATATGTTTTCAAATTCAGAGACAGCAATCGGAACCTTAAACTAATCTAAGAATCCCATGAATTTCAGAACATGTTTGTAGAGGTCCAATATGCAGGGGTAGCATCTTAATAACACATCATCACATCATGTAGACAAAGGGAGGGCACCTGACACTTGTGTGTGTGTGTGTATTTGTGGTTTCACATCAGATTTTCCTGGAAGTGAAAGTGCCTCTTCATGACTTACACTTGTAGTGAGTTTGTGCTGATGATATTTGTGTTTTTTTTTTACTTCTATTCATTTTTAATTATCAAGTAAAGTTAAAGGTGTATTCTGTAACTTTTCTGGTGAGGGGTCTGCCACTTGCTTGTCTTTATAGAAGTGTTATTACTGAGCTGTAAATGTTCCACAATATGGCATTGAGGTTATCTATCTTGTATTTATTCAGTTACAGATGAGTTTTATTGTGGAATTACCTTGAAAAACATGAATTTGAACAGTGAGAGGGCTTGCCTATAATTTGGCCTGGTTGTCTCCATGGATAGATACATTTAATGCCATACAGTGGAACGATCAAGCCAAACAAAAACGTTCCTTACCTGATCCTTCTGGTAGTATCGTTTTGGCTCATGAGTTTATACATCTCTCTGTACTGTAGGAGCGTACCTGGTCCCGTACCTGATCCTGCTCATCCTCATTGGGATCCCTCTTTTCTTCCTGGAGCTCGCTGTGGGGCAGAGGATTCGCCGTGGCAGCATCGGCGTCTGGAACTACATCAGCCCCAGACTAGGAGGCATTGGCTTTGCCAGCTGTGTGGTAAGTACACAGATAAATTAATACTACTACTACTACTACAGCTGTGTGGTAAGTACACAGATAAATTAATTCTACTACGACTACAGCTGTAATAGTAGCAGTAGTGTTAACTTATCTGTATGGTAAATACACAGATAAGTTAATACTACTACGGCTGTGTGGTAAGTACACAGATAAGTTAATTCTACTACCACAGCTGTGTGGTAAGTACACAGATAATTTCTGTCACTGCCACTGCTACTGCTCAGAAGATAAGCGGGCCAGGCCTGGTTGGATGGGAGGCTGCTGGAATATGAGGTGCCATAGTGGGACAGCAGTGACTCTAGTGCAAACTGTTGTGATGTCCTTAGGCAAAATACTTCACACACATTTCTAAGTGTGAATGTAGTCTGTTGGTGTTGGTAATATGGCCATTGGTGCATACTGGCAGCCTCGTCTCTGTCAGTCCGTCCCAGGGCAGCTATGGCTACAATAGTATCTGAGTGTGGAGTGAATTAATAATGCACTGTGTAGTGCTTTGACCTGTCCTTCACCTGTCAGCTTCACCTGTCTGTCTTTCCTCAGGTGTGCTTCTTTGTGGCGTTGTACTACAACGTGATCATTGGCTGGAGCCTGTTCTACTTCTCTCAGTCGTTCCAGCAGCCTCTGCCCTGGCATGAGTGTCCTCTGGTCAAGAACAAGACCTACACCTGTGAGTATTAAAACAAATCTACACCAGTGTGAGTGTTACACAGGACATAGAACTGAATCTACACCTGAGAGTATGTAGCACTACACTTACAAGTGTTAATACAAGATCTACACCATACAGAAGAGTACCTCTACCTGTGAGTTTATCATACCGCATCTGCGAGTGTTAAAACAAATCTACACCAGTGTCTGAAGAGACACTACAGTCTGTGTTCGAGATGCTCTGGCCATTAGCCATAGCATTAGCTTCATGAGGCAAACAGCTGCAACTTTACTTGTCCTTCTTTAGAATACAGTATGGTATTGGTTCTGTGAATTGGTTTGAATACCAGCTGCTGCAAAATGTGCTTTATCAGAGTGTTTGCCGATACCTGCATTGGTTTCGGAACAAAACTAATCTTTTGAAATTTCATAGACCAATTTAACATAAGTAACATAAGTAAACTGATACAATAATCCCCCTTTCCCCCCTCTCCCTTCTTGCCTCCCCTCTCTTTCATCCCCCTTTATCTCTCTCCTCAGATGTGGTCCCTGAATGTGATAAGAGTTCGGCCACCACATATTACTGGTACCGCGAGGCTCTGGACATCTCCGACAGTATTTCAGAGAGCGGAGGTCTCAACTGGAAGATGACCCTGTGTCTGCTGGCTGCATGGACCATGGTCTGCCTGGCCATGATCAAGGGCATACAGTCCTCCGGGAAGGTACTAGAATCACACAAAATTTTTCTGTCTAGTAGAACATACAGTCCTTGGCGAAGGTACTAAGTCAGACTAATGTACTGACCATCAATCAGGGGTCACCAAACTTTTTTCTCTGGGAGCCACATTATCATTCCTGACTGTGATGAGGGGCCGGGGTCGGGTCAGCTGTATAACAGAATTGATTTACCCTGACGACGCAGATTATATTAATTGAAAACCGACATATATATATATATATCAGATAAACTGCACTGTCCTTACACTTTCATTGTTGTTGAAAACTCGGCACTCCCTGTCAACTTTTCGTACTTTAACACAAGCCATTTTGCTGTCTTTAACTGCACTACAGTACTCTGTCTGTTTGATCTCGAACTTGTCAGGTGATGAAAAGTCGGCAGCAAATGTAAATACATCGTATAATTATTTAAATATAATACATCGTATAATTATTTAAATATAAGACATTGGATAATTATTTAAATATAAATACTTCGAAGGGGCATGGAGGGCCGGAGTCAGCCCACTGGCCTTAGTTTGATGACCCCTGCCATAAAGCATACTGTCCTCCGGGAAGGTACTACAATCACACAATATTATACTGTTTATAAAACACACAGTCCTCTGCGAAAGCTACTGAAAATATACTACTGTAATGTCTCCTCTGGGAAGGTACTAGAATGACACTAATGAACTTAAAAAACATCTATAGAACATACAGTTCTCCAGACTACTAAAATATACAGTAGGCCTCCTATACAACATAGTCCTCTGGGAAGGTACTAAATACAACTGTAATGACAATACCATGGAATATCCAGGCCTCCAGAAAGGTACTAAACTAGGGTGACCAGAATTTCAAAATCAAGAACAGGGACACTCTCAGTTTGGGGTGGTTGGTAATAATAAAATTGTGAAACGAGTGCGTTTTCACAATTGTTCATTGTTTCACAAAAAACACAAAATGGACAAGACATCTCCAGGAGCCTGTGATTAATACAAGCACTCATGGTCCTGTTTAGGTGTTTGATGTTCAAGAAAAAGGGACTTGTTTAAACGAATAAATCAGCTCACCTTTGTAGTTCCAACCAAGTTACCCCTTTCTGGTCAGATTGTGCCAAAATAAAATAAAGTCTAACTTGAGTAACAAAGCTTCTAACAGCTGTGGCTTTCAGTTAGCATCACACCCCCAGAGAATATTGATGACATCTGCTGCAAAGTATCAATAGAACATCTAGTCCACCAGAAAGGAACTAACTATGTACTGACTATACCATCTAAAGAACACCATATAGGCCAACTTCAGAAAGGTAGCTTTTTTCATCTTGCATTGTTATACCCTCTAGAATAGTGTGCTGAAGGAGAGGTGATGGCAATAATCTGAAAAGCTTCATTGTTATTGCGAACAAAATAGTGGCCCTACCTCTTTGTCAATGCCCAATCTCATTTGATTGAGGCTGGGCCTGGTTAGTACTTGGGGTCTCTTTGGGCAAGGCACTTCACCGACATTGCCTAGTATGAATGTGCGGTGTTTGAGAGTGTAGGTAGTAGTGGGAGGGGCAAATGGTGCAAATTGTGGAGTGAATGATCTCAGTAGAAATTGGATTTGTACACTCTTGACCCAGTCCTTGGAAATGTAGGTTTTCCTCGGTTCAGTTTATAGGGTCAGATTTTATGAATGAAGATTATGATCAATGAAAAAGTGGATTTAAGTGGATTTGGAGTAAGCCGAGATCAGAGGAGGGATCAACGAAAATCAAAGAAATTCACAGAATTGTAACGGAGGCCATTTTGTGGAATTATCTTCAACTGGAGCCTGATCTCTGACCTTTGCTGATGAACTGTTAAACTCGCCGTTGTAGAGTTACACAGGATATAAAGAGGAAGTGCACCAGGATTACCTGAGAAGAACCTAACCTTTAGCCGCTATGCTAATCCGCTCAGGTGCTAGTCACGCTACTGTCAGCGCTGATGCTAAGCTAAAGTCACATGAGTTTCATATTAGAGGCTTAAACTGTGTCCAGTCCTGTGTAATAAGTGTGGACAAGCTATTCACACTTAAAGGTGCACTTTGTGACTTAAACTGGAAGGAAATAAGGTTGTCAAATGTATTGAAAATGAGATGCTAAATCAATACTAAAACTAGCATCAAAACTGGATACTCATTTGAGCAGGTATCCATACTAAAAAGTCACATTCACAGGTAGGGGTGTGCAGAAATATAGATATATCGTATCATTTAATACAATTATTTTGTTACAACACTACAGTGGTATTGCTTGTTTAGAGGAAAAAAACTCATTTATGCAACACATGTGACATTTTCACTGTTTTGATGATTAAAATGGGTGTGTCTCATATCAACTTTGTACAAGAAGTGGTTTAACAAAGACTTTTAGTATCACAGCCATCATTTAGCCTTTATTTTTTATTGAACCGTATCAAATCGATTTGAAATATATCGTATCGAACTGAAAGCTCACTGTATCGAGATATGGGTCGTATCATGGCCTATGTATTGAGGTATGTATGGTATCGGCAACTTCTTAATGATGATGACTATTCACAGGACAGAAATGTACTTTTCCTGAATAGTTTTAGAACGAGCTTGAGCTATATCAGAACAAGTATAAGAGCACACAGACTGGTATACGCCCATGAACCACTATGGAACCAACCTGGACCACCGACAGATTACACAGATATAAGGCCACGTGGCCTATGATTTAATGCTGAAAAACACATTCTATTGTCTAAAGAAAGAGTATTTTTATCAGTTTATTGTGGTTTTGGAATCATGATTGTATGATCTATTCCTTATTATCGGAACCAAGTTTGAAATGTTTGTATTGTAGCAACAAATATAGACAGGTTAGAATCAGTCCTTGATCAATCAGGGACAGATGACAGGAGCAGACGACAGGAGCAGACGGCAGGAGCAGATGACAGGAGCATAAACCAGGCCAGAGCTGGACACAGAGATAAGAGGGACAAAGGGAGGATAAAACTGTCAGGATCAAATGTAATAGAACAGGACCAGATCTACACCAGGACTTAACTGGGATCAAACCAGGACAAATGTCAATGTCCCTTAATTCAACTTACCACAATTAAAGGCCCTGTATGCTGTGTACCATCTGTATCTAATTATGAAGCGTTTTGTTGTATAATCAGGAAGCGCGTGTTAGCATACTACATTGCGGTGAATAATAAGGATGTCTTGAATACATAAAGTAAGTGGGGAATAACATTGGACCACTGCAAAAAAAAAAAGTTCCATGTTTTTTACAGAGCTTTCATTCAGAAAATGAAAATCTATTTCTTTTACACCGCTTATATCTTCTCTTTAGCATGGTCTGGACACATCCCCCAGAATCCTTTTGGTTTTTGTAGTTTTTCCCCTCTGCTTCGGCTGGGGCCCCTCTGGCTTTGAACTGTCCACAAAAGAATACTAATGCTCCTTTTAGACCTACTCTTTCAGTCTGGACTAAACCCGGTCCAAACCTGGACTCGTGGGTGGGCGGTCCGGACCCTTCTCCATGGCAACTCCCGCCCTTTTCGGCTTGGCTCCGATTGTGAAAAGTGTGGCGCTAAGAAAAGACAGGCGACAGATGCGGAGAAGAATAAAGGCTAACCACTCTGCCACAGTAACACAGGAAGGACTCAGTCTGCTCAGAGAGATCAGCAGTCAAACCAACAACCTCCGTTTTGAGATGACTCAGTCCTTTCTCTTTAATGCTGGTTAAAGTGATCTATAATCCAGGTTTCAGTGGGTCAGACTTGAGTCATGTCTGTTCCTCCTGTCCTGTTATTATGTTATGGTGCAGAGGTGTGGAGTATTCACACAGGAAGATTTAACTGTAAAGTGCTGTCTTTTTCAGTACACACATGGGCTGTGCCACAAAATGATGCAATTTAGATGAATGGGTCTGAGACACTGCAACTATGATTCAACTTAATCTGCATTTTATTCAGATTTAGGGTTGGGTGATATGGCAGGCAAAAATATGATTTCTTTCTTCAAACTGAGCAATCTGAAATATTCTAATAAAAACAATATTCATTTCCTGAGCTTATACACACTTTTATTCATTACCATTTTACACAAAAATAGCCCAAAATCTAGCTGATAGGAAGTGAGCATGGGCACGATTTGGCTCCAATTCAATTTCTATTGAAAATTTGTCTTGAAAAACCTCTCCTTGTAACTGCTGCTGTCAGACTCATCATTCTGACCATTAAAGTTCATATTAACCCGCTCTACATCCTGGATTTTATTTCACTGTTCTATCTCTAAATGAAGACATGAACATTAATAACAGACCAGACATCAGGTGCCTTCATTCAGTGAGGGTGCTCTAGCCAGCATTAGAAAGTTTTCTGGAATTCCAAAATATGGAACTCTCCAGATTAGCAGCTATAACTCCTGCAGACTTCATTTGGCTAGAACCGAATGCTACAAGTGAAGTCACACTTACTTAGTCCACGTTATGTACAGTCTATGACCTCTCCTTTGAAAGACCCAAGCTTATCATTGATTATTAGAAATGATTGGCTTAAGGAAAATGTTATTACAGCCCTATTCAGAATAATGATTTGTAACTAATCAACATTTAAAATAATTGTTGACTATTTGAATAATAGTTTTTAAGTACAGTAAAAATAAATGTTTGACTGGTCAAATACAAGAATCAGAAAACCCACTGACACTGGGAGAACATGCAAACTCTATGCATAAAGGCCTTACCTGGGAGTAGAACCTGCGACCCTCTTGCTGCAAGGCAAGTTTATTTGTATAGCACAATTCGTACACAAAGTAATTCAAAGTGCTTTACAGAATAAGAAATACATTAAAATCATAATAAAAACAAATCAAGACATGAATAATCATAAAGATAAAAAAAAAAAAAAAAAAAGCGAGAGACCTAAATTAGAGAGAAGAGTGTGGAATGAAAACCTTTCAGTTATATGCACAGTCAAACAGAAATGTTTGAATCTAACCCGGGACCCTCTTACTGCGAGGTGAGAGTGGTAATTTCATGTGTTTTTTCAGGTGATGTACTTCAGCTCCCTGTTCCCGTATGTGGTCCTGATCTGTTTCCTGGTCCGGGCTCTTCTTCTCAAAGGATCTGTGGATGGGATCAAGCACATGTTTACTCCACAGGTACTAAACCAGGACTAACCCAGAACTAAACCAGGTCTAAACTGTCTGTGGTTGCCATGGTCGTGGTTGACTGGTCTTTGTGGCCGACTGGCTGGTACACTGAGCAATTTTTAAACTTTAAAAAATATTTATGTTACATTTTTCAGCCCTTCTATTATTATGGTATTTTATTGCTCAACAAGCTTAAGCCCCTCTGGGACAACTGATTGATTGAAAACTCTGAACTTTTCTCTCCTCAGATAGACATCATGGCGGACCCTAAGGTGTGGAGGGAGGCAGCAACTCAGGTTTTCTTCGCTCTGGGATTGGGATTCGGAGGTGTCATTGCGTTTTCTAGCTATAACAAACGAGACAATAACTGTCACTTCGATGCCGTGCTTGTCTCTTTCATAAACTTCTTCACTTCTGTTCTGGCCACGCTGGTCGTCTTCGCTGTGCTGGGATTCAAGGCCAACATCATGAACGATAAATGTGTCGCCATGTGAGTAAAACAACTGAAATCTACACAGATCAACAACAGCACATTTTCACACAATACCATGAATGAGAAGTGTGTAATATAATCACTTAGTTCTTAAGCAAATTTGTATAGGCTCTGATTTTGATATCAGACAAATTCTAAAAGACAGAATATCTCCAATACTGATATTAGCACCAATAAATCCTTTAGATGGAGCATACCAAAAATACTAATTGACATGTGAGCAATTAATTTGATCCAATTGTTTGTTAAACATTTGTCATGTTGTTGCAGAAACACAAACCGCGTTGTGTCCCTCCTGGGCACCCGTATCGAGGCCAGTCTGATCCCTCATCACATAAACCTGTCAGCTCCAGAGACTGTCACTGCAGAGGACTACCACCAAATAATCTCTGTTATCAGAGCTGTGCAGGAGGATGACTTCAGCAAACTGGGACTGGAGACCTGCAGCATCGAGAAGGAGCTCAATCAGGTACAACTAATATACACACACAAATATACACACACATACATCAAGAAAAAATAGAAAGTGAGCATGGGAGCATTTTGGCTCCATCCATTAGCTCCAATTCACTTTCTGTAGAAAAAAACATTCCCCTTCTCTCTCTGTGGTTTTCATTTCACTATTTTCTACCTAAATCAAGACCTTAAGAACCATAGACTGTATATGAATGGGCATAGCTAACTCACTAGCTGCCGTTTTCCAAACAGGAAGTTCGAATGTGGGCTTTTCAGGCTCCTTCTGACCCTGGTTTCCATTGACTTACTTTGGAATACTGCTGCCCCTCTCTCTGTAACTGCTGCTGTGAGCCTCAGCATTTTTGTCTTAAAATGTTTGTATTAATCCGCTCTACATGATCCTGATGGGTTTTTTTTCTTGCTATTTTGTTTGTCAGAAAACACTCGTTTAGTTCACTTTTTTATACAGTTTATGTCAATAACAGACAAATCAGGTGCCCTCTTTCCCAGAGTCCCTCTAGTGTTAGCAACATGTTTGATTGACAGCATTGCTAAGTGCCCGCCCCCTGCCAGACAGCAGTGTAGTCAGAATGCCTCGCTCTCTCTCCTCTGTTTAACCCTTTTCTCTCACTTCTTCTCTCTCCTCTTCTCTCCCGTCTCCTCTCTCCTCCCTCTCTTCTCTCCTCAGACTGTTCAGGGCACAGGTCTGGCCTTTATTGCCTTCACAGAGGCCATGACACACTTCCCGGCCTCTCCGTTTTGGTCCGTCATGTTTTTCCTGATGCTGGTGAACCTGGGGCTCGGAAGCATGTTCGGAACCATTGAGGGAATTCTCACTCCGCTCATCGACACCTTCAAAGTCCGGAAGGAGCTGCTCACAGGTACTGAACTGGGTCTGAACCAGGACTGAACAAGAACTAAACCGGGACTGAACCAGGACTGAGTTGGGACTGAACTAGGACTAAACTGGGACTAGACGTTGGACTACATTTATTGATCTTTCACTCTCCCGCTCTCTGTTTTCCTCTCTCTCTCTCTCTCTCTCATACTAGTATATATGTTGTTAAAAATTTCTTCTCTGTCTCTACAGTGGGTTGCTGTGTCCTAGCCTTTTCCATCGGACTTATGTTTGTTCAGAGATCAGGGAACTACTTTGTGGCCATGTTTGACGACTACTCTGCCACTCTGCCCCTGCTCATCGTGGTGATCCTGGAGAATGTAGCTGTGGCTTGGGTCTATGGCATCGACAAGTGAGACACACTTCAGTAGCATCTACTGTTCCTAGTTTTTGTCAGTTTTGTTTAAACTAGTTAAATTTGCAGCTGTCTGCTAAAAAACAACTAAATCTAAATTTGTGCTGCCTTCAGTGGCCTCTGCAATTTCAAGTACTACATGACATCAGCCTGGTGTTTCTGATAACAAGATTACCTGGCTGCAGGGATGGAGTTTAAAGTATTTAACCAATCACACTATTCCTTATATACCTTCTTACCTTGCCCCTCCTCTCCCCTTCTCCCCCTCACACTCCCCTTTAGTCCATCTCTCTCAACTCTATTTGAAATGTACCTGTAGGTGGAGTTTAGGTGTTTAGTCCCCACTCTAATATTGTTTTTGTACAGGCTCTCTAAGGACCTGAAGATTTAATATCATGTGTTATTTAGTTTTTGTGTTTAGGTTTTTCGAGGACCTGTAGATCTAATATTTTGTGTGCTTTTGTGTTTAGGTTTTTTGAGGACCTTCGGGACATGTTGGGATTCTCTCCGTTTAGGTTCTACTATTACATGTGGAAGTTCATCACTCCGATCCTGCTCCTGCTTCTGCTTGGATCCAGCTTCATCCAATTGGTCATGACTCCTCCCAGCTACAGTGCCTGGAACCAGGAGCAGGTGAGAGAGGGGCAGAGAGAGGGGCAGAGAGAGGGGCGATAGGTGAGGCAGGAGCAGCGACAGGAGCAGGGGAAAGAGGGGCAAAGATGGGGGGAGACAAGGGAGAGGCAGGAGAAGGGGAGGGAGTCATAAATAATTTCTCCAGAAAATTGACAAAATTTTAGGCTCTTATTGTTTTTTTTTTTTTTTTTTTTGTTTTTTATTTTAAATTATATATATATATATATATATATATATATATATATATATATATATATATATATATATATATATAACATACACACGTTTCAAGTTTAGGTATGCATTAAATTAAGTGCTTTTTAGTTGATTGGGAGCACTATTAATGAATCCAAACCCAAATTAAGTCATTTCTGAATCAATATGGCCAATTCCAATAAACATAATATAAATAATAATGATCTACATGTGTAACAAATTTATTTATTTTTCTTAAAAATAAATAAATTTCCCTCTATTCTTACTCTCTTTCTCTCCCCCACCCTTTCTCTCTTTAGGCGGCGGAACAGAAGTTGGGTTTTCCCGTGTGGGGCATCATAGTGTGCATCTCTCTGGTCGTCATGGCGATCCTTCCCGTTCCTGTGGTGTTCGGACTCCGCTTCTGTAACATCATCGACGACAGTCCTGGCGGGTTGTCATCCGTATCCTACAAAAAAGGACGGATGATCGCGGAGACACCACAGACCGAAGACGCGGATGACGCTAGCCTCATCCATGGCAAAAGTCCCAGCCAGGAGCCGTCCCCCATGCCCGGAATCTACCGCAAACACGCCGCTAACGCTAACAATGCTAACGGAACAGCAGCGCCCCCGGTGGTCGACACAGCTCCCAACGGACGCTACGGCATCGGTTACCTGATGGCGGAGATGCCCGACATGCCCGAGTCAGACTTGTAGACGTAAAAACGAAAATAAATTTAAAAAAAGGCAAAATTGTGTACAAATTTCAGCGTTTGTAAAGTGTCTGTAGATATCCTGCTTCGTCGACGTGGAACTTAAGGCGTTTTTTAAGTTTAAACTGAGATAATGTAAGAAATGAAATTATAAAATGTCAAAATGTCTTAAAAACCCAAAATCACCTCTACATCTGCGGCTAGCTCCAGTTAGCAATAAAAAGTTACGGTAGCTTCGGAAAATGGACCAATGGACTGTGAGACATAGTAGTTTTGCTTTAGTCCATCAAACTGGCACTAAACATGATCTGATTTTTCTTTTACGAGTTTAATGTCCAAGTCTTAAAGGCAATGAAGGTGAAATGGGGGAAACAGGGATTTGAACCTGCAACTCTCTGGTTATTAGATGATCTCCTGAGCCTCTACCAAAACATACTTCCAGCTCTATCTCCAACTAATGTGAGCACTGAAAAAAGTAGATCAACTTATGGAATGGTCAAAAGAAGCGAGCAAACTTAAAATAAGTGTACATTTCAAATTTGAAATCATGAAGCCAAATGTTTGGCCAATCAAAATGTATTGTTAGTTAAATGTACTCCAAGATCTTCCTTCCTTTGTTACATCAAAATGACTGAAAAATGTATTTAGCAAAGCAATGCTAGAGTTCATTTGCTATACACCACCAGTTAAAAGTTTGGACACACTTCTTAATTTTTTCTTCTTTATTTCCATGATTATTTGCACTGTAAATGCTCACTGAAGGCCTCAGTACTAAGAATCACACATATGTAATGTAGTAAACAAAACATAAACAATATGAACCTCACAATACCTCAAAACTTAAAATGTTTTTATCCACCCTTTGCTTTGAACCCTGCTTTGCATTTCTTGACCCTGATAAGACACAGAAGTGAAAACCATTTCAGGAGACTTACCCAAGAAGCTCTTTAAGAGAAGGCCAAGGGTTTGCAATACTGTTGACAAAGCAAAGGGTGGCTGCTTTTTGGATATTGAATATAAAATTTAAAAACTATTTAGTTGAGTTATTTAACTTTTTTTTTTCTTTGTCCAAACTTTTGACTGGTAGTGTGTATATATTCTTTAGAACCACATGTTAACTCAATTGTGATTTGATTATTGCACTAACTTCTTATAGAAAGATTGACAAAATCAAATTGAAAATGACAGCATACATTTTTGTGTGCACAGAAAGACAATCTGTTTTGGTGATACTAATATGACACCACATTGAAACCACAAAAATATGCACTTAAATAGTTTGGCCCCTGGTAAAATCTAGTATAATTTTTGTTTTGAAATTAAAAATTTTAAAAGTTTTGAAAATGAAAGTTAAATCATGTTGATAACCAATTGGTGTAGAAGATTCTATTCAAGCATAGCGCCCCCGGCATTTCAATAATAGGACACATTTGGTCATGTTGTAGAGTTCTAGTTGTACACCAAGAAACCTGTAACATTAACATTGCTATTTAAAATGTTCTGTTTTTTTTTTAGTTGTAATTTGAAATTTCCAATTGTGTACCAAAGTTTGTCCGAAAACATTTCTTATGAGAATAATTTACGATAAATTGTAAAGTTTAAAGGTCTAGAGGTGACTTTGGGTGGTACTGAGTTCAAGTCCTGCTGAAAATGGTATTTTTGTAGCGGCTCCTCTGATTGGCTGTTACCGTTTGGCTCCTCTGATTGGCTGTTACGGTTCGGCTCCTGTGATTGGCCGTGGCGGTACGGCTCCTCTGATTACAGTTCATTCTTCTGGTCACAGTGTTGGGAAGTAAAAACCATGTACCAAAAATACATATTCAGAATACTTCCACTTTCATTTAGGTGTTATTCAAAACACAATTACTTTCCTAAAATCAGTTATTTGATGCAAGTTAAATATACACTATGTAACTTTTCTAATGGAGGTTCAGCCATCTGCTTGTTACCATGGAGATGTTAATGCTTTGCCTGGAATGTTCTAAAGTTTGTTATTTATCTAGCATGTATGCAATTACAAAATGTTACATAGTGTATCTTTAAGCTTCAGATGGCACAGTATTAGTGAGGAAAAAAAAGAGACAAACAGCTGTACATTACATCTGAAGGAGCGGTGCAAGAATCACAAATGTTCAAATCATTTCTTATTGTCACATAAAGCTTTTCTTACTTTAGTCTTCCTCACAGTGGGAAGAGCAACCACAACTTTTACTCAAATGTACTCAAGAGTACTGTTACACTGTACAATATATAACTCAAGTTAGAGTACTATTACACTGTACAATATATTACTCGAGTAAGAGTAAAAGTATGCAGCGTTCTTAAAAAATGTTACTGTTGTAAATGTTACTAAGTACTATCAACCTTTGTTTTAAACCCAGGTTGCATTTTTTTACTCTGTATTCTGATTGGACATTGTACATTTTAAAGCTGGTATTGAGTATTCTGTAATGAAATACATTTTGGAGGTATTCTTCCCAACACTGATCTGGCCTCAGTGAAGCAGTATAAACAAGTCTCCTGGACGTTTGATACTTGAAAATGTGCACTGCTTTTTTCTTATTTTAAAGATTCTAATGATAAAAAAAAAAAAAAACACAAAAAAAACAATAACTCTGATATTTCAGTAAACACAAATCAGCCATAACATTAGGAGGACAGACAGCAGCCTATGGTCAGGCTCTAACCTGGTTTAGTCTTGGTTTAGTCCTTGTTTAAATCAGGTTTAGTTCTACTAGACTTGTTTTTCTCCTGAGCTAGCTACACATGTTGTATTCCTAGTTTTGAGTGAGACCTGGTTTTAGTCCGAGAGTAAACTTGGTTTAGACTTGGTTCAGTCCAGGCTGAGTGAAATCAGGTTGAGTCCTGGTTTAGACCCTGGTGAAACCTGGTTTAGTTCTGCCAAGGTGTGTTCTTAGTTCTGATTTAGTCCTGGTGTAATCCTGTACCTGGTTTCGGACTATGTATTAGAAATATTATGTCCGATTTGTGTACTGTTAAATATCTCACAGTATTTCACATTTTTCCCAAACAGAAAAAGCAAATCCTGATGAAGTCTACTGTTTTCATGAGCGATACTTGAATCTGTAACACAGAGCACCTTTAATGTGACTTATGCAGTAAACAGACACACGCACACATAAACCTGATGGTTAGCATGACATGAATTTAGTTTCAATCTTGATTTGAGTCATTTTGACACATGTAACCTTTCACATAATTGTTTTTAATTCTGACCAGTGCTGAAAGAAAAATTGGTTTAAAATAAGAGGAGGAAATCTGTTGAAACAAGTTAAAGCCACAGTATGCAACTTTTTAGCTGAAAAAAAAAAAAAAAATAATAATAATAAAAATAAATAATAATAATAACAATAAAAAATAAAAAAAATAATCGGAATTGCTCAAATCAAAATTGTAAATTCAAGTGTTTAACCCCTTTCACTTCTATTGTATCATTTTGTGTTTCTTCGAATGTTGTCCAGGTGGTTAACTCTGCAAGCCCCTATTTGAAACAATGTGCCTAAGTCATTCTAAGTGTGTGGGGAAAATGAAGGTTTATTTAAAGATTTCTGTATGGTTTAGACCTGTTTCAGACCTGGTTTAGATCTGATCTGGTTTAGACCCAGTTTAGTCCTGGTTTAAGCCTGGTTTAGTCCTGGTTTAGACCTAGTTTAGTCCTGGTTTAGTCCTGGTTCAGATCTGGTTCAAACCGGGTTTAGACCAGATTTAGTCCAGGTTCAGATCTAGTTTAGACCTGGTTCAGTCCTGGTTTAGATTTGGTGTAGACCTTATTTAGCCCTGGTTTAGGACCAAATCATTCTAAGTGTGTGGGGAAAATGAAGGCTGCTTATTTAAAGTGTTGTGTAAATGTAACATAAAATCACTGGTGTTTTTAAGATTTGGGGAAATAATTTTCATTTGAATAGCTTTTCTTGTTTTGTACTAACATGCTCAAGTCTGTCTGTAAATTTTTTATTTTTTTTTTCTTCAAATGGCTTAAACGCAGTGTCGCCTTTTTCTTTTCTCAAATTAAAGATCAAATTCTGGTCCTCAACAAGATTTTCTGTGTGGTTTGTGGATACCTTGTTTAGATGTCCTGCAGTCTTGATTTAGTCGTCTCTGTCAAATATATAAATGACCCAACCAAAACAATGACTTGCCATTATTATATAAAATCTCTACACAGGTTCAAACCTTCTTAAATTAGTTGTTTAATAACAAAACAGTCAATATTTTATTACATTTACAAAAAGCAACAAAAGTTCAAAACTCTAAAAACAAAATAACTTTGTAGCATATTTTGTAGCATATAAAAACTGGAGTGCTCAAGTTTCACAAAAGTCATTTACAAAATAAGAGGTTTTGAAAATACAGAGTCATGTTTTCCCTTTATAAATGTCTAAACTGTATAAAAGTCTTAATATGTTGGTTTTGTTGAGGATATGAGGTAAGGTTTTGTGCTTCGATCCACTTTGGGCAGATCCCTTTTTTAAGTGCTTTCTGGAAAAAAAACATAAAACACAAGTAGAGGTTTTAATTTGTGGTAATCAAAAATCTAAATTGTGGTAATCAAAAATCTAAATTCTAAATATCTCCTTGGAGACAAGCATTGACACAGCTACAGCGAGTTACAGGTCAGATCTATGGAGAGGGGTGACACAGCAGACAGTAAGAAGGCATGCATTTTCTTTTCATTTTAAGGGCAATTAAAACACCTGTACCTGAATAAACACAAGACGGATAAGAAAGATAGAAAGAAAAATAATATATATATATGTATATATTTAAAAAAACTACAAATTATCAAAATACAATTCAAATTCATTTAACAATATTCATTTTAGCTGTGTGTGTTAAATATTATTGGCCTATAGAATGCTGTGATATTCTCAGAAATACAAAATGAATAGCCATTATTATATCAAATTTCGTACACGTGTTCAAAGCTTTTTATAAATTACAAAACAGTTTTTTTTACACATTTATACTTTACAAAACGCATAAAGAGTTCAAAACTATAAAAATCTCAGCATTTTGTATTATAATTAAACTAGAAAATGTGTTGAAGTAAATGCTGCCCTCTACAGGCCAAAGGAAAAAGAGTCCTCTGGTTTTCCTCTAGAGGTGATTTTTGGTACATCTACTGATTACTAAATCAACGTTTATTAGTTTACCTGAATATTTCAGTGCAGAAGCTGGTCCCTCATGCGGGCAGCCATCTTGTCTCTCTTCTCACACACACGGCTCAGATCTCTCACTTCTGTGGCCAAAGCACTGTTCCACATGGACAGCACGGACTCCTCCTCTGACACACACATTTGCAGGTTTTTAGTCAGAAAATGATAAAACTTTTCAAAACATGTGCAGTTTTCTTTATCATGCCCAAAGACAGCTGTGATTGAGTCAAATAAAAAGTAAAAATAAGCGTTAAATATACTCACCGAACTGAGTTTTGTCCTGAGGAAGTTTTCGACCCAAAACCAGAACCACATTTTTCCAGTTTAGTAAATCTGAAAATTTTAATTTAAATTAATGTTTTATTAATTTAAATGTTTTTTGTAAAATCATTTCATATTAGAAACCCAGTGGTGAGCAGGTTAACTATGTTCATGATATATAGAGTCTGTATGTTATAGTCTGTGTATATAGTATGCTGTCTATGAGCAAGACACATTTGACTTTACTAGAAATTCACTGTATGACTAGTTATCACGTAAACCTTTGGTTGGTTTTAATCTAGTGGCATTGAAATCACTCGCAAGCTTTTTCCCTTGTATTAATGTCTAGTTTGTACATTTTCCATCATAATTCCACTCTGATAAATTGATACTAAACTTAGTATTTCCTTACCGCTGTTGGATGGGACGATGCAGCGCACAGACTGGCAGTGCGGCCCCAGAACTTGCAGAGCCTGGTTCTTACTGAGCTCCACGAGGATCATATGACCTCCTCTGGTCCCGACCCAAAGACACACCAAAGACTGGACCAGGAGAGACTTGACCTGAGCCCAGGCGGGGGTGCTGTCCGTGGGATGGTCCTGCTGTGAGGGTCTGCCCCGAGAGCTGCTCTGCCTGAGGAGAGAGAGAGGCAGCATTTTAATATATTTTCTTATTTATTGTGCTTGGTCATGCACAAAACAATAAGGCAGATAACAATTTAAGTTCTCAATTTGCTTGTTTCCTGTGAATGTTGCAATGTCTGTTTACTTAATTGTAGAACTCTTTGAAAATTGGTGAGGACTTAAAATATCCGGATATATGTAATATTGAAATAAGTGAAAAAGGTTTCATCTGTACAGCAAAGAAGAAAGAAATCACATCATCGGAGGTAAATACTGGCAACAGTTTCTGAAGCTATTGTGAAAAAATCATTTCACTTTTATTTTATTTGTACTGACAGAGAAGATGTTAAACTTTGTGCTAGTTTTTGTTTCATGTGGTGGTTAATATCTCATTACGTACAGAGATATAACCATAAACCAGGTTGACAAATATGTTCAGAGATTAGATAGTATTCTATTTTATTTACCTGATCATTTGAGCACAGTCGATGCAGTCCACCATCCTCTCGGTGCGTCTGTCCCAAACCTCTACTGAGCATGCTCCAACTTTACTCACATAAACCAGTTTGTCCACAGCCAACCGCGAGATACAAGCCTCAGAGCTCAATGTACGAGACCTGGGACAAAAGAGACAGATGTATTTAAGGCAAAGATGGCAAAATGTTTCATAATAGATGGATTATATTTCATTTCATTTCAGTCTAAAACTCTTTTTAATGTGAGGTGTGTCGTTCACAAAACAAAGAGGAAATTGAAAACAGGTTTTCGATCAGATCATGGACCTTAACCTTGCACAGTAAGACTGATTCTCACAACATTTGTGAGTTCCCAAACTCACAAGAATCCGTCTCAGAGTGGGCCTGTTGTATGGTTCATTGTTTTTCTCTAAACTGGGTGCAACAAAAGTTTGTTTGTCATTTCCAGTCACTTTCGAGAGTTGTTCCACATTGAAAATATGTAGAAGGTCAGAGTGTCACACATATGAATCTGGTGTGAGCCAGGTTAGATGGACGTCACACTCCACAGACTGTATGCCTGATACCATAGACGGTATAAACATGGGTTGGTACTTACTGTAACGCAAAGCTGGTACCATAGACTGCATAGACATAGACTTGTACTCACTGTAGAGCGGGGCTGGGTTTGGTGTCGATACTTTTACACACATCGTACTCTGCTGTAAACGAGAGGATCCTGGAGCCACAGCTCCCCCACAGCGCCCCCCGACTGTCTGCAGAGTGACTGCACAGTCCCAGACCCAGTACTGGAGTGTTTATGGTGCCCAAGCACAGGGTCTTCACTGGCTCTCCATTCTCCTCCTGACACAAACAAAAAACATGTTATAAATATAAACTGATTTAGATTACAAAATACCGATAATACTAAGACAAGACTACTACTACTACTATACACTGTGAATATATTATTTTTGTTTAAAAACTTGCATACAATTGATTTTCTAACTTGGTTTGGTGGATAGTGCATGTAATAAATATTTATCACAGGTTTACATCAGTTAAGTGGCAGTTTGTGGATTTTATTTTATTTGTCAAATCATAATTATTGTGTAAATTAAATGAGGTTTGAGTCCAGACTTGAGTCCAGGTTTGAGTCCATGTTTCAGTCCATGTTTTGTCCAGGTTATAGTTCAGATTTTAGTCTATGTTTTGTTCAGGTTCTAGTGCAGGTTTTAGTTCATGTTTTGTCCAGATTCTAGTCCAGGTTTGAGTTGAGATTTTCGTCCAGGTTTATTCCCACTATCACTTATGCTCACCTGGAGAGCTGAGTCTTCATAAACGGTGAGAGTTCCATCTGCTGTCCCCACCAGCAAGTAACTCCTCCTCTCCCTGCAAAGACATTAATATGAGATTTTTGTTCTTCATCCACAGGTTTGATGATGAAAAATGATGTAGCAGATCCTTCACCAGATATAATATTAAAATAACAAGCATTTGAATGTAAATTGGGACATGCTTGTTGGAACAACAAAACAACAAACAAACAAAAATGAGCACAAATATCTTACTTATTAAGTTCCATAGAATGCCATTTAACACATCTCATCCATCTCACTAACCAATAGACATGACTGAATCCAGATTAAAGTTCTACATGTTCATAATACTATCATTCTAAAGCTATTCAGGAAAGGTTCATTTCTGTGACTGTGACTTTCTGTTTCTTACGTGCGTTTGGGCTGCAGGTGGAAGTACAGGGAGGTGACAGCGTCGGACACGCTCTGCAGATGGTGCCTCTGGGTCCAGTCCTGAGTGTTCTGAACAAACAGGGACCCGGACTGAGTACCGCCCACCAGCCAATCACAGCCCTCCTCCTGTGAGTTAGGGACCAGAGCCAGGCACAACACTGGACTGGAGTCTACCACCTGAAGCGAGAGGGAGAGGCAGGAAGAGATGAGGGAAAGGAGGTGAGAGGAGATGGAGAGAGAAAGGGAGAGGAGGGAGAAATGAGGGAGAGAGAAGGGAGAAGTGAAAGAGACAGATAGAGAGCGAGAGAGAGAAAGAGAGAGAGAGGGAGAGAGAGAGAGAGAGAAGGAGAGGAGAGGGAGAGGATGGAGAGGGGAGGGAGAGATGAGGGAAAGAGAAGGGAGAAGTGAAAGAGACAGATAGAGAGCGAGAGAGAAGAAGAGAGAGAGAGAGAGAGAGAGAGAGAAGGAGAGGAGAGGGAGAGGATGGAGAGGGGAGGGAGAGATGAGGGAAAGAGAAGGGAGAAGTGAAAGAGACAGACAGACAGCAAGAGAGAGAGAGAGGAGAGGAGGGAGAAAGAGAGAGAGAAAGAGAAGAGAGAAGAGGGAGAGAGGTTTTTTCACATCAACAACACCATTTTAACAACACCCTCTGCTGCTGTTTTGTTTGTAACCCTCATCATAAATCGAACCACTGGAGTATTTACTATGCACATAAAATATTTAAGTTACGCTAAATCAAATACCAGGACTAAGGTGTCCAAAGTACAAATAATGACTAATGTAGAATAGCTGAAAAGTTTGTGCTCAGTGTTTAGAGAGCTCATTTTTCAACTTGTCACACTTTAAGGCTTTGTTCTTAGGCAAAGACACCTCACCCATCTCTCCTGGGTATGAACGTGGTGTGTGAGAGAGCAATTAAAATGTGCTGGTGCTCAAAGGGGCTGATGGAGCAGATATGGCTAAAAAGATAGTTTACTATGAGTGAAGCCTTGTGAATCTTAGCGCCTAACAAGTGTAAGGTAGAAAAGGTCGCAGAGTCAAAGACACAATTTCTGTTCTTACTCTCACCTGAGTCTGGACGCTGCCAGTCTCCAGATTCACTGCACTGATGTTTCCCTGACGTTTAGAGCTGCTGCCACCTCCGAGCCACGCCACCGGAGTAGAACCACCAACCAGAGCAGAGACCAGACCAGAACGAGGACTAGAGACCAGACTAGAACTAGAGACCGGTCTAGAGACTGGACCAGGACCAGAGCTGAGGGCCAGACAATCTGCATTTAAAGGCAGCACCAGCTCATTCAGCAGACACAGCATGTCTCCACAGTTCAGACGATCAAACACCTGAAAGAAACCAAACAAGATAGAAATTTACAAAGACTACAATGCTATGGGAGCCCTGGTGTTTGGTTACTTTTATGTGCTGGACAGTCAGCTCCATAGGCATGAAATAGATGTAATTGTAATGTAAATGTAATGTAGCAGTTTTGTGTACATTTTGGACCTCAAGTTGAAATAAGTGATATGCTAATATTTTTAACCATAACCCAGATCATAACCTAAATTATAATGAGGGCTGTGACTTTCGAGGAATACATTTAGACTATTGTAAGTATTAAATTAAAGATTTAGTGACAGGTAAACCTCACCTGTGCAGAGTAGTGCTGTCACAATACTAAAATGTCAAACTCAATTTTGATACTAAGGAAGACGCAATACGCAATACTGATTCTGATGATGAAAATTTTAAAAACACACTTTCTTTAGGCAATAGACTTTGATTTTCAGTACTTTCTTTTATTTTGGTCCATGGGTATATGCTAGTATATGTGGTCTTATACTTGTTCTGATACAGCTCAAGATCATTCTAAACTATTCAAGGTTCATTCAAGGTTCAGTCCTGTGACTGGAACTTTATTAGTACTATATATACTTATACTTGCTCAAATGAGTATTTAGTTTTGATACTAGTTTTAGTATCGATTAGTTTCAATGCTGTAGACTCACTTGTGCAGAGGAGGGTCTGTCATGGGGGTTTTCCCTGAGACAATCCTTCATCAGAGCCTGGAATCTGGGCCAAGGACTCAGACCGTAGTGCTTCACTGGGTCTGCAACAAGAGAATATACATTCAAATTAAAAACATCTATGTCGTATTAACTGCTAACACATAACATATTTAGATCACCGTGTTTATTGTTTTGCTATATTCAGTGAAAAAATGTATTAACATGTTGAGTTAATAACATCCCCTTTGCTCCCCTGCGTTAAGTCACTCTCCCCTTCCCATTTACCAAGTTGCTGTGTTTTGTACTCTGTTTTTGTATATTTATTGTATATGGAATTGCCTATCTCTGTAGAACAAAAGATAAAACGTAGCTGTTAACTTGAAAACTAGTCTAATATTAAAGAGTCATGCAAACACATTATTCAAATGGGGTGAAACAAAACACAACTCAAGGTATGTTTTTGAGAACTATATTATAACATGGCTTAAATCTCACAAGAGTCAATTCTGCATGATACAGACCCTTTAACCTAAAAACACTTGAATATTTAATTAATTAATTAACTTATTTATTTATCGAACCAAAGGAGATTTTATTTCTGTGTACCTGGCAGTTTCCCACGCACAGCCGCTTCGTCGAACTCGCTGGGGAACTTGACTCCTTCGGTGATCCTCTCACCACAGGTGAACAAGTCAAACATGAGTAGCCCAAAAGAGAAGACGTCTGCTCTGTAGTCATAAATGAGTCCTCCACGAGCCACCTCTGGAGCACGAAAACCTAAACAGAAGGATGTGTTTTGAAATATATTTATATTTCTAAACTGTGGAGCAGGAGTTTGAATAAAAATCAGTTAAACGATCACAGACACATCAGGCTGTTACAGTAGAAAACAGAAACTGACTAAATGCACATTCTGATCCACTGTGTATAAATGTTGACATAGACGATACAGTGAACCAGGGCACACAAGTAGTCTGTCGGCATCTCAGTGCTGTGTCCTTGAGCAAGATACTTCACCAATCTTACATAATGCTAACGCAGGGCATTATCGTTATTACCATAAGTGAGGGAAGTGAATAAATAGTGTAATTTAAATTAAGCAAAAGAGGAAGGTATGGTAGATTTACATTTTTATTGTTGACCTAGGCGAATGTGTCCTCTGCATCTGACCCAGTGTCTCTGGGTTAAAGCTGTCAGGAGCAGTGGGACCCAGAGTTAGTGGTCAGGACTGCCTGAGTTGGAGGATTTGATCTTTCTGTATGTTTTGGGTTGATCAGAGAAACCATAGTGTCCAGAGGAAACCCATCAAGACACAGTAAGAACATGCAAACTCCACACAGAAAAGCCTGGATGACTTGGGAGTTGAGCCTGGAACGTTCTTGCTATGTGGCATGAGCACTAGCCACTCAGCCACAGTACTTTTCATCTGTCTTTCTACTTACCTGGTGTGCCCTCAGTGTTGCACCAGACTCACCTCTCTGTGTCATACCTGTCTCACCTGTCTGTCTCACCTGCCTCGTCTGTCTGTGTCTCACCTGTACATGCGTCACCTGTCTGTCTCCTCACCTGGCGTTCCCTCTGCACTGCGCACGCCCATGCTGCAGCAGTACTGTGCGATGCCGTAGTCTGTGATCTTGGCGATAGTTTCAGAATCTGTCTTCAGGTTAAACAGGAGCACGTTATGGGGCTTTAGGTCTCTGTAGATGATCATGGACGAGTGAAGGTACCTGCAAAAGAGTCCAATTTTACTTAATGTGGGAGATTTTTTGATTGGTTTTCTGTTATGAAAAAAAAAAAAAAAAAAGATCAAATAAGTTGAGTTCTACATCAGGACATTGTAGAATCCCTCTAGTTTAAACAGAGCTAGAGGACAGATCAGAACACTATGGTAGAATTTGCTGTTGAACTGTCAGATTGCAGATTTGTTGACCTGGTTTATGGTTCATATCTCTGTAATTACGAAGCCTGAGTTAGACCTGGGTTACTGGCACAAAGTCCAATGTCTTCTCTGTCAGTAAATTTCGCATACAATTAGCAGTATATAGGTCCCAGGCTATTTAATTTTAAAGTATTTGCAGTAGTCCAAAGTTATTCCTCATTTACCATACCCTTTCATAGAATCCTTATTATTCTCCACAGTTCGTTTATAAGCACTTTTTACAGCTCTAAAGGACTAGAGCGAAGTGTTGGTGTCACAGTAAAGCTAACAACAACTAACATGCTAATAGTGCACAAACATTTCATAATTAGGTGCAGACTGTACAGAGCTTTGAGAGTCTTTATTTTGATTTGATTTTTATACAATATATTAATGCATAAACACATGGGGAAAAATTGGCGACAGGACATTTAATTTAACTTTAAATATACTCAGTGTTACCTGAGTCCGTCTGCCACCTGCAGGCTGATGCGGTGTTGCAGTTTGTGGCTCAGACTGGACTCGTGCTCAAACAATGAGTCCAAAGACCCGCGCAGAGCCAGTTCCATCACCAGGACCTGAGGGCAGCAACTAGCCCCCAAAAGACCCACCAAACTGGGATGCCGCAGCCGCCCAAGTACCGCCAACTCCTGGACACGACACACAACAAAGGACATTACATACAGAGAAAATGTGGTTTCTAAACAGTCCATATTTTAACACTGAGCAGGTCACAACTGTATGGTAGAACTGAACTTAAAGCTGTCAAAATGCTTGCCAGTCCCTCCTACTTTCTGTTTGAATGCAGAGAGTCTGAAATTACAAGTTAAAGTGTAGAGATGGTTACAGTGGTGTAAAAAGAAAACAGAAAACGCACACCAAGATTTCTGCAGAGGTGCAAATGCAAGGAGTAGCCAGATCAGAGTGAAAAAATGCATAGCACACTCGGTTGGCCGATGTCCAAATACTATTTTATTAACAAAATAACGTTTCGGCAAAAAAAGCCTTCATCAGATATTTTTCTTGTCTTGGACCACAGCACACAAAATGGTTGCCAGCCCAGGTGCCCATATACCCACTCAATGAATGGGAGGTCCCAAAGTGAGGTCACCCAGTGAGTTCAGCCCATTCTACAACAAGAAACAACAATTTACATAAAAAACATTTTAGAAAATACAGAAATAGTTTGTCTATTACAAAAAACATCTTAGATCAAACTCGATATTAAGTCCATGAGGAGTAAAAGTTTTAAGATGGTGAATCCAGAAGTGCTCTCTTTTTGACAGGAGCATCTCTAGATTACCACCTCTAGGGGGCAGTTCCACATGTTCGATGCCAATATATCTTAAGGAAGAGATAGGATGGTTAAAATTAACAAAATGAGCCGCCACAGGATAGTTCATGTTTTTGCATCTGATTGTACTCCTATGCTCTGCAATCCGTGTTTTTAAAGCCCTGCTGGTTTTACCCACATAAGCCTTACCACAGGGGCAGGTGATCATATAAATCACGGACTTGGTGTTACAGGATATAATTCCTTTGATCTTTATTTCTTTACCAGTGTGAGGGTGCTTAAAACTATTGCAGCGATATGTGTAGTTACACTGACTGCACCCACCACAGCGACGATTTCCATCAGGAATAGGAGTCAGTATAGTTTGGTATGTGGTTTGATTAGGAGGAAGGTAGGAGTGCACAAGTCTATCTCCAAGGTTTCTTCCTCTTTTATACACCACAAGGGGGTGCTCTTTAAAAGCCACACCCAATGAAGAGTCAGTTTTTAGTATATGCCAACCTTTTTACATCCAAAAAACACGGAGTACCTATGGGTAGCCCTTTTTCACCATCCTTCTGTAACTTATACATGGGTCTGTTTGAGGAAAATTTTATCTATCACGATAATGAATTCAAAGAAAACATATGTCTATGGAAGAGATATTTGGATGACATTTTTTGCTTGTTCAAAGGTACTAAATTGAGACTTGAGTCATTTTTTGCTTATCTGAACTCGCGCTCCTCATATATATCTTTTACTATGGATTATGATCAACAGCGCTTGAGTTTTTTGGACCTGTGGATCATCAGAGAGGGTAATCAGCTGTATACGGACTTATATAAAAAGCCTACAGCTCGAAATTCTTTACTTAGAGCTGACTCTCAGCATCCACTTCCATTGAAAAAGAGTCTCCCATACAGTCAATTTTGTAGGCTTAAAAGAATATGCCACAAAACTGATGACTTTGAAAGAAATTTAAGTAATATGATGACAAACTTTGAACAAAGGGGTTATAAGAAATCTATTTTAAATGATGCTGCCACTAAAGTAAAAGGAAAACCTAGATCTGATTTTCTGAGGGTCAGCCCTCCAAAAAAATGCCAATAAGCGGATTGTATTTTCTACTGGATACTCAAAACCCGCGGAACAACTTAAAAACATCATAACTAAACATTGGCATATACTAAAAACTGACTCTTCATTGGGTGTGGCTTTTAAAGAGCACCCCCTTGTGGTGTATAAAAGAGGAAGAAACCTTGGAGATAGACTTGTGCACTCCTACCTTCCTCCTAATCAAACCACATACCAAACTATACTGACTCCTATTCCTGATGGAAATCGTCGCTGTGGTGGGTGCAGTCAGTGTAACTACACATATCGCTGCAATAGTTTTAAGCACCCTCACACTGGTAAAGAAATAAAGATCAAAGGAATTATATCCTGTAACACCAAGTCCGTGATTTATATGATCACCTGCCCCTGTGGTAAGGCTTATGTGGGTAAAACCAGCAGGGCTTTAAAAACACGGATTGCAGAGCATAGGAGTACAATCAGATGCAAAAACATGAACTATCCTGTGGCGGCTCATTTTGTTAATTTTAACCATCCTATCTCTTCCTTAAGATATATTGGCATCGAACATGTGGAACTGCCCCCTAGAGGTGGTAATCTAGAGATGCTCCTGTCAAAAAGAGAGCACTTCTGGATTCACCAGCTTAAAACTTTTACTCCTCATGGACTTAATATCGAGTTTGATCTAAGATGTTTTTTGTAATAGACAAACTATTTCTGTATTTTCTAAAATGTTTTTTATGTAAATTGTTGTTTCTTGTTGTAGAATGGGCTGAACTCACTGGGTGACCTCACTTTGGGACCTCCCATTCATTGAGTGGGTATATGGGCACCTGGGCTGGCAACCATTTTGTGTGCTGTGGTCCAAGACAAGAAAAATATCTGATGAAGGCTTTTTTTGCCGAAACGTTATTTTGTTAATAAAATAGTATTTGGACATCGGCCAACCGAGTGTGCTATGCATTTTTTCACTCTGATATGGTTACAGTGGTGGTCATTTCTACACTGTTTTTGTGATCAAGACCTTTCAGCTCCATTCAGAAGCCATTTTCAATAGATGGAACTGGATTGAAGAACTGGGCTTTATGCTAACCTGAGTTTACTATGTCCAGCCCCAAAGGGAGGAGTTTTAGAGTAAAAGAAGAGTGAAACTGACCTGCCATTATTACTTCCTTAAGCACCTGATTATCATTTGATGCATCATTCCTAATAGGGGATTATGTGTCTCATTGCAAATTCAATTTCAAACAATAACAAGTATCTACATATTATGGACATAGTAAAATAAACTGGGATAATATTATTGACAAAAACAAGGTTAAAACAATCTGATGTTACCTGTCGGAGGAGTCTATAGACATACAGCTCAGATGCGTGTTTGTTGAAAATCTTCACCGCAACTTCTTCATTCTTGTACATCCCTCTGTAAACTGTACCAAAGCCCCCATCACCTGAAACGTAATAAATATACAGAGGAGAGTGTCAGAGGATGCAAAGGTGAGGGTCAGGGGAGCAAAGGTGAGGGTCAGGGGAGCAGAGGAGCAGAGGATGCAGAAGAGAGGAGTCTTACCCAAACGGTTCTCTGCAGAAATGTCCACCTCCAGCTCTTCATTGTCCAGTATCGTAGCTGCTGATTGATCACTCAGCACCAGGTCAGGAGCAATTTGAGAGAGAGGAAGAGTACATCGTGGGTCCTCTGGGTTAACCATCAAGAAATCTGAAAAAGGCAATAAGGTTTTCATAAGAGATGAGTGTTGATACTAAAACTTGTATCAAAAGATACAAGAAACTCATTTGTGAACTAAAAATGTCACATTCACAGGACAGAAATTAAGCCTTCCTGGATAAATTTAGAACAATGTTGAGTGGTATCAGAACAAGTATAAGACTAGTATACGCCCATGGACCACTATGGAACCTATCTGAGGGATTACACAGATACACAGCCATATGTAGTAATATCAGTATTGAGTATCAAGTCTATTCCTTATTATCCTTAGTATTCCTCAGTAGCAAAAACCCACTACTACATGTATGCAGAGTATTTGTGGTACCATTGTCAAAGTATTTGAACAGATCTTCCAGTAGGATCCTCTTAAACTCCTGTCCGTCCTCGTAGCTGTACAGAGCCCACTTCTTTACCAGAGCCTCTCCGCTGCCGTGCATGTCTGTGTTTAATAAACCAGGGAACCACTCCTCCAACAGAGAGTCAATATGATCCACCACCTGCCCCAGCAGCACGCGGCCTGAAGGGGGCAGCACAGAGAGCACACATCAATCCTGTGCTTTATTATTAAATATCTAAACATATGATGCACAAATGTTAACTTTATGCAGGATTTTTTCTGTTAATGTACACACAACCAAGTGGGTGACAGACCATAGATACCTTTGTGTGAAGAGGGGACAGTGATCCTGACATAACAGGAGGAGCAGTGGTCCAGAGACGCTGCCTCAACTAAACAATACGCATCAGGAGACCAGCTCAGATACACCCCTCTCCTCCAGTAGATCCGGTTTGGGCGAGAACTTTTTTCTAAACACAATAACAGCATTTATAAAACACCACAGTATGCCCCTTCTCTGCATCCTCTGCTCATCTGGCCCTCTTCTCTGTTCCTCAGACTCTCTTTCTGCATTCTCTGCTCTATCTGCTCCTCCTCTGGATCCTTTGCTTTATTTGACCTTTTTGACCCATTTGGCTCTTTGGTCTTGTTCTAGGCCTCACGTTTCCAACTTCTGTACCATAATCATTGTACCTCGTAAACTGAGCAGCAGAGAGGAGACTTCTAGAAGGCGGGTGATCAATCTGGACCAGAAATCCATCGGAAAATATGGCATCTCATACAAACGGACTATAACCTCTGAGTTCTCACTGTGAGGAAGTTCTATCACGGGACGATGCTTTGACAAACTGGAGACAGAAAAAAACACAAATGGATTAATAATTTTGAAAAAGAAAATTATAAAAGTAAACAAAAAGCAGAGGAGGCAGAAGAGAAGGTCATAAGGAGCAGAGGATGCAGAAGAGAGGATCAGGAGAAACATAGAATGCAGAGGAGAGCTTCACCTGCTGGGCACTAGGAGCTGGTCATCCCCGAAGGGGAGAGCAATGTGAAACTTCTGGAGGAGTTTGAAGAACTGCGAGGTGTGAGACTTTGGGAAACAGTTTGTATCAGACAGAAGCTTCTCCACTGTGTGGCGCTGCAACACGCCCTTAGGATGCTCCCGAGACCCACAGCTCTTCACTGACAACTTCTGAAGGATAGAAATTAAAAGTGCACTGCGTCATTTTTTGGTTGAGGGTCACTTGCATATTTCTATGGATATGTTATTGCTCTTTCTGGAATGTTCCACAGTTTGACATTAAACAGTTCAATCTTACATTTATTCAATTACAGGTGCTTTAATGGCATTCTGACAGTGAGCGGGGTTGCCTCTCCACATATCTGATCTGTAACTTGCTCTGGTTTGGTCTCCATGAAGAAATGTTTAATACCATACTGTGAAAAATTCCAGAAATACAAATAACATTTTTGTGGAGAAAAGCATTTGACTGACCCTCCACCAAAAGTTACAAAATGACAAAACTAGCTCAATCTATTACACAGTTTGAGAACATCAAAAAATTGGTATAGATATTAAATTGTATTTAAAGGTATGAAGTAATTAAAGGTGCTGTATCTGATTTTTACTGTCTCATAAATGTGAAAAACTGAACTAATTAATTTTAAGCGGTTTGCAGTGGTCCAAAATTATTCCTCACATATGCATTCAGAGCATCCTAATTATTCACAGCAATGCGGTTATAAGCACTTTTTAAACCAGAGTGGTGTTTTGACGGAAAACCTAACAGCAACTAGCATGCTAACTGTGCACTACGTCAAGAGCTGCTTATACAACATAGCTCATACACTTTGCTGAAAAAGAAAATCAAGTACCAGTGCTTTAATGTGGGGAAAATGCTTTTGTATTTGTAAAAAATATTTTTGTGTCTGTAAAAATTGAGCTGAACAAAGAAAGTATTTAATAAAAAAAACTCACTTGTTGAATATGACTAATTTATAAATAAAATAAAATAAAACAAAAACAAAAGAAACAAACCCTGCTGAGGCGTGGTACCTGAGAGATGATGTTGCAGATCCACTGAGGCTGGATGAAGTACAGATCCTGAAGCTGGAGAGCAGGGTCATCAAAATGCAGCAAAACTCCTGCACAAAATAACATTAAGACCAAGATTAAATTAGAGTAAACTCACTATGTTTCCTTCTTTATCAATTTTAATAATGGTGAATAATAGTGCTTATACAGAAGGTCTAACTCAGGATTTATCCATGTTTAACCCAGGACTAACCCAAGCCTTGTCTCTGACCTGCTTCTGAGAGGAAGTGGATAGCGTGTGGTAGTTCGCTCTCCTCCAGTTGAAGTTGAGCCTCTTGGATGAACTGTACCAGGTCTGTGCGTCTCAGAATGGGGAAGTCTGGAGAAACTCTGGTCCTCTCCTGAAAAACCCTCCTCTCAAGCTCCACATAAGAGTCTGGAACCAGCTGCCCCAACACAGGCTGACCCTGCATCTGAGAGAGAGACAGACAGAGAGAAAGAAAGACATTAACATCTGAGAGAGAGAGACAGGGAAAGGAGTTAAAGAAGGGTTACAATATGTTACACCACCATATTCTGGAATCACTATGATTTGAAGTGCTCTATATGAGGCCTGTCAGACCTCGGCCTGTGCTTCAGTTTGACAGAATCTGACTAGGAAAGGCTGGTTTAGTTGGAACTATCAACAGGTATGCTGATTTGCGCTGTTAAAATCTCTCACACATAATATTAGCCAGTTTGTCAGTAGTAATTCACACATTTTTGTTGAAAATAAAACTCCTAAACAGGACCATGAACACTTATTTTGATCACAGGCTCCTGAAGATGTCTTGTTTAAATCCATTTTGAATTATAGTTTTCGGACTATCTTAAAACTTCTGTGCCAGTGTTTGCTAACGTGTGTACTGTGTCTGCTGAATATTGCACCTTAGAAATACATGTTGAACACCCCCAGTGTGATGTCACTGCAAAGTATCAATTACTTGGTTTAGTGGGATAGTAACTATGCTAAATACTTATCATAGCTTTACAAAAATACAGGAAGTAGCACTGAGATGTAAAATAGCATCCCTCTACCTGTCACCAACACAGAAAAATTCATTCAAAATGAGACAAATTACGCACAAGGAAGACATTTTTCTGACAGTTTAGGCCTTCATTTAACAAAATAAAAGCGTTGTCATTTATTTGTATTAGTCTAATCAAAACAATTGTGTAATTTTGGCTATTGTTAACATTATGGTTGGTAGGTAAAAGTTATGGAATTATTTTTAATTTTTTAAATAGTGTTCATCTGTTATTACAGAGACTGACATATATCCCAGGTACAGCTGTGCTACCTTAAAGTTAGTAGCCTCTCGGACAATGGCTTTCCTCAGTCTGCTCAGAGCGTCGGACTCCTCACACGCACAGACCATGTGGTAGTCTCTGATGGAGGGGAAGCCCTGATGGTGTAACAGTTCCTCTTGGATCGTAACCAGACTGGACTGTACCTGGTCTTCAGAGCTCAGGTCTAAGTGAGTCCCAACCAATATGACAGGAGACATAGGTGCCACTGCCTTAGATTGAAACAAAGATAATAAAGAAAAATTTATCATAGATTTAACTGTGAAAAAAGCATTTGCCCCTTGTTCCAATATATCTGCTCCAAATACAAGCATGATTTCCTTGAGTCAGTTATCTATGTATTTCTGACGCTAGATGCTCCAGAACAGATTTATATTTAATCAATGCAATTATTGTATTTATGTTTTAATAAAAGTATTCTGTTCAAAGTTCACATTTTAAACCAATCCATAAGAACTGATAAACTAACACAAGAAACACATTTCAGAACATTACAGACCTAAAGTAAATTACAGGGTTAGCAATTTTTATGCACAATAAGAAAATAGTTTTAGTGTTTGTTGGAGGAAATTATGACTAGGGGTGTCAAATTATCGCGTTAATTGCGATTAATTAATTACAGTCATATTTAGCGCGTTATGTTTTTTAATCGCGTTAATCTCATTTTTAATCTCTAACTTTACTGTTTCTGTATGTGAGTTTCTTTATTATAAAAACCTGTTTTTTATGTGTTGTTGGGACAACAACACACACACACAAAACACATTTATAAATTTTTTTATTTAGGTAATTCCACTCATTGCCGGAAAGCCACACAAAACGCAGTAAAAGCGATGTAAACGTCATGTTAACGTTGGCAGCATCAGTCGCACAATGGACGAGGTCAAAGAGCCAGTAGAACAGAGGCAGCAGTGCACGGGTAAAAACACATTCGTGTCTTGGAAATTATTCTCCCGACGTGAAATATAAAAGAAAATAACAAATATAATATCGCCTGAAAACAACCTGCATAGGCTCATGATCTCTGCACTACTGTCCTACAGTGACCTGCCACATGAGGGGACACGCACACAAACAAACACAAACAAACACACACCTTCATCATCGTCAGTAACCTGAGAACGCGCGGACCACGTTTCCTTCTGTAGTTACTGCGCGGACACCGACGTGCTCCCGTGAGCCGCGTGTGGATAGTGTTTTCTCGCGTACGCGGCATAAACCGCGCTTCCTCCTGTGCGCCTCTAAACCAGAACTAACACTAAGACTAAAACCAGGACTAAACCAGGACTAAACCAGGACTAAACCAGAACTAAAACCAGGTCTAAACCAGGACTAAACCAGAACTAAAACCAGAACTAAAACCAGAACTAAAACCAGGACTAAACCAGGTCTAAACCAGGTCTAAACCAGGACTAAACCAGGACTAAACCAGGACTAACACCAGGACTAACACCAGGACTAACACCAGGACTAAACCAGGTCTAAACCAGGACTAAACCAGGACTAACACCAGGACTAACACCAGGACTAACACCAGGACTAAACCAGGTCTAAACCAGGACTAAACCAGAACTAACACCAGGACTAAAACCAGGATTAATCCATTCCAGGACTAAACTAGGACTAAAGTAGGTCTAAACCAGGTCTAAACCAGGACTAAAACCAGTGATCTCATATATAAAGCATTTCTCTATCAATAATATTTTTAATATGGTTAAGGAAAGACTGGACGTTTTATTGTCTTTAAGTAGACAAAAGTTATTATGTTCAGATTTCCTCGTCTTTGCTACTTTACAACAAACAGTTTCTTATTCATGGAGACTTGGGCTCAACAGCCAAATTGGAGAGATTTGTTAAACAATAAATGACTTTATAAAGTCACTTTTTTAAATCTATATTAGTCTTTTGATCTGCCACAATAATGTAATAATGAATTTAAATGAAAATATCTCAAATTGAAGGCTTTTCTCAGCAATTTTTAGGTGAGATTAAAATGAGATTAATTAGATTAATTAATTACAGATCATAATTAATTAATCTCAAATTTTTTTTAATCGCATGACAGCACTAATTATGACACTTCTCTAATCTACATTTCTAAAATTGTGAACATGTCTGAAAACACATGTGAATACTAGTGATGTGACAAAGAGATTAGGAGAGAGGAATTACTATAGATAAATACAGACTTCCTCTTATTTACACCAGAATTAATCTGTAAACACTGACACGTATTTGTCAAATGCAGAATTAATTCGATTTGATTAGTTACCTTGATGTTGAAGAGCCATGGTTTGAGTGCGTCCACTTGAGCAACACCTTTGCTGAGGTCATACACCACCAGGTACAGGGCTCTGGAGCTCATCAGGTGAGGGAGAGCTCCACTCAGCTCCTCTCCACCTGGACACAACACAAACAGCCACATCTACACTGCGGGGACTGAACCTGAACAAATCCAAGAATAAAACTGGACTAAACCAAACGTAAGGTCGGACCACTATGCCAGATCTAATCCTTAAATGTATCACTTCAAACTACATCCTAAAAGGAACATATTGTGTAAAACCAACTTACATCAGTTTTTAACCATGGTATAGCAGCAACTGATTAATTCTAGAATGTTTCAGTAATTCTGTATTATCCTGCATTTGAGTGTTCAGAAAATTTCTGTTTTCACTAACCCCCTATCTACACCCACAGTCCTCTGCTTACTAAGATTATTCAAAAAAGTCAGACTTAAAAATGTCACTTAGCCATTTTTCCATAATGGAAAGTAAATGAAACTCTAGTTCTTGTGAAATGCCAATTACTGTTCTGTTCTGTAGTCAATGTACATGTTCCAAGTATTATGAGTTGACCAATGTGTCAATTTACAATTGACAAAATAATAATCTATGTATGATATAGTCACTAGAAAAAACATGATAAAAGCATAGAATGTCATTGGTTGCATAATTTTGGAGAAAAATCAAATTGCAATTTTTGTATTTAAAAGAATTCACAGTGCACATTTTCAACTCATCTAGAAGCATTAAGAAGAGCATTTGAAAAGACTGCATTTCAGAACATGTTTATAGAGGTCTAAACTACAAACAACTCAAAAAGGTTCAAATATCTACATGGGATTTAATTGCTTGTTGTGAGTAATATTTTACTGGTTGGTATTTTAAAAGTTTCAAGTCATGTTTTAATTATTTCAATATATTTATTTTTATTAAAATTATAAAAAAAAATATGAGTTTAAAACCAACAAATTATAGTTAATTATAGCTAACTAAATGACTAAAGTTTATAATTTTCTCTGACCTGAGAAGTCCCAGACGTTGAGCACAAGCTTCTTCCTGTCTCGTTCTCGGATGGTCCAGTCAGAGACCTCGATGCAGGCCTTCTGTTTGGGTGTGACCTGTGACTTTTTGGCCTTGGTGAGCAGTTGGATCAGACTGGTTTTACCGGAGCCTGAGTTTCCCACAACAATGAGCTTCATTCTGTAGTACGGCATGGCCTTCTTCAGACGCTGCTGTAGGAACCTGCAGGAAAGTTATGTGTTAGACTCATTTTAGACCTGTTTTAAGTCCAACTATATCCCCATTATAATCCTGGTATAACCCTGGTATAGTCTTGCATTAGCTACTCTGAGCTCTTCCCATGTGACTGAGCTCCTTACCCCATCTCTAAGGTAAAAAACTATTTTAAACGCTGGTTCGGTCATTACCCAAGCTCATGACAGTAGGTGAGAATAGAATAGAATTCTAGGTGGAGTTTGCATGTTCTCCCTGTGTCTGGGTGAGCACTCCAGCAGTTTCCCCCATCAACCCAAAACAAGCACAACAGTTCAAAGCTAAGACAGTCCTGACCAAGACTAGCTCAACATTTGGAGATGGTTCCCACTGCTCTTGACAGGTTTAACCCAGAAACACAGAAGGATGGGTTAAATGCAGAGGCCACATTTCAGGACTTAAACAAATGCTTGTAAGAACCTCCCTGTGCTGTACCTGATGATGTCTTTGGTCTTGGAGCCGATGAGCTTCAAGTCGAGCTGCAGTTTGAGTCCGTCCAGAGGAAGGTCCCACAGGCGCACCAGTTTACCCATCTCATCTGGAAATGAGCGCAAACCAAGATTCCTACTCACATCCAGAGAGGTGAGGCCTTCCAGGAGCCCAATCTCCCCTGGCAACTGGAAAAGATAAAATATATATAGGAATGAACTGTAATTAATTGTTAAATTTGTGTATTCAGAATATTAATCAGTATATTTGGCTAGTTTAGATGTATTTATTTTTTACTTTGATTATTTGACTTGTAAGGAATTACTTCACAGTCGCAGAGTTGTTCAAAAGTGACACTGAGGAGGAAGAATTAATTGGATTTAGTGTTTTATAGTGAGATGGAGAGTTTGCTAATCTTGTTATGTTGTTTATGCTATAGTTATCTGAATAACTCTTAATATGTGACGTTAACAGTCTGTTGTTCTCTGGTCCATTGTTATTACTATAAATTGCCTGAAAATGTCAGTTCCTGGTCTCTGATTTTATAAAATAAATTTTCCCCAAAAAGCGCGACTTACAGTCCGGTGCAACTTATATATGTTTTTTTCTTCTTCATTACGCATTTTTTGGATGGTGCGATATATACTCCGGACTGGAGCAACTTATAGTCTGAAAAATACGGTATTGCTATTAGGAATAGATTCTGTTCAGAATGCAATTACAGCTGTTACACAGAATAAGACCTCATGCAAACACAGCAAGGGTATCTGACACACAGGGACATTTCGGAACATGTTTGTAAAGGTCTAAACTACAGGGTTAGGAGCTTTTACACATTATAAGACCTAATGGAGACACAGCGAGGGCATCTGACACAGAGGGAGAGCATCTGACACACAGGAAGGGCATCTGACACACATCTTGTACCTGTGTGAGTTTGTTGTCACTCAGGTGCAGTTTCTCGAGTCGGCTCCATCTGAACACATCTGAGCTTAGGTCCAGAGACTCAATACAGTTTTTACTAAACATGAGCTCACGAAGGTTTAAGGAAGACCAGCACGAAGGAGGAGGGAGGGAGGAGATATTGTTGTTTCTTAGGTCCACTGAGCGCAAACTGAAGAGAAAGAGAGATACAGAGAAAGGAGAGTTTGGTGATGGTTTAAGGATTCTACACAGTCACTTTTTTGCTAAAATGTGTATATGGTGTTTGAATTGATGCTTTACAGTGACATCTTTCTTGTAAAAAGCTCAAAAAATTAGATTTTGATACATTTTCACAATGATATAAGGAATTTGAAAAAAGAGAAAAGAGGCTTCCAATCGGCACCATTGGCTGCTCCAACCACCACCAACACCACGTTCATACTAGGCAAGGTGGGTGAAGTGCCTTGACTAAAGATACAATAACAGAACTTGGTCCGAGGGAGTTTCTTACTTTGGCAGTTGGAGGATGGCATCTGGGACATGGCTGAAATTGTTGTTTGCTAATTTCAGAGTCGTCAGTTTCAGCGGCAGAAACAGGAGATCAGCTGAGAGAAGACAGGAACCACAGGATATAAGATTTATGTAAGCATATTGTTAAAGAGAGGGTATTTTAATTTTATGGGATATTAACTATTTATACATCACATATTTAGATCACCATGTTACCTTTTGTTGTTTGGAAAATGCTATATTCTCCAGAAAACAATGTGTTAACATGTTTTATAAGTTTCACTTTCATTTTTGACAATGATAAATATTTATCACAGGTACTATCCCAGCAAACCAAGACATAATTTGAAAACGTGTCATATGCACTTTAATACTGGCTTTAAACATGTATGGTTGGACTCACAGAGTTTGTTGGTGGAGGCACTGAACACCTCCAGTTTGGGACAGTCTCTCAGAAAGTCTGAGGATAATTCCTCCAAGTTGTTTTTACTGACGTCCAGAAGTTTGAGCTCAGGTAAAGACAGAGGCATGGAGAGAGACACAATACTGTTTCTGCAAACAGAAACAAACATTTGTAACTAACAGGGCTGCAACATGAATCAAATCAAAATCTTAAATTCAATGGGTGCTATTAGCAAATTGCAAATACTGCATTTTTCCTTACAACCTTACAATTTCCTGCACAAACAACAAAATCTCATGTTTATTCTGCACAGAAACGGCAAACCCTGTAGTTTAGATCTGTACAAATGTTCTGAAATGTGATTCTTGTATTAGTTTGTCAGAATACAAAATCGCTAATCTAATTGGAAATGTCAAGTCCTGGTTAAGTTCTGGGTTTAGTCTAAAATGTGATGTGGTGTGTGCATAGTTACTTTCACCCTCTATATATGGGTTAAACAGCCCATAGTTTAAATTGAGCAGGAGGACAGCTCAATTTAATCGTTGTGTTTTTTCTCACAAAAATCCTAACACTAAAATTGTATCACATCCTTCGCAGGCCCGTGCACAGACATTTTGAGGCTCAGGGTGAAAAACCTCACATGGACCCCTTCTAATAAAAAATGAATACTAGGAGGGTCCTATTCCCAGGGCCCAGGAAAACAGACCCCATCTACTCCTCTGATCCCTAGTTACACATATGCACGTATCATAAAGTAATAATTGCGATCTTTGCGCATTTGAATTGTAAAAATAAGAATCATTCAGTTAATAGGTGTATATCTTAACATGCCTTACCCCTCTATGAGCAGCTCCTCCAGGTTGCCCATGAACTCCCCAATGTTCAGAGGAAACTCCTGCAGTTTATTAAAGGAGAGGTTCAGATGTTTGAGAGACGGGCAGACAGCTGATTGGCTGAAGCACAGTGAGGGGGCATGGACACAGTTACGGGACACATTGAGCATGCTCAGAGAGGGCAGGGTCAGGAGGTCCACAGGAAAACAGTTCAGCTGGTTTCCCTGAAGGTCTAGACGAGTCAGGCTCCTCAGACTCTGGAACAAGAGGCAAAGCAAGGTTAAGGTAGGTAGCCACTGTGGGAAATTTCACTTTCTTCAGTGAAACTAATAAGTTGTTTTATTCCTTAAAAAGTTTGGAAAATTTGAAAATCAGCATTAAACTAGGTCTAAAGTTGGACTAAACCAGGACTAAACCGGAAATAAACCAGGTTTAAACCAGGTATAAACCAAGTCTAAACCAGGTCTAAACTAGGTCTAAACTAGGTGTTAACCAGTACATACCTGGCAGAGCTGTGAGGGGAACTCCAGCAGGCTGTTGTGGCTTAGGTCCAGTCTCTGCAGATGTTCCAGTTGTTGTTGAACTGAGTCATCATCCATTAAACAGCTCAGAGAGTCCAGCTCATTCCCAGACAGGTCCAAGAGTCGGATCCTGTCCCAGTCTCTGACAGACAAGGACTCACTCAACACTGGGGAAGGGACAAGGGAATACAGGTGTAAATGTATGGTTGTGCAATTTATCAACTATTGACTATTTTGTTTGTTAAAGGAGCTATACCTAACCTGAAAAACAGAACTAGTTCATTTAAAAACTGTTCGCAGTGGTCTAAAGTTATTCCTTACACATTCTGAGGTTCTGTGACAGTAGAGCTAACAACAAATAGCATGCCAATGTGCATTTCCTGATTCTCAACCAATAAAACACTTTGAAATTAGATACAGATTTTACACAGCAGACTTATTTTGACCTAAAAAGCTACTTATAGCTGCTGCTTAGCTGTGCTTGGGCAAAACATATTTTACTCAAATACATGGAAAAAATCTGGAATAAGATGTCTCCTTTGTCTTATTCTATGAATCTTATTTTTAAAAATCATCCACTACATGTCTGAGTTGATTTTCTTAGGGTTAGGGTTTATTCCCTATTAATTTGTATCTCCCTATGAGAGGATACAAATTAAATAAATTTCTTGGTTCAGTCCTACATTTCTGCATAGATCCAGTGCGGCCGTATTTCTTCTGTAAAGGTTCAGGGGGATCTGTCTCTGTGGCCCCACTCTGAAAAACACAAACACATTTATATTTATGTGGAATATAATGTAATAATACCTTTAAACGTAGACAAACACTGGAGAAAAACAATTAACAATTAGCTACAGAACAGGGACTACATGCACATTTATATCAGACTTAAATATTAAGCTTGCAAATGCAGCTGCTGTACCATTTAAATTGTTTGAGGATGGATCAGGGAGGCCAAGCTGGTAGCTTGGGAAACCAAGCAGTGGTACTGGCAATGTTCTGGCTTTATTCACACACAAGCCTTTCCTGCATATTCCCAGGAATTTACCCAAGAACTTGACAGATCAGAAATCATTTTTTGCATGACATTTACCTAAAAAACTAAAATTCCCAGATCGAGCTGAGTGTGAATGGGGCTAGTTGATAAGTGTCTGTATAATGTAATACAGCAATCCTGACCTCTGCACTGACCTCAGCACTAGCATGTCTGCGGCGGTTATGCTTCCTGCTCCTGAGCTCCTCTGAAGAGTCACTGTGAGCTTTAGGAGACAGAGGCCCAGCCAAAGAATCACTGCCTGAAACAAGATAGGTACAACATGTTTAACTTCTGTCAATCAAGGAGCACTCATTTGGTCAATATCTCACACTGCTATTGGAGATATGCTTTGGTTGGGATCCAGTCCTTTGTCTGTGTAGTAGTAGTAATAATAGTAAGAATAGGAGTGATAGTAGTAATAGTAGTAGCAATACTAGTAGTACTAGGTAGCCCTTCATCTGTGTAGTAGTGGTAGCAGGAGTAATAATAGAAAACAGAAAAAAATAGAAACAGTAGTGCAAATAGTACTAATATTTGCACTAGTAGTAGGTACCATCACTCTCCAGATCATCGCAGAGCACCAGTCCTTCGTCCATGGACATGAAGCTGAAACAGGAGTCGTCGCTCTCATCAGAGATGTACCCAGAAGTCAGGCAGGGGTCAGTGTGAGACCTCAGAGGCCCAGAGATGCTTTTCAGACGCTGCAGAGAGAGAATGTAGCGTGCTAGGCTAATTCCTTTACCTAAGAGAGAAAGGGACAGTTTACTCAACAAAAACATGCCCAATATGTCAAATCCTCCAACTAAAGAAGTCTAGCTAGTGATTGGTGAAAATGGGTTGATGGGTGAAATGAGTTGATCGGCAAAAAGGCATCTTAATTATAAGCAAAGATTGCACAAATCACTCCAATTACAACTTTGGTTAGGTAAATGGTGAGAGGAAACTATAACATGGCTAAAAGCTCTGAAAAGTCAATTTTACAGATTAAATCTGCCTTAAGTATCAAGTGAAAGAACATTTTAGTATATTCACGTACTGTTGAATCGTGAGTTGAAGCTCTGATTGCGCCCTCTCTCGGCCAACAGCGCACTGAGCCACACTGCATCCAGCCTCCCAAGTCTGAACCCGCCCAAACACAAGGAGGCGCTGTGAACATCCAGCCCGAGTCTGCCCAAAAGCTGCACCACCGCGGCTCCATCCCCCCTCCTCACACTCACAGCCAAAGCCCGACGCAAGTGCTGCTCCTGGGCCCCACGAGCCACCAACAGCTCCAGGAGATCCAGAGGGCCACCACGCTCACAGACCTAAGGAAAGAAGAGAGGGTGTGGGAAGATGAACAAGACTAGAATCTACACTAGAGTTAGTTAGTGTAATCCCTCAGTTGTAAATGGGGGAAACTTTTCAAAGGTAGTCAAGTGGACAACTTTTCTGAAATAAAGATGTTTCAAATGTAGACTAACTATACACAGGCAGTTTCGACACTTTTTCATGTATGGTTCTTCTTATTTCCATGACATTGTAGATTGAAGGCATCAAAACTATGAATGACACATATGTAATGTAGAAAAAAAAATACAACTCAAAAGTTATTTGACTTTTCTACACAATTCCATACATCTTACAACATATATTTGATGTGTTCCATATATAAAATTGAGAAAGTAATTAATATCATTGAATGAGATATAGTGTACAAACTTTTGACTGGTAGTCTATAGACATAGCTCGTTCCAAACAGAAAGTGAGCATGAGAGGGATTCCATTGGCCCCAATTCATTTGAATTAAAAAAATGTCACCTCTCTCTCAATAACTACTGCTGTCAGGCTTTTTATTTTGGTCTTATAATGTCCTTTTTAACCCGCTCAACCTGGACAGGTTTGATTGACAACTACCGTACCTTGTTGCTAAGGGAAGGAGAAAGTACCTTGAACAACCTAACTTCCGACTGATTGTTTATTTGCTATGATACACGTGCTTAAACACAAGTCACTATGGGTGATGTCAAACTCTCAGTTCACTTCCTTATACAGTCTATACTTTCAAGTCATTTTCAAGGTACTGGTCTGAGGAGACAGGATAACCACTCTGCCACAGTAACACAGGAAAGACATGTACTCTCAACTCAGAGAGATCAGGAGTCTAACCCACAACCTCCTCACGGAGAGGAGGAGACAGGATAATCACTCTGCCACAGACCTGGTATATAAGTGGTTCAGTTTTGGTCTTAGAGTTGACGTCTGCTCCCAGTTCGATCAGACATTCGGCCATAGTTGTGTCTCCTTCTTCACAGGCCTTTTCCAACATGGAGGAGTGCAGCTCAGAGTCAGCCCATAGTTTAGACAGAGCCAGGCACACGGTCCTACGCAGCTGAAAGAGAGAGGGGATATGAAAAGGGTTAAGTACTGGTTTAAACCTGATTTAGACCTGTTCAGTCCTGGTTTGTCCCAGTTAAGCCCTGGTTTAGCCTTTGTTTAAGAACCAGGTCAATAGATGCTTGAAAGAGGTTTACTAATCAGGATGCTCCACTTCACATGCTAAGCTTCACATAAGTCAGTCATAAGAGATGACGCACGTATATGCCTTAACGCTAATAAGAGTAAAAATGTGCGTGCATATAGTTATAAACACAGAAGATATATTTTAAAAATGTAACAGAGGAGTTTTCAGTTTCTGGAGTGACTGGAGAGTGGACAGCTCAGTTAAGTCTTTTTAAGTTAAACACAGTTATAGGCCCTTGCTTGTATCTGACAATAAGGACTGATAATGACTTTAAGTGATTTACAAAATAATGCTTTCCTCCTGATTTAGCCCTGGTTTATTCCTGGGTTAGTCCTGGTTTAGTCCTGGTTTAGGGTACAAGATTAACTGGCAATTTAAATAACTGGTTAGCCTAGTTCTATTTAACTCTTCCTTGAATACTGGTGTATTGCTCCCATTGCTGCCTTCACTATTCGTTGGTGCAAAGATCTAAAGTACCAAGTGAACTGGTTTGAGGATGTTAATGAGGGAGAATGTGAGGAATGTTCTTTGTGGAAGTTACAAAGACAAATTTAGATCAAGACACAAAATGTACAGAATGTGTTCAGAGTAGACAGATAATGACACGCATTACGAGAGGGAAAACCCTCTGTTATATAATCATTTGTGTAGCTAAATGGCTGTTTAACTTCTGAGATGCCAGCTTATAATAATAATAATAATAATTAAAGCCATAAAGCTGAATTTGGCATTAAAGGCCCTTGCTCTCCTTGCGACTGTGGGGTACATGACAAAGAGGCTGCCTCTCATCCCCGCCTACATCACTCCATCCCCCAATGTGTATATGTACTGCATTTTCTTGGCATTCAGCTCAGACTTAATAAACTCATTCTTTAACCACTATTTTAACATTGTTGCCCATCAGAAATAACACCTGTGACAAACAAAATAATATTTTTGCTATTTTCTGGGTTTTTAATTAGTCTCGTCCCTCGGCTCAGGCCTAACAATGCACTGGATTTCCAAAGCACTTTACAGTGTATTATTCAATCACTCCACACTTGGTGGTGTTAGGATACTATTGTAGCCAGAGCTGCCCTAGGACAGACTGATGGAAGTGTGGCTGCCATTCTGCACCACTGGTCCCTCCCATGACCAGCTTCATACTAGGCACAGTGGCTGCCCCAATGTGGCACCTGGTATTGCCATAAATCTCCCATCCAGGCCCAGCCCTGCTTAGGTTCTGAGCAATGACACTGGACATTTGTATCAGTCTCCATACTCACCGGGATGCTGCTGCTCTCTGGCGCTTCCTCCCTGAGCTGCTGGAAAACCTGTCGATCAAAGTCGTGTTTCTGAAGCTGAGCTGCAGCTCCAGAACAAGCCTCCATCATGCGCACAGACACCTGAAAACACTGGAAACAAAACGGGCACAAAATAAAACAAATAACACTAACACCCACAATTATAAAAAAATATAAAGTTCATTTTATCCATTTTGTTTTCCTTTGGATCAGTTTGAGAGCCACTGCTTTCGACTTTACACAAACCTTGAGCTCGATCTCTCTGTCATCTTTGTACTGGACCAAAGATGCGACCACCACAGACGCCAAAACAGGTAAAATCATCCGAGAGAGTTTCTTCTTTATGACGAGATGCTGCAGCAGAGTCAGGCCCCAGAGGTGGATCTCTGGATAACAAAAAAACACTTTTTATTGCAGTGACATCACTCTGGGGGGTTCTGCAAGTATGTCTATGGTGAAATGTTCAGCCCTTATCATGTGACACAATGGACACATAAGCAATAACTTCCATAAAAGTTTAAGATGGCCTGAAAACTTAAAAAACACAAATTGGATTTAAACTCAGATTGGCTCCACAGATTGTAAGCATTCATGGTCCTGTTTAGGTGTTTGATGTTCAACAAAAAAGGTGAGAATGTTTAACTGAAAAACTGTTGGATAATGCCAGCTAGCTTGTGACTGTAATGGTATTTGAGAGTAACTCCTTGAACAGCACAAATCAGATCACCTGTTGTAGTTCCAGGTGTGGGGCCAGTCCCAAACAAATAATAACGTTCAACATTTGTGAATTGTAAGTTTGGAGATTTCTTCCAGTCCGATGTTATGTATGGTTGTGATAAAGAAATAGCATGTGTTCGTATCACTGTCATACATGTTGTACCTCTGTCCTCTGGAAACATCTGGAGTGTGTGAAGGACGGTGTCTATTGCCCCCTGCTGGCAGAGGAGATCCACTGCACCGGAGCAGTCAGCCAGAGCAGAGAGCACCTTTAAGCCCCCCCTCTGTATCGAAGGACTGCTGATGAACTGAAAAAGAAATCAGTATATTTTTAAATCACTCTCTTGTGCATCCTCTGATCCTTTCATCTGCATCCTCTGCTCCATCTGACTCTCTCCTCTTCCTTTGCTCCATCTGACCCTTCCTCTGCATTTTGTGGACATTGTGGAAATCCTTAATTATTTCTTATACACTCTGTGTTAATTTGTTCTGTTAACTGAGCTGTAAATGTCTTGGAATGCACAAACAGGTGAAACTTCATTCCTAACCCTTACATAATCGTTTTCCCAGAGCTACTTCCTGCTTAAGTCAACACTGTCCATTGTCCAGACTCAGTCACATCTTATCAAACTCGAACAGGCAATTTCTGTTTGTATTCCCGCCACTTTTCTGCTGGTCGTTTGAGAAATCTTAATTAAATGCTCTAGTTTTTGTAGAGGAGCTCACTGTATCAATACAATTATGTCATTACAACAGTAGTGAATGGGATGTATGCTTGTGTCTGCTTGTCTGTAAACCATCTCTTGTATTTTCTAAGTGGAACTAATCACTGTTTAATTTCTGAAATGTTTTTTTGTTGAGGTCAGTCAAACTGAAAAAGAGGACACAACTTGTAACACAATATGACACATGTGACCTAATAGTGATGCACAGAAACTTGAAAATGCTAATTAACTAACTATTTTAACATTTGGCATAGGGCTACATAAATGTTGAAGAGAAGACTGCAATCTGAAATGTTTAAGACAGTCCAAGAACCGCAGGCTATTCAGAGCATGTCTGTAGGGTCTAAACTATAGGATAAGAAGGGTTTTGCACAGAATAAGATCCCCATGGATACCCAGGTAGGGCATCTGACACACAGAGACATTCCAGAACATATTTGACGAGGTCTGAACTACCAGCTTAGCAGCTTTTTTTGCAGTCTTTGTGATTCAACAAGTATCCAAACAGTGTGTTCATTAAATGTCTCTGTTCTCTTGGAGCCCATTGTCATGAGAGATAAATTGATGATATTTTCATGGAGATAAGATGATGGTGTTGCCCTGGAGATAAGGTGTTTAGTGTGGTAGTGTTGTGTGTTTACCCTGTTGAGCACCTCCAGGTACAGTGTATGAGCCCCCTCCACCACACACTGAGTCTTCAGCACCTTCAGAGACACATCTGCCATGTCAGGGTCACACACAGCACCACTGCTCTCTCTCAAACTGCGGTCTGAAAACAAGCACGGGTGTATTAGAGGGGCTGTACCTATCAGCTGTGTCTTGTCTGCATCAAATTATAAAGCATTTTCATAGTTAGCATGCAAGGTGAATATTGTTAGCAGTGTTCTGATAGCCAAACTCTGCTCTGATGTCTGATAGCTGTAGAAAGTGCTTATAAACTCATCATGGTGAATAATTACAAAGTTCAGTGTGCATTAGGTAAGGGAGGAATAACTATGTAAACTGTTTAAAATAAACTAGTTCTGCATTTCATGTTTTTAAGACCATGAAATCAGCTAAATGTGTCTTTGTGTCCAAGAGGGGGATTCACAAGTCTATTATCCGCACAATGACTTGCTTATAGATCTGATTTCTATAATGAGGCTTACACAGAATCTGGGCTTTCCTTCAGAGATAACCCCAGAAACACTCCAGACCACAGAGTCAAATCTAATACACTAAATGTCATTTTTCAACCGTGAAAGAGGACTGACTTAAGTGAGATAGTCCAGATTCTATGCTCAAGTGCATTTGCTAATGTACAGATTTTTAAAAATCATACTGTTAACACAATAAAATGTCTACTACTACTAATAATAAAAGCAAATAGATACCATAAAGATAATAAAAACAGAATGCCATTTTTTTAAACAAATAATAGTAGTACTAGTTTTTGTAAAGCTCCACAGTGTAACTTTTTAGCATTCTTTTCTTCTTCATTTTGTATGTTTTTATTGCTCTGAAAAACATGTGTCCTTATTAGCATCACCGCAAACCTGACCCTTATGTGGCAATGGAAATGTTATTCTTTTTAGGGGTGTCAAATTATCGCGTTAATTGCGATTAATTAATTACAGTCATATTTAGCGCGTTATGTTTTTTAATCGCGTTAATCTCATTTTTAATCTCTAACTTTAGTGTTTCTGTATGTGAGTTTCTTTATTATAAAACCTGTTTTTATGTGTTGTTGGGACAACAACACACACACACACAAAACACATTTATACATTTTTTTATTTCGGTAATTCCACTCATTGCCGGAAACCCACACAAAACGCGCGCAGTAACAGCGTAAGTAAACGTCATTTTAACGTTGGCGGCATCAGTCGCACAATGGACGAGGTCAAAGAGCCAGTAGAACAGAGCAGCGCACAGGTAAAAACACATTCCTGTCTTGGAAATTATTCTCCCGACGTGAAATATAAAAGAAAATAACAAATATAATATCGCCTGAAAACAACCTGCATAGGCTCATGATCTCTGCACTACTGTCCTATAGTGACCTGCCACATGAGGGGACACGCACACAAACAAACACACACAAACAAACCTTCATCATCGTCAGTAACCTGAGAACGCGCGGACCACGTTTCCTTCTGTAGTTACTGCGCGGACACCGACGTGCTCCCGTGAGCCGCGTGTGGATAGTGTTTTCTCGCGTACGCGGCGTAAACCGCGCTTCCTCCTGTGAGCCTCTAAACCAGAACTAACACCAAGACTTAAACCAGGTCTAAACCAGGACTAAACCAGGACTAAACCAGGTCTAAACCAGGTCTAAACCAGGTCTAAACCAGAACTAAAACCAGGTCTAAACCAGGTGTAAACCAGGTCTAAACCAGGACTAAACCAGGACTAAAACCAGAACTAAAACCAGGTCTAAACCAGGACTAAACCAGGACTAAAACCAGAACTAAAACCAGGTCTAAACCAGGACTAACACTAGGACTAACACCAGGACTAAAACCAGGATTAATCCATTCCAGGACTAAACTAGGACTAAAGCAGGTCTAAACCAGGTCTAAACCAGGACAAAAACCAGTGATCTCATATATAAAGCATTTCTCTATCAATAATATTTTTAATATGGTTAAGGAAAGACTGGACTTATTATTGTCTTTAAGTAGACAAAAGTTATTATGTTCAGATTTCCTCGTCTTTGCTACTTTACAACAAACAGTTTCTTATTCATGGAGACTTGGGCTCAACAGCCATTTTGGAGAGATTTGTTAAACAATAAATGACTTGATAAAGTCACTTTTTTTTGTTCTGTATCAGTGTTTTGATCTGCCACAATAATGTAATAATGAATTTAAATGAAAATATCTCAAATTGAAGGATTTCCTCAGCAATTTTTAGGTGAGATTAAAATGAGATTAATTAGATTAATTAATTACAGATCATAATTAATTAATCTCTCAATTTTTTTAATCGCATGACAGCACTAATTCTTTTGGTTAAAATTTTCCACAGACATGAAATTGAAGTATACTTTCAACTTTGTATTTCTATGGAATCATGCAGGTGACGTGCCTCCAGAAAGTTGCTCTGAGTTGCTTTAACAAATTATTATTAATCCTATACTAGTTCGGATATAGTTAAAGTCCATTATAAAACTATTCAGGAAAGATATTTTTGTTCACATGGGAATTTAGTTTTATATTAGTAATAATAGTAGAAGTAGCAGTAATAGTTGCAGTAGTAGTAGCAGTTGTTGTAGTAGTAGTATTCGTACCTGGACATAGCAGCACCAGAGTGGCCTTGAAAGCCTCCAGTTGAACAGCAGGTTCAAAGTTGTGAGTTTTCATCACAGATAGAATCTGCCCCATCGTCATGTTTAACTCATCTAGACCAGCGCCCCTATAAGACAGGTGGAGAAGAGCAGGGTCAGAAGGGGCTCCAAAAAATGGTATGTGTTTTAAAGCACTGTACATGTTTTTTCTTAGAGGGGGGTTAAAAATTTTTTTCCAGTGCAAGGTCTTGGTCAAAACCAAAACACTTCATGGTTCCAGCTTCAAGCTGCCATGTACCGGTATATGTTTATTAGACTTTCTGTTACCAATGGAAACCTGCCGTACAGCTAGTGACGTTAATGCATTGCACATGTGTTGTTACCACCACAGTATTCCCATTTATTCCAGTATTTAGACTGTACGGTTTGTGGAGTTTATAGTAGAGCCCGACCGATATATCGGTTGGCCGATATTATCGGCTGATATGGGCACCTCGATGCATATCAGCTATCGGCCGATATGCTTGCTGATAGGGGCCGATATTTCACGTGGGCGTCGTTAAAAATCTTAGACTCTCTACATTATGTTCATTTAATCCAATTTACAGACAGATAAATGTCCTAATATGTGTCTCCACATCAGTATTTATCTACGGAGTCATTTATCCGTGCGTGTGTCCGTATTGTCCCTGAACACACCAGAGTCGCGTCACTCACGTGTGTTTGTTTACATCCGCAGACATAGATCCAAACATTGAGATTATTTTCTTTTTACGGACAATCGGTTTGAGTCTGAATTAAAAGGACATTTATTAGTGCAGATTTGTGATGTGAGGAGGAGCCTGTATGAGCGGTGAGTGTTGGAAATATGTCGACTCTGAAGCTAGTTTTAGTCATTCGTTATGGGTTAGCTGCTGTAGCTCCCGCACATAAACAGACTGTTTTCTATTGGTCTATTGTAAAGTGACTACACTGGCCGTATATTTGTTACTGGACCAGCACTGATATGTAAATGAGCTGTGAACAGACGTGTGAATTATGACATTTGCGCATATAATTCATTACCGCGGCGCGCAGCATTTACGGCTAAAGGCTAATAGCGCTAGTTTCTTTACTAGTTATGGGTCCGTCGCGGACGAAATGACTCTTAGAACCGGCTCTTTAAAGGGAACGACGGGAGCCTGATCCTTATTGGGAGCCGTGTTTTCTCTTTCTCTCACTTTTTTCCTGTTCACGCCGCGTGCAGACTCGTGGTTTGACAGCGGCAGAAAACGAAACTTTGAGAAATTTGCGTGTACGTAGGATTAAAAAAAAACAAAAAACAAGCATATTTGGCTGTAGTTTAGCATAAAATAAATAAGTCCTTGTTTAGACCTTTTTCAGTCCTGGTTTAGACCTGGTTCAGTCCTGATTCAGTCCTGCTTTAGACGTGCTTTAGTCCTGCTTGCAACAAAACAATCTGAAGAGCCGCTTGGGAGCCAAAAGAACCAGCAGCTTTTAGTGAGCCGAGCCAAAAGAGCCGGTTCTCTAAAAAGAGCTGGAATACCCATCACTAGTGTCTAGAATATGATGCAAAAATGCCATTAAGTCAACCTACTGTCTGTAAATATGATGTAAAGAGGCAGAATAACAATAAATGTTGCCTAAATAAACCCAATTTAAAATCCACTAAATATATCGGCGATTATATCGGCTATCGGCAGCGCCAACTCCCATTATATCGGTTTCATATTGGCCACAGCAAAATCCATATAGGTCGGGCTCTAGTTTATAGTAAATAGTCCATACATCCCTGTCTTCAGTATTTAGACCATGCCGTGTAAATTTTCAGTGTATAGACCATACCGTCCTTGGAACAGTAGACTGAGCAATCGACAGGCACTGACAGACACTTCAGTCGAGGCCACGTGTTTCTTCATCATCTCCACTATGTTCACATGGAGTCCACTAGAGAGCAGCAGCGGGCGCATTTTACCTGCAGTTAAAAAGAACAATGTTTTAACTATGTTCATCATTATCTTACTCAAATTTGTATTTTGATTACTTTGTGCATCTTTAGTTCCGAGCACTCAAAGTTGTTAAGTCAGTTCTTTATGGTCAGATTGAGTTAAAACAAAGTTACATTAAAGTTTAACTTGAGTAACAGAGTTTCAGACAGAGCAGTGCCTCTAATTAGATATGGGACTCACTCTTGTGCGTGAGCAGGGCTGTGATGGCGCTGGTCGCCGCCTGAAACACTTTGGTCGACGAGGAGTGAAGCAGCATGGCCGCCATCAGCTGTCTGTGAACTGGAGTCCTGGAAACATAAACATGTCCTTTAGCTCAGGGAAAGTTGAAGCAGTGTAGCTTTTCATGTAAAAAAGTGAAATTGGGGTGGACCGCCCAAGCACAGTCAGGCAGAGTGGCTTACAGCATTTACTTCTGGGTTTACAATAAAATGCTTCATTTTTAGATGTCCTATTTCACAAAGTGAGACTTCTACAGTAGTCTCAAAACAAAATATACCTACTGTATTTTTGGTACTATAAGTTGCACCAGCCAAAAAATGCGTGAAATGAAGAAGAAAAAAACACATATAAGTCGCACCGGACTATAAGTCGCACTTTTTGGGGGAAATTTATTGGATAAAATTAGAGACCAGGAACCGACATTTCACTTTTTCATTTTGAAAGGCAAGTTATAGTAATAACATTAAAACAGAACAACAGGCTGTTAATGTAACATATGAACATATAACAACAGAACAGAACAAGTTTACAAAACTTTACATCTCACTCCAAATCACTCAACCCGTTGAATTCTTCATCCTCGGTGTCACTTTTGAGCAACTCAAACCTACCTCCGGAGGTAAACGAAGCGCTGCTTCCTCTCCTGCATAGCTGTCGTCAGACTCAGCATCAGTTCCAGTTAGAATTATTCCGGCCTTTCTGAATCCCAACAGGATGGATTTGGGTGTCACTGAAGTCCAGGCTTTGTCCATCCATCCAATGACTTCCAGGAGAGTTACATGGTGCACCCACCCGGTTATTGTGAAGATGGGTTCTCCATCCCGGCTTTCCGCCAGTCCTCACAAGTTTCTCGCTCACTCCAAACTTTCTTTCTGCTGCTCGATTACCGTTTTTGGCTGCATATTTCGCTACTTGCAGCAGGACACATGCAGGAGACATTCGCAGTAGGGCGCAAAGTGACAGTGGTACAGGAGTAATAGGAGTAGCAGATAATGACACACAAGCCTAGAGCGCCCTCTCACAGCTGTCAGTGTGAACATTTTAATACATAATTCACACTGGAGTATAAGTCGCAGGACCACCCAAACCATGAAAAAAAGTGTGACTTATAGACTTAAATACAGTACATACATTTTTTCTTTATGTAGGTACATTTTCACGGTATATTATTAAAGTATATTATATTATATTATATTATATTATATTATATTATAAGGTATATTATTACATAAGGAAAGAAAGACCAAAGTTCACCTGTGTCCCTGATCCTCCTCAGACTGGTTCACTCCAGCTCCATGCAGTAACAGGCTGTGAATCGCCCAACTCGCCGCCTCCTAAAAAAAACATTATAATTTATTTGAATACATTTTGATGAGTTCCATTTGTCATTTTTTCCTTTTAAAAGTTATGTTGCTCAGATAAAATGTTGCTCTGAAGATATAAAGTATTTAACTCAAAGGTGCACTGTGTAACTTTGGTGAAGGGTCTCACTGGAAATGTTATTAGTGATATGTTTCATAGTATGGCATTAAAAACTGCTATCATCATGCCAAAATATCTTTAAAAAACATGTAACCAGGGTCCCCTGTTCGTAGATCTAACCTATAACTAGGCAGAGTTGCAGTTCCTTGCAGTGCAATTTTGCACTTAAAAAAAGCGACTAATCCATGTGTACTTAAAGGAGATATATTGTGCATGTGTCTGCAGTATAATTATAATATATGACATACATGGATCATTATGTTATAAATTGCACATTTTAAATCACAACACTGATCTAAAACAATAAAAAAGCAGCAGTGCCAAATGGGAGCTGACATGGGCGTAAAGGCTGTATTTGATAATGTGTGCATTGTGTCACCATGGTAACTGCTAAACATTCCACTGTAGACATTTATCCAGTAGTCCCCCCCAGCATAGCAGTTACTGCAAAGTATCAATATGATATACATTAAAAACTTGACCTGCACTGAAGGTTCGGCTGCGTGGAGCTCCAGAGCAGAGCAGCACACTTCCATCCAGTTCAGCCCCAGATGGAGCACTTCCTGTGGGCCACGCTGCTCCTCCTCCTCCCCCTCCTCCAGACCCTGAGCTGCAGCAGCCTGGTTCTGCACGATCGTCGCCGCTGGACACACAAAACAATCACTGTTACCTAACACAGAGGAATATCTGATTATCTCATTTAATATTGAATCAGTTTGAAGGAAATATTTGAAATGTTGCCAAGAAATGGTTAAGTGAATGACATCAATGGCCAAAGAGACAGAGGGAAACTGTTTATAGAGTCAAAAGTATTACTTGTACACTTAATTGTCCCTAAAGAGTAATGTGTATGTTACAGGCCTCGGCCCTTTGGTGCTTGATTATTCATGTTCCCGTTGTCTCTTGTTTCTTTTGTGTGTATGTGATCAGTCCGCGAGCCCTGAACTCGGATGCGCGGGAGCAGAGACTGCCGGACGGAGGCTTCGCATTGGATCGCTCTGGGGATTGGCCGGACACCCTTCTGCCCCCACCAATCTGTGGATGCCACCTGTGGGGCGTGGAGTATAAAAGCACTGTCTTCCGCCTGCTCGGCATGACTGGGTGCCTGTGTGCCAGCTTGCCCTTTTGTTTGGTTATTTCTTTGGTTGTCTCATTTTTCGTTAAGATGCCGGCTGTTGCAAAACTTTAGTTAGTTTTTTTTTGCATTGTAATTAGTTAGGACTCCTCAGTTTAGTAGTTTATTTTTTATTTAAATCTTTTTATTTCATAGCAACCTTTCTTTGTTTTTTCTCTCTACACTGTAGAATAATAAATTCACAGTTTTTAGTTAAACCTTTAACATCTTGTTTTTTGTTTATTGTTTTGTTTATTGTTACTTCCCTTCTCCCCTAGCAAAGGGAATGTAACAGTGTCCTCTGTTTTTGACCCATCTTTCAGTGTCTCTGGGTTAAACCATAAACTGTATAAAGAAGTGGACCAAGCATGACGTCACCCATAGTGTTTGCTCCAGCTATATAAAGTCAATAGAGGCTCGCAGTTGAAGAGCTGAATATGGAGCCCATATTTGGAATTCCGACCACGGGTATAGCAACCAAAGAGCCAATCCGGAGCAAGGCTGCTGAAGGTAACGACCCTGTCCCGCTGCTCATTTCCTTTTGATACTTGTTGATGTCATCAACATTCCCTGGGGTGTGATGCTAACTGTAGGCTCTGCTCTGTCTGAAGCTCTGTAATTCCAGTTATGGAACTTACCTGGAAAACTATGGAATTACACAAATATAAGGGCACATGATATTATAAAAGATAATACTACATTTTAATGTTGAAAATCACATTCTATTGTCTAAATAAAGAGCATATGGCATCAGAATCAGTATGAAGGTTGTTCCTTAATTGAAATTGAGTTTGACATTTTAGTACTGTGACACAAGAGTTAGCAGCCCGCAGATCACAGTTTGAGAAATATTGTTATAAATGCCACTTATAATTCTCGTCTTTGTTTTGGTCTGAGGGTCTTTCTCTCTCTAAACTGTAGCTTTAAGGACAAATGGGTCACACACTGCACAGTGCTGACCTCCTAACCACGAGTATTTATAAACTCATATCTGGGAGTTTCCATGTTGCATAATGAACTAAGAAAACCACTGCATTAGATACGGCCAAGGTGTGTTAGTAAATGACTATTCCAGTTCTATTTTTAATTTGCTTGTGAATCGCTTTACACTAGTTTCTTAGATGACTTGTTACATAGTTTATATTTAGTTATTACTGTGTCTGAATTACTCAGACTGAATAAAGAAAAGACATAAATCCATTTAAGGGTGGCCAATAAAGACACATGAACAAATAAACATCTAAATATAAGAAATTTTAACTGGAAATTTAACTATAATTGCAAAATTATCGTAATTTCTTGGTTTAATTAGTTGTAGATATGCAAGAGCTATCACAGTCACATCTAAATAGCAATTTGTCACAATTAGCAAACCTTAAAAAGGAAGTATTTTAGGGGTATTAAGTGCTAACACATAACATATTGAAACAACCATAAAACACTCTAAAAACACCTCCAGATATGTTTTGGATGAGAAACTATCATTGACAGTATCTAACAGTAGCTAGCAATAGACATGGATTAGTGCTGGACAATTTTTGAAAAATATTTCATTGAGATTTTCTGATAAACACTGAGATTAGATTTGTGAGATGATTCTGCTGAAACTTCACATGTCCAGAAGAATTGACAAAAAGACTGAAATATGAAAAGACAAATTAACACTAAACTCACATTTCAGTTTGTACAGATCTTAAGTATGGGGTTAGCAGCTTTTACCTGGTCCCTGAAGGGTTAACCAGGTTTTGTATTCACCCTGTGCGTCTGTGTGTGTGTGTGTCTGTCCACTCACGATAATCCTGCCATTTATGGACCAATTGTCACCAAATTTGGTATGTGGGTCAAGCCCCCGAGTAAAAAAAGTTTTATAATGTTCCGAGGTCATTTGAGGTCACATGGGTAAATTTCGGAATTTCAATTTCTGAATTATCTGCAGGCTAAAATATTCACCCAATCATCACACAAGTTGGCACACACATAACCGAGGTATGGGCTGGAGTCCTAATAAGATGGCTTCCGTGGTAATGAACTGCCCCCACCATTGTTTGCAGAGATTGTGTTTTTTGTGGAGGAAATTATGGTATTCAAAAGTGCAGTCTTTGTGATTCATTAATTCTATCCATTCAGATTTTGATCCCTTGCAGCTCTATCACAGATCATAACATTGTAGCTGACAAAAGCATAATATAACTGCTTTAAATTTTGCACAGCCTCAGTGGTCACAAGTTTATAATATAAATCCTATAACTTGTGATTTTGATCTACAACTCTGCATTCTTTTGTTTGTTTTGGGTCAGAGAATCACGGACACAATGTGAATTATGAAGTATTAAAATAACTGGTGTGAACATTAGACTCCGTGCAAGATGCTGTAAGCATCTGCGGTAACACTGAGTAAATCGAATCACACAGAGGAGGCAGTGCGTTCAAAAAGAACGAAATACATGTTTTATTTAGATCACTTACTGTTTAGTTTGACACTGCGAGAGATTCATTATCAGTTTTTATGTTGCTTCAGAGGTGGTTATCTGGACAGTGTTTTTGAAATTGATCCAGAAGCCATTTTCAATCAGATGCTGCTGGTCTGAGTTAAGATGGTCTTACACTGTGCGATTTACAGGCAGATTTTGACATATATTTTAGCCACAACAATAATAACGTAGTGTCAAATTTCAGCTCCTCTGTGCATCAATGTCGTGTTACCTCCTCACGATGAAAGCACAACAGTTGATTGTGCAGTTGCAGGAGTATCAGACATGTTTGATATCTGTGGTAGTTGTAGGGTCAGTGACACAGTGTGAGTTTGGAAATAATTTATAACGTCTTGAAATTTCCCAGTGCACAATATATCACAATAATATTGAAATCACAATTTGAGTTGACACAGTTACCAAACCTGCAAAGGCTGCACTAATTTAGATAATACAATGTCCCCTGCAAAGAACAAAATATTCTCTTTTTGTGGAAAAAAATCTGTATTTTAGAACTCTACAGAAATGTTCTAAGATGCATGGGATTCTTAGTTTATCAATTCTTATACCATGGTCAGTGAGAATTCTAATGCTAACTGCTGTTTTTATCGCACTCCGTGGAGTAACACCACTCTGCTGTGTGTCAGTGCTGTTGTTTAATCCCTTCATATATCAGTCTTCTGTCAAATGTTTATGTTCTTGGTGTTCATTCTGGTGTGAACTCACTGAGGCTGGCGAGGCAATTGAGTGCGGCCGTCTGAAGTACTGCGTTATCAGGAAACGTCTCACAGGCTTGAACCACTGCTCTCTGCACTCCATGAACAACCAGGATACTGTAGTAACTCTCTGAGAAGACAAGACATCAAATCAACACCTCTGCTCCATCTGACCCTCTCTGACTGCCTCCGCCTCCCACGTAGGTTCGTCCTTCTCTCAGTTTAGCCCTAACTTTGTCATACTGTAGTCCTGGTTTAATCCTGGTTTAGTCCTGGTTTAGTCATGGTTCAGTCATGGTTCAATCATGGTTAAGACATGATTTAACTCCTGATTTAGTCTTGGTTTAGTTCTGGTTTAGTTTTGGTTTAATCCTGGGTTAGTCATGGTTTAGTCCTGGTTTAACTCCTGGTTTAGTCATGGTTGTATCTGTAGGGTCTGACCTGAGGTGAACTTGTTGAGGAGGCAGCAGCCCACTTCCTGGATGTCCTCGACTTCAGGAAACGTATCCATGGCAACAGTGACCAAACGGTAGCACCGGACACTGCCAGACATCAGGATCTCTACATTACTACCTGGACACAAATGATGTCGGAATATTTAGGTTTTTAAGTATCTGCTTGGGACATTAAAGGGCATATGACAGGTTCAACTACTCATTTCTTAGTAAATATAATTATATTTGAAATTTTATGAAAAATATTCACAAGTTGTCTCTGCACTTTGGATGGACTTTTCCATGTTGATGACACAGGGAGAGGGATTCTGCTTTAGGATATCTGCTACTTCCTGTATTGTCCAAGTTTTTGCTTTAAACTTTTTTCCACAAAATGCCAATTTACTGATGTAAAACTATGAGAAATATTTACACCTGGTATTATACCACCAAACCAAGTCACAAATAGAAAACACAAGAAAACCTGCACTTTAAACAATAACTCCTAAAGACGTCTGTCCCATTCCAGTGAATTTACTTGTGACAGGATGTTATACGTTTAGGAGAAGCATATAATTTAGAGACAATTTCATTTAAGTCACTGAAACTGACACACATTAGACAGACTTCCTGTCTTTTGTCTGAAGAAGGAAGCAGCTGTGAACAAAGAATGCATTCAAGTTTTTAATTAATCAAATTATATTTAAAATTACATCAACCTAAAGCAGATATATACATAAAGTAGAAAACAAACTGCAATTGCACATTTGTTAAAAATGTGTTAAAAAGGTTCTTTTTAACAGACCACTGTGTTGTTTACACATAAGTTGACATGTTTCGGATGCGTTCTGCATCCTTCTTCCGAAGGGTCCCATGATACTACAAGACCGACATATGATTAAGTATATATAGTAATTTGGACTGTATATATGAATTTAGATTCTCATTTAGATTGTCAGCAGTTACTGACTAAATTAAATGTAAAATGTTTAGAACTTTTACATCGAAGAGGTTCATTTCAGTCTTTCATGGCCACATTTACATTATGTTTTTTAATTCCAATTTAATTATTCAGAATTAATTAATTTGGAATAAAATTATTCTCCTTCGAGTTTACATGGAAATAATAATTCCTAATTAAAGTTGTAAACCTGGAACACGTTAAATCGGCTTTATTTAATTCTGCTCAACGTCTGGCGGTGGAGAAGTGTTCTGATTGGACAGGGACACGAATGTGTTTACGTCGACCGGAACAAAACACACACTTGAGCTGCTACCGGCTTTTTTGCCATCTCGGTTTGTTGTTACGGGTGGGGATGCGTACCGCTGTTCCCCAGTTTGTATGGACGGGGAAACAGTCCGAACCCAGACTTCTGAACCAGCGGGAGCAGCTCTGGTTCAGGTCAAGCCCCAATGAGCTGGACCGGGGATTGGTGTTAGGTGCCTCAGCCTGAGAAGCACTTTCCCCAGAGAAGAACTAAGAGCACGGAGGATGGACTGCTCAGAACAAGATATATAATGAACTAAACAGGATTCGCACTTCTGTTCAGATGTTTTGCCCTACCTCGGAACCAGCCCTGGAGCACGGAGGACAGGAGCAGCCTGCCCGTACCTGTAGTCCACAGTGCATTCTCACTTTTGCCGCACGGATCCACTGGTCTTGCTCGCCCCAGTCTGGACCCAGCACATGGAGGAAGGAGCCTATGGACCTGTCTGACCAACCTGCTCGGAGAACGGCAAAAGACCAAGGAGGAGCTGCGCTCTGTGGTGAGTGCTATCGTGTATTTCCCACTGTTACGCTGACTCGGAGCTTCTGCTCCGGGCTGATGCGCGGTGAGTTGTGTACAGACCTAGGCCACATGCTGCTGTTTTAGGAGTTCATGATGATAACTTGGGAAGAGGACAGCTCACGGTGCTAACTGGGAACCTTGGTACCTTTCGCAATTACATAAACACCGGGAAACAGAGATTCGGGGATGCAAACATGATGCAAACTTTTTCCACCATATTGCATATAGTGAATAATTGCATCAGAAGGGTGATCCAACGCATATGCACTGAAAGACCGGAATTATTTTTTAAGAGGAATAAACATTTACATGATCGCGGAATAAATTAATTCCGCTTTAAAACTGGAATAAACCACCCACTTAATTTGGATTTAAGTTTAATTCCAAATAAGTTTAATTCCGAATAATCATTAGGAATTAAGTGTTTACATGGTCTTTTTAAAGCAGAATTAATTTATATTCGGAATTAAATTATTTTTTTTCTGAATTAAAACTCTCATGTAAACGGGGCAAATATTATTTCCAAACAAAAGGTCTGTTAAAACTGTCTTTTTAACAGACCAGTGTGTGTTGTTTACACATAAGTTGACATGTTTCCCTTCTTCATAAGGGTCACGTGATGTGTCTTAAAGAGGCTACTGAGACAAGCCCACAGGGCAGTAAACAGGGACGAGGGGGCCTATCAACTATCAAGGACCTGGGAAGCTGATGGCACTATTCCCCCACCAATGAAGATACAAGAATGGTGCCAAAATCAGTGTAAATTCAAGACTCTTCATACTAACATCACATGACCTGTTTGAAGAAGGGAAACAAGTCAAGGTTTGTGTAAACAACACACTGGTCTGTTAAAAATAATCTTTGTTTGGAAATAATTTTGAATGACCAAAAACTCTTTGAAGTAAAAAACATCTAGACATTTTACATTGTATTTTGTTAGTAAAAGCTGGGTTCATGGTGAGAATCTAAACTCTATGAATCCAAAACAATAGTTGTTTTGGATTAGTAGAGTTTAGATTCTCAGCTTGTGTATGTATTCTTAGCAGTGGCGGACCGTGCATTTCACACCTAGTAGTGTTACATCTGAAACACTCCACTCCTCAATAATTATTTTATGGTTATAAAAGCATCTTATTATACAGAGACACAGTATAAAGAGCTGTTGCATCACAGATAGATAACTCCTCTAGCCACAATCAGGGGTGTAATGAGTGTGGTACGTGGGCATACGCTGTTCACCCACTTCTCCCGACGTGAGATATTAAAAAATAACAAATATAAAATAACCTACAACTTAAATGTCAAACCAGAGCTATTGACAATGGTGAAAATAACCTGCATAGGCTAACTAGGACTAAACCAGGACTAAAACAGGAATAAACCAGGTCTAAACCAGGTCTTAACCAGAACTAAACCAGAACTATGTTTCAGGATGGGTCTGGAGGTGCACCCATGTAGACTGTTGGGTGACCGCTCTCTCTCTCTCTCTCTCTCTCTCTCTCTACCTCTCTCTCTCTCTATCTCTCAAGTCCAAGATGAGTCCTGGTTTAGTCCCGAATTAGACCTGGTTTAGTCCTGGTTTAGACTTGGTTTAATCCTGGTTTAGACCTGTGTTTAGTCCTGGTTTAGACCTGGTTTAGTCCTGGTTCAGTCCTGGTTTATTCCTCATGAATCGTGTACCCCCACTTAAAAAATCCCCACTACACCACTGGTAATTAATAAGAGTAATATGTAGTAATAATAATTTGCATAGCCCGCTACAGATGCAGGTTGCTGCCTTGGCTGGTGCGCTCTCTGACTGTCCAATCAATGGGTCTGAATATGGTAACTTTGCCATATGCCTGTTAGAAGGCCCTGGTGACACCAACTCAAAATCTGATTGGCTGAAGCAACAGTTTCATCAACATTTATTTTGTGTCCGAGGGCCTGCAGAACAGATTGTGAAGGCCTCAGGACACTTCTTTGACTCTGACCCTGCCTAGCAACAAATGATGGCTGAAATGTGATTGGTTAAATGCTTTAATAAGCAAATATATGATTCTCAGTATGTGTGTTATACTATATAGTGTATCCCTTGTACAATGTTAGACAAGGGGCAAAGCTGAGGCTTCTGCTTCTTCCTGTTCAGACTTTATATAAATGATTTGTCTTACACTAGCCTCTGTGAACTATCTGAATAAAATGAACTGAACTGATGAAGCACTTACTGAGCTGTGCCAGTAGGAGGAGCACTCTGAGTCCATGCAGCAGTAGCTCTGGGCTGTCATTAAACTTGTACAGAGACGAGATGACCGAGATGTGATCCTGTCTCTCCACAAACTCCAGTAACACGTCCTCTCTGTCTGAAAAAATAATACATTCATTATACTTTAACTGTAGTCTAATGTAGTTTCGTCCTCAAAACAATAGAGAAAGCTCTATCTCCTGTGCCGCTTCTCTCTGTGCAGAAACCCCCAGAAACCACTGCTTTCCTTTCCTCAGCCTTGTGTCTCTCATTTTGTTCAGAGAAAACTGATTTATCATCAGTAATAGCCTTACACTTTTAATGTGTTTTACGAGCTTGTTGAAGCCTCTCACAACCATTGTAGCTACAGCTGGCTGTGTAACTAGACATTTATTTAGCTTGTTAATGAGAACTTTCCTTTGTGGAGGTGGTCAGTCAAACTGAAGGAATCACTAAAGTCTATGGTCCTTCGCCTCTATAGGATGCTATATGTGCCTCTAAATGAAAACCCATTCAGTAAACAGCAGTGGTCTTGTACCTGTGTCCAGCAAAGAGGACAGAGCACAGCAGCCCTGCACCTGTACTTCCTCACTCTCTTTAAACATCTTCATAGCGGTCATCACAAGGTCAAACACATCCTCCTCCTCTTCCAGGACTAGCAAACGCATCACCTCTGAAACATGTGAAAAACACAAAGCAGTACCGTGTGAGAGAAGACTGAAATAGGGCTGTTGATTTTTCTGGAAAACACAGTGCTGTGTTGTAATTAGGCCCAAGAGCCAATTGGGTGTAGGGCCTACTGCTTTTGCTAAAATGAGAGCATAGGCCACAGTGAGCGCATGGGCGAATGCGAGAAGACATAGTGCAGCTTTGTCCTCCTGGGCACCCCTGGCATAAACAGCAGTATCCCAGTAACCCACGCCCAAGACCTGGGCCATATTCATTGCTGCTAAAATGAATGAAAGTCAGTGGGAAATCAGAGGGTAACCCCGACGAGATGGTGTGGATGCACCTGTCATTGTGGGAAAGGTTGAGAACTTTCAAAAAACATATAATATGCTGTGCCCATGTTAACAGATATATATTGTTTTTGCTAAAAATATTATTACTTTATTATTAGGGCCTATTGCTTTTGCAATAGTGTCTCTCTTGCAGCGTATTTTACAGCTGACCTGTATGTCATTAGTAGAATACACTGAACACTGTGTCTCATCAATAACCATTATTAAAGGTTTTAACCATCACACAAACCGCTTTAGAAGAAGACGACAGTATGAAATTAACTGATGTGGGTAGAACATTAGATTTGTTTATAAAGGTTTTTTTTGAGATGCACTATGTAACTTTTCTGACAGGAGATCTGCCACTGCTTGTCTCCATGGTTTTGTATGACATATTCCAATATATGGCATTAAACTATCAATAAATTTCAATTACAGGTGTTTATAGTGCTAAAAAACATACATCCTTACTGTGAGAGGGATTGCCTCTTCACAGATTTGAGCAGCAATGTGTAAAGCAAGTAACATCTCCATGGAGACAAGAAGGATACATCATACCCTCCCCCTGAAAAGTTAATAGTGGACTGTTAATGAGTTGTACCTGATCTGAGCAGCAGAGCCAGAGCCCGCAGAGTGACCATGGTCACTTTTGCGTCTGCAGCATACTGAGAGAGGACCTTTAAAATGTGCCTGAAATACACCAGAAAATATAAAATATTAAAGGGCCTGTACCTCATTTTTTCATGTAATAAAGAAAAATGTGTCTTTCTCCAGTACAGACAGATCAGGGCCTCCAGATAGCATCAAACCCCGAGGGAATATTGATGACATCAGCTGCAAAGTGTCAGCCATGTTTAGTGTACTCACTGGTGCACCCCCAGCACCTCCCAGTCCCTTGCAGCCTGCAGAGGAGCCGTGAGCTCGGACAAAGTTCTGGGGCGGATTTCAATCAGACGAGACAACAGTGACCACCCCAACTGAAACAAAACAGACACAATGTATTCTCATTACAGATAAGATAGAAAAATTACTGCAACTAGAGATGCACTATTTTTCTGACAAGTACTGCATTTACAATTAGATTAAGCAAATTATATAAATAAATTACTGAATGAATGAAATGAATTTTATAAAGTAAAAGCAGGATTCAAATGAGTGCACACTGGCTGCATCTAACTATAAAGCATTTTATCACAAACCAGGAAATAAAGATAAAAAAAAAGAAAATGTGGTTCTCAGTTTTAATACAGCATATATAAGGAAGAATGAACGATACTCAGCCCTAGTACAACATGTCACAGTATTTGAGACAAGAGGATGATCCAGTTTAGAGACTTCATAAGACCTTCTAAAACTGTTGTGTTCCTTCGTCAGTCAAATAAAGACTTTTTTTTTTTCTATTTCTCCAAACTAGTAACTGTAAACAAATTAGAAGGCCAGATGGAGCAGAGGATGAAGAGGAGAAGCAGAGAAGCAGGGGAGAGGGGTAAACGGAGCAGAGGATGGAGTAGAGGAGAGAGTCAGAGGAGCAGAGGAGAGGGTCAGAGGAGCAGAGGAGAGAGTCAGAGGAGCAGAGGAGAGGGTCAGATGGAGCAGAGGAGGTTGTATAAGTCATAAACGTGTTATTATTGCTGAGCTTATGACTTTTTAATGTGTCACGGAGATTGAATCACGAGACACAGTGAACATGACTGAACATGTGAAAATGTCTACAGAGAGAGAGAGAGAGAGAGAGAAACAGAGGAGAAGGTGGGGTTGAAAAGAAATTGAGAATAGAGATCTATAAATAGAGGGAGAGAGGAGAGCATTTTTTGACATAAAGAAAATAAAAACATATTTCCATCAGTGAACAAAGTTGAATGATGATACATCTCTTTTTCTGAAAACTCCCACTCTCACAAGTCTAGAGAGGACTAAACCAGGGCTAAACCACCAATAAACCAGGATGGATTGGAACCAGGACTATACCCGGTCTAAAATCTGGTACCTGCTGCACTGTTTTACTGCTGATGTTGGATGAAACCACAATCATCAGAGGACCATGGACATCTAACTCTGCAAACAGCTCCGCTGCTACAAGACAAATATGAAAATTATTAATACAAGCACTGAAAAACTTTAAAAAATAGGACTAAACCAGGACTAAACCAAGACTAAGGAAGGTGTTGTTTCCTCTTCATGAATATTCAGAAGGTGTCAGTCTGTGTTAGTGTACGATGAATGACTGAGGTAAAAACACATTTGCTGAATCACCATCATGTGAGGTTTAGGTGAAGTTATCTCATAATTTACTGTTTGGGGTCAAAGGGTCTGACTAATAAAGTTAGTTTCATTCTGTTCTTTTAAAACACAGACTGACGTAAACATAAGTACAGGGCTGTGTTTGGCCTATAGCAAACCAATGTGAGAATGCCACTGCAGCTGGACTCAACAATCACATGTTATATTCACATGGGAATAGAGATATGGTACAGCTCCCTTCTGCAGACTTATAATGCATGTTTGAAAAAGAATGTCCTTATTCTGTGTAAAAGCTGCTAACCCTGTAGTTTAGACCTCTACAAACATGTTCTGAAATGTCCCTGTGTATCAGATGTTTTTCCCATGTCTCTCCATGGGGTCTTATTCTGTGTAAAAGCTGCTAACCTTGATTTTCAGACCTCCACAAACATGTTCTGAAAAGCTGCTTCTTGTGTTATAGTTTGAAGTGGGGATTTCCAACTTCAATGTTAATGTTCCTGTTTATACTGTTTAAACCAAATCTTGATTTTAAAAGTCTATCACAGTTGCAATTTTGTCAGGAAAAAGAAAACTACTAAATATTTTTGCAGAATTTTACTGAATTCCCCTGTAAAAGACACTCTGAAATTTTCAATTGTATTTTTCTGGTTAAAAATAAAAAAACACACTATAACTTTTTCTACATCCTCTTTTAGACTTGTATTGGTTTCAGATGGTGTTTCTTTTTATTGTTTTTCTCACCACAACATTTTAAGTGTATTTCTTGAGTATTCATTCCACAAATTAGATTCTTTAGTGCAGTCATATGACAAAACACACTTTTAATTAACTTCACTTGATCAAATATTTCACAGTAATAACTTTAGCAGACCAAAATGAACAAAGTTTTCCATTTTCTTTTCAACACAGTAGTTTACACAAGTTCAGCGTCACCAGGTCTATAATAGCTGAATAGTTATAATAAAACACTAATGCAAAGTTATCTAATAAATAATTTATAGCAGTTTCATTATAGGCTTAGTACTTAGTAGTTACCATTTCAGTTTAGTTTATTCTTTATTAGTCAGTGATCATAAAGCAAATTCATGAATATCACAAACCCAGATTTAACTACTGATACTTTCCCACTACAGTCCTTGGGCAGGTGAGCACACTAAAAATACAAAATCTCTTTCCAATTACATTATAAGACTAGTCACAATGTCACCATTTCAAATACATGATATGTCCTACAGTCCATACAAATATTACAGTTATTATGTACAAGTTTTTACAGTGACTACATTACAAATTAATATGACTGATGTTGACAAACTTGATCTAAAATCTAAAATGTGCTTTTTCAAATTCCAAAAAACCAAAACCAAGAAAATACAAAACTATTCAGTAAAGGTCCAATTTTGGGCTAATAATGTGATTTTTTCCCCCCTCATCAATAAATAAGTATCTGGTTTTGGCACTAGTTTTAGTATAGATTAGTATCTGGGTTTTGATCATTTTTACTTTAGAAGTGAAAGTCGAAAGACTGGGAGGAAAATTTACATTTGTGTTTATTTATTTACAACACAAATATAATGTTATGTAATAAATGAATCATACAGTTATAATACAACTGACCCATATATTAAACTGTATGTAAAGCAATTACAATGGACAAAATTGACAAAAAATCACTTACCATATTCCGTGTGCGCCAGAAAGTTGAGGTCCTGTATAATCTGAATTAACGTGGGCATCTGATCTTCATCTTTGGGAGTTTTTAATCGCACCAAAAGCTTCCTTAACTTTTCCACCAGCTCTTCTTTGTCTTTGTCAGCCATTGTCAATGTTCAGTTTTGGTTGTAAAGCGAAAAAACTATTTTGTAATGCGCATTTAAGTCAATTAATCCATGTTAGATCACACCAGACGCGTTGCAGACAGCGGCATAAATCCTCCACAAACTCTACTACAATTACAACACATGATTTCATATTAGCAAAATTGCACAACATTAAGCTATAGTATTATACAGTAAAAAGCGGAACTTATCAATTTTTGAGTAGTTTCACTTCGGGTTTGGCGAGAGGACGTAACCATCGTGTCCAAGCGCGCGTCCACTAACTTTCCCCCGTCACGTTACTCATTTTGTTCGGACTTTTGCGGTTAAAAATGCGGCGTGTTGTCCCGAAGAGGCGTGTTTCCTCTTCCCCCGTGTTCACGTCATATGACCGATCCACAGAAAAGTCCATTTGTCGAGAAGGAAACGGAGAAAGGCACACTCCAAACCAAAGCCAAGCCCCGACTGTCAGTCTATCAGGGCGGTGTTATGGTCAATTCTGGACCCCTGTTCAGATGTATGCAATTTAAAGCTTAAAACGACAAAAAGTTCGAAAATTACCATATATTTATAGACCTCTAAGACAGAAACAACAATCTAAAAATATAACCATCTAATATGCATATTGTTATTGTTTTGACACTCTTTGTTCTCGTTAAAAAAGGCGTTCTTTCTACAGATTTTTGAGTTTTCTAACTTTAAAATGACCTTTAGTCTTTAAAATGAAGACTGTACTAGGATAAATAGCAGGATTATACTTATAAGAACACAACTTTTGCGTTGTTTATAATACGTCCTGAAATGTATTAAAAGAAATGCCTTGACAGAAGTAAGTTAAATGAGGATGCAGAATTCGGCACTACATTGCAGGGACATTCCGATGCGACGCAAGGTAAACTAGCAAACCAAATGTCTAAGAAAATCGGTGTATGGTTAAAAGCTGCGCTCATTTGTAAAGGTTTCATAAAGTTTTAATGGTTATAACTGTCATATAAACTGTACAAAATGTTCAGTTGTTGAGTTGAAGGGAAGTATGGTCTGTTTATGCTAGCAATGATTTGTAGTCCGGGGCAGCCATGTTTGTAGTTCTACTGAACTTAGAGAAAAGCAGTTTAAAGCCATGAAATTAATAACTTAATAACTTTTGTCATTGTCCTTGTCTGTTTTAACCCTACTCCTTACAATTCAAGGCCATTTGTGTGTAATTGCTTTTGCTCTGACCTCTCCAAATTAAAATGATGGCCATTATTGAACCCTCTGTTGCATATACCCAAGTTTATGGTTTTGACCTATAATTTTATCCACGGGTGTCAGAATTACTGTAAATATGCCTGATAGGTATTTATACACTTTGGAACACACATAAAAATATATTTTTCTCATCCTCGCCTAATTTTTGGGGGGTGAAATTAAGGTATAGAAAGCTGCAGTAGGTAGCTGGGGACTGAAATACCCTATACTTCAATTGGAAACAATGTTGACCTCTCACATGTCAAATTTGATGAGAACATCAATAAAAATGAAAATTGTAGACTTCTTTTTATCAGGTTTGTACAATGAATGGCTCCAAAATAGACCCAGAGTAAGGAAGAAGATTAAGAAGATTTAATAAATCCAGGTAAGCCACAAAAAGCACAGTATACATCCACATACAGAGAGAATCTAGCAAATGAGTAAGGGAACACACAGACTAAAAAGGGGAGTTAATCAAACACAGGTACAGCACATTAGGACAGGGCAATAATCAAAGGTGGAAACACAAGAGGGCGGAAGTAAATCTGCAACAGAAACAAGGTAAGGGATTTCAAAATAAAAGGGAAGCAAACAGGACATGACAGTACCCCCTCCTCAGGATCCTGGGGCCTGATCTCTGTGAGTTGTAGGGTTCTAAACTGTTTCATAGCTCTTTTCAACTATAAAAAAAACATGTGAATCAAAATCATGGCATCACCTATTTTGTTATAGGTCTTTTCATTCCCAGCTAAGTTTGAGATACAGGCCATATCTGTGCAGTGGCGACCTCGCTCACAGTATGAATGTATTTCATTCATTCAGTAAGATATTTTTGAGCGGTACAAACGCAGATAATGAAGTGAATGTTTTTTTTGTCTATGAAGCATCAACAATGTAGTCCTCACATCCAGTGTGTCTAATGAGACAGGGACGGGGTCTGGAAGAGACAGGAGAGTGATGAGGGGGAAGGAGGGGCGGGATCTAGGAGGGCTCAGAAACATCTGGCTGTAATCAGGGCAGTCCTGTGTGATGTCACCACCAACTTAAATTGCAGAGGCCACTGGAGGCAGCTCATTTTTGACCATAAAGCTGCAAATTTGCCTAGTTTGCTCTAATTGTATCAAAAAGGTCTAGCAACAATATATACTATTAAAACACCACATACCCAGTTTGGTTTTGTGGCAAAGAAAAGTTGATTTAGTGTTCATTTCCACTTCAAGCCCTCCATTGGTACACAAGGTGCACTAAGCAACTTTCCTGGTACAGGGTCTATAACTTATGGCCACATAAATGGTAATGTCACATTTTTATACAGCGTTTTTCCACTGCCAAGACACTCAGACCTCATGACATCAAGGAACCATTCGCCCATTCACACACCAGTGTACACAGACACACATTAAAGAGGGACTATTGTACAAAATGGACTTTTTGGTGTTTTCTAACTTCTGCAAGGTTATTGAACAAAAGCTCTAACACCACATTATACACAATCACACAATGGAGTTCTTCTCTCAGGCAGAAAACACTCAACAGGAAGTGCTCCATTGTGTTTTTAAACTCCATAGACCTTCACTAGAATCATTTAGATCTCATCTCTACTGAATGTAAAAGGAGCTGTTGAAAACTACCACTATGTGACATCACAAGGTGGAATACAGCATTTTGAGCTTTGGAGATGTAGACAGACTCATAATTAAGAATTACTCAAACAACTCAACAAAACACAACTCCAGGTATATTTCTGTGGAGAAAACATTCTTATTAATATTCACCATGATGAGTGTGTAATGGAAGTATTTTGCAGAGATTTTTGGAACAATTTAAGGATGAAAAAAAAAAATATATATATATATATATTTATAAAATAAAATTTAAAAATCACCCACAACCCCCCGATACTTTAAAAAGTCCAAATAACCTTATACCTTAAGTCCTATTGATAACTTTCAGAAACCAGAGTGGAATTTTGCCATGACCCTAAAGCAAAGGAGAAATTCAGCTCTGTCAACTGGACAAACGTTTTTTGATCTTCAGAACTGAAGAAGCAGCTTGGATGAGCTGCGAAATGTTTCGATCAAAAAACTTTTATCCTGTTGACAGAATTGAATTCCTCCTTTGCGATGGATCCTTTGATTGAACGATTACACAAACATCATGACCCTATGCTGAATAACACACCCTCCAGGATTCTCTGGTGCACACAGTACACAGTGAACTTATTTTGACCTCAAGAGCTGGAGTATCTGGAGTAAGACACATTTTGCTCAAATACAAAAGGAACGATTAAAGGTCCTATATAACACAAAACGGACTCCTGTGAGCTTTTAGTCATGAACCTCCTCAAAAACATACCTGTTGTTGTGTGAGAGTTGTGTTCTGTTTCATTCAATCTAACTTTATTAGTCTGTTCACATCTCCAAAGCTCAAAATGCTCAGTTCCACCTTGTGATGTCATGAAGATGTAGTTTCCAAGTTAACAGCTCCTTTTACCTTTAATTCAGTACACAGATCTGACCTGTATCTTGGCATTGTACTGTTTTCTTCTCTTTGAGTTAGAAAATGTTAATGCCATATTGTTTTCACCTGCAAAAATCTGATACTGCTCTTTTAACATGAACAGAAAATTCTATCAGGTGTGATGTTACAATCTGGAGCTTTACTGGAAATGTACAAAAATGATTAAACCGTAGTCCTGATTGCATACCACCGGATGGCAGCACTCTCCCCTCCCTCTCCTCTCCTCTTTCAGGTCATATTGCTCTCTCCCTTCTCCCTCCCTCACTCCATCTGTACAGCTTCGCAGGTATGGGTCCCTCTAAGATGGTCTTGGTCTTGGTTCTGGTCCCTCTCTGGCCCCGGGTCTGTAGCGCCCCCTGGACCGGCCTCTGCCCCGACATGTGCAGGTGTGATACTAAAGACGAGAAGGATCTAACCGTGAACTGTGTGGAGAGAGGGCTCAGCAAGGTGCCTGCTAATCTGAGCCAGTTTACCACTATTCTGTGAGTACTAAACCAGGATTAAACCAGGACTAAACCAGAATTGAACTAGGACTAAACCAGGATTATACTACAACAAAATAGATACTAGAACCAGACTAATTTAGGACTAAACTAAGATTCAACCAGGACTGAACTAGGCCTGTACTACATCTAAAATAGGACTAAAACCCGACTAACCAAGGAATACACGAGTATTGAACCAGGACTAAACCAGGACTATACTACGACTTAAATAGGACTAAAACCAGATTAATTAAGGACTAAACAAGGATTCAACTAGAACTGGACCAGGACTAAACCAGGACTATAATACATCTAAAATAGGACTAAAACCGGATTTACCCAGGACTAAACTAGGATTGATCCAGGACTAAACCAGGACTAAACCAGGACTAAACCGGGACTAAATCAGGACTAAGCCAGGACTGAATTAGGCCTACCCAGACAAAACAAGTACAAAATAAGAACTAAAATAAACCAAGGACTAAAATAGGATTCAACTAGGATTCAACCAGGACTAAATCAGGACTATAATATATCTAAAATAGGATTAACCAAAGACTAAACTCGGATTGAACCAGAACTGATCCAGGACTAAACCAGAACTAAATCAGGACTATACCAGGACTGAATTAGTCTTAACCAGACAAAACAAGTACAAAAGAAGGACTAAAATAGGACTAAAACCTGACTAATTAAGGACTAAACTAGGATTCAACCAGGACTGAACCAGGACTATACTACGTCTAAAATAGGACTAAAACCGGATTAACCAAGGACTAAACTAGGATTCAATCAGGGCTAAACCAGGTCTAAAATAGGACTAAACACGTATTAACCAAGGACTAAAATAGGACTGAACCAGGACTGAACCAGGACTAAATTAGGACTAAACCAGGACTGAACTAGGCCTACTCAGACGAAAAAAGTACAAAATATAGACTAAACCAGGACTAAACTAGAAATAAATCAGGACAAAAAAAGGACTAAACCTGAACTGGACCAGAACAAGACCAGGAAAACAGGACAAAACCAGGTCTGAACTAGGTTTAAACCAGGACAGAGTCAGGTACCAGCAAATCCGAGAAAGGACTGAACTAGAACTAAAACAGGACAGCCAAATATATGTGAATTATTTATGTATGATAGTAGAACTTTCTTTGGGGCTATTCAACAGAAACCACGAGGGCCAACAAAAACGGATTTGATGGTCGCATTTGGTGCCTGAGCCGTAGTTTGGACACGACCAAACAAATGTGTAAATTAGAAGTGAACCAGGACTAAACAGGAACTGAACCAAGACTAGGCCAGATCTCGACTGGGACAAAGCCAGGAATTAAAGACAACTAGGCCAATAAGGTTCAGTTGGTCTTCTGATAATTTCTGTTATTAGCTTCTTTTTCCAGACCAAGAGTTTGTTCTCGTATCATTCGGTATCGTCTCGTAGGTAAGAAAACAAAAACACGCTTGGTCTGAAAAAAATAACCTAATTACATAAGACAAAGTAGGCCTGAACAATTTGGGAAAAATGTGTAATTGCAATTTTTCAGTAGATTTGTGATTTCTGTTTTAATAGAATTTTGCTCAAAGTTCACATTTTAAACATGTCCAGGAGCATTGACAAAAAACTGAAACATGAACTGACAAACTAATAATAATACAAGAATCAATTTGCAGTTTTTATGCACAATAAGACAGGAAATTTAAATGATGGTACTTAAAAAATAGCAGTCTTTGTAATTTGTTAATTTAGTGAATTCAAATTACAATTTAAATTTAATTGCCATTCATCTTGGAGCTCTAACAAAAAAAAAGAAAAAAGTTTTTGTTTTGTCACTGTTTAATTTTGTTAAATCAAATATCTTTCGTACATCACCCTAATAAAGTATTCTTAGAGTTGCACTATGTAAGTTTTCTGGTTGAGGGTCCGCCATTGGTTTGTCTCCATAGAGATTTTATTGTTTCACCGGAAATTTTCACAGTTAGGCATTAAACTGATGTATCATGCCTTTATTCAGCTGCATATGTTTTAATGCCTGATAAACATGAATTCTCACTGCGAGCGGGGTCACCTCTCCACAGATATGACCTGTATTTTGGCCTGGTGACATGATATTCTCGTCTCCATATGTATAGTTAAGGTAATGCCTCATGAAACACTTTGTATTTTATATGTGTATGTTTAAGTATGTTTATGATGAGGAAACTGCATTATAACATAGATCAGAGAATAGCGTAATATGGCCCTTAAACTGTTTGTCATTGGCCCTGGCAAAGCAAACTCAGGAGCTTATTTTCTTTCGGTTTTGCAAATGGAGGTAAAATAAATAAATAAAACAAAACAAAATCTCTAATTAAAATCCAACTTTCTTTACCTTTTAAAACCCAAGTACGCATACGTTTCACTTTTCGTCATCCCTCCCTTTAATATGGAAGCGCTTTGTAGAAATTGTTCCCAAATGTTTTTTTACAATGTCGAAATTAAAATGTTTTTGTGTGTGGGGTAAACAGCGTCGCTCTTTGTTGTGGCCCTTTTCTGTTAAATGCTTCAGTAATTGGAATTTGATGGTTTTTAATTGTATTTTATGAGTTTTTGATTTCGTGTTTTCATTGCAGAGATTTGAGCATGAACGTGGTGAAGGAGCTGCCGGAGCGCGCTTTCGGTCAGATGTGTTCACTGCGAGAACTGTGAGTAAAAATGTGAAAAAGAATGGTGAAATTGTGTAGTTTTATTACAAAAATTTATCTTCCAATGAACCATAAGATAAAGCATGAAAATTCTTATGAGTAGTAGCAGTTTTGTATCTCACAGTGAGATCTAAATGTCCCTGTGGCTCATATACAAATCTGTGTTTTTATTTAATGGTGCAAATAAATGTTGCCTTTCTGTATTTATGAAGTGTAGTCAGTGAAGGAAAGAAAACTTTGAAAATGTATGTAACATTCTGATACCGAGTTCTGAGTAATACTTGGAATACTTTTACACTGAGTTGCATTATATTATAGTAAAAACACAACATAGGATTAAAACAGCTTTATATTTGTTATGCATTTCTGTCTCTAATTAAAAATGGAAATAATACATATGCTTCACAACAAGAGCAGTGTTTTCTATTTTTATTGTTCTCACTATTAGTATGCAGTTTGAAGCCTTTGATTTTAGAAATATAACTGTATTCTGAGTACCACCAAATGAAAGAGTAACTGTACCAGAATACATGCACTCAAAACTGGTTCATGTATTTATTATATGTAGTTATTTTCCAAAACTGAGTATAATGCTAAAAAATGCATAGTCACAGCAAAATGAAAAGCACACTTGACTTGATGATTTGGGTTTAGATAGATAAATAATCTGATTAATAAACATATAATGTAAGCATTTAATTATTTTATGTTGATAACTAAAACATTTAACATGATATTTTTAAAAATATATTAATTGAACTTAGGGCCTATACAATTATCGGTGGTGCAAAAAACAAAACAAAAAAACACAACACTTAAGTGAACAAAATAAGTACAACATTTTAACCTGTGAGACAGATCATTTTAAAAAAGAAACACACTTTGAAACAGGTCAGGAAAAAATTAAAAACAAACTACTTGATTTTCTTTAGTCAGCTCATTTTAAACTCATGTGCTCATCTTTACAGTGAAACCTCTCGTACGTTTGGGTCATTTCTGTTCTGTGGTTTTCTTGTGATTTTCTTGTCTTATCTCGTAATCATAAATGATTACAGTTTTATTGTTGTTGCATTTTTTGACAGTTAAAATATGTTTTTTCAGTATTTTTTAAATGATTTAATTATAGTTTGTGTGTGTGTGTGTGTGTGTTTGTCTTGTCTGTTCAGGCGTTTGGCAGGAAACCGTCTGCAGCAGATCCACTCTGAGGCCTTCTCTGGACTCCACACACTCACTACACTGTACGCACTTTGCACTTATCTCAAACCAACCAGAGCTACACAAAACCTTTTTAATGTTCACCCTAGATATTACTAATATATTATATCAGTCTTTTTCCTTTAAAGCCTCACTGTGTAACTCTTTTGCCAAAAAATAGACTAGAATAAAAACAAGAGTTTTATTTTCGTTTTGGATGTTTTTATTAAACTAAATGTATAAAATGCTTCATATTATTACTGTGAGCAAGCTCGTACCTCAGCCTCCTCCTGCTTGTTTCCATGGTTTCCAAATGTTGTTCCTTTGGTTATAATCTTCCACAGTATGGCATAAACCTAACTCACTTTCAGTGGAGGATGTTTCGAGTAGTAGTAGGTGATGTGCAATGTCCAGAAAGTTATTTTAATTATTTTATGTAGCTCCAAAAAAAAAAAAAAAAAGTAGATTTTCAGTTTATCTATTTAAAGTATGTACATTTGTTGAACATAAAATATGCAAATGGTGAAGAAGGTGACATAATATTTAGAGTCAGCATTTTTTTGGGGGTGGTAACTTTTCAATAGGAATCACTCTTAGTAAAGCCAAAATAATTGCCAATTTTTTAAATGTTATTATTTTATGTTGATGTATAAATACTTTAGACTTTGAGATAGGATAGTCTATATTAAAATATATAGCCCAGGCTGAATAAGAGGTGAAAATATTTTTTATTTCAGACAGTTATGGAAAAATCTCTGCAGATTGTGGAGAGATTAAGTTTAAACATGTCCCTGAAGTAATTATTGGCTGGAAATCCAGGAGGATATCTCTCTGTATTTGTTATACAGATCTATATCAGCTGCTGGTTCAGCGATGGGTCTGGATTTTTCCAGGCAAGTGTAATTAGACTTTCACCAGTGTTTTTTTTTTCCACAAGAGAAATGATGTGATGCCAGTCGCTCAGTAACATTAAACACAATACAGCCACAAGCTTCATCACAATTAAGTGAAATTTCAGTGGTGGCAATTTAGCACCATTATAGTGTCCAATGGAAAGTACATAAGGTACTACGCTCCCATGTTTGTTTTTTCCTTTAATAATAAAGACACTAAACAAAACAAGACAAATAGTAACATATACAGTAAGTATATAAATATATATAGTATATATTTATGGTGTACTTTAAAGTGTATTTCCTCCTCAGGACTCTCCATGACACTGGACTGAAAACAGTTCCCTCTGAAGCTCTGAATGAACTGAAGAATCTGCAGTCTCTGTGAGTCTGTGCTTGTGTCCTACACTTGTGTTCACTTCACCCGCTTTGCCTTGTCTGAATGTGATGTGTGCGTGTTGCTTGTGGGAGAGGTTGGTGGGGAAAACAATAGCATGTCCTGGGTCTTTCTTGGGACTCCCTGGAGCAGACCTGGGCATTGTACAACTCTAGGGCCACATACGACTCTTTGGTTGACTCTGACCAGCCCCTTTAAGATCATTTGGAATTACAAAATAAACATATTTTATCATTTGACCTCATGCATGGACTGAAGCTGCATTGCTTTTATTTTAGAGGTGTTTTTTGTAAGGCAGCCTCACTTTTTCATTGTTTAGTCATAACATTTGCTCTTAAAAACAATGCTATTTACGGCTTTTTAAAAAATATATTTATATAAAGAAATACAGTTCATATTATGCAGAATTGAGTTAAGAATTTTGGTCTGGCCCTCCACAAGAGTTTCTGTTTTTCATGTGGCCCCATGGAAAAAAATAATTCATCACCCCTGCCCGAGAGGGACTTTGTCTCTGGGCTGGGTTGGGAATGCATTGGGGTCCCACTGGAGGAGCTGAAGGAAGTGTCTGGGGTGATGGAAGTCTGGGAGTCCCTATTTAGACTGCTACCCCTGTGACCCACCCGGCCCCGAATAAGAGGATGAAAATGAGTCTACTAGTCTACTAGAACTGATTTGTCCTGGTTTAGTTCTGGTTTAGTTCTATTTTAGTCCTGGTTTAGTCCTCGTTCAGTTTTGGCTCGGTTCTGGTTTAATCCTGGTTTGGATCTGATTTAGTTCTGGCTTAGATCTGATTTAGTCCTGGTTTAGTCTTGTTTTAGTTCTGGTTTAGTCCTGTTTAGTCCTGGTTCAGTTTTGGCTCAGTTCTGGTTTAGTCCTGGTTTAGTACTGTTTAAGTCCTGGTTCAATCTTGGTTTAGTCCTGGTTTAGATCTGATTTAGTCCTGGCTTAGGTGTGGTTTAGTCCTGATTCAGTCTTGGTTCAGTTCTGGTCCAGTTCTGGTTTAGCACTGTTTTAGACCTCTTTTAGTCCTGGTTCAGTCTTGGTTCAGTTCTGGTTCAGTTCTGATTTAGTCGTGGTTTGGTCCTGGTTTAGATCTGATCTAATCTTGGCTTTGATCTAGTTTAGTCTTGGTTTAGTCCTGTTTTAGTCCCACTTTAGTCCTGGTTCTGTCTTGGTTCAGTTCTGGTTTAGTCCCACTTTAGTCCTGGTTCTGTCTTGGTTCAGTTCTGGTTCAGTTCTGGTTTAGTCCTGGTTAAGTCCTGGTTCAGTTCTGGTTCAGTTCTAGTTCAGTTCTGGTTTAGTCCTGGTTAAGTCCTGTTTTAGTCTTGGTTCAGTTCTGGTTTAGCCCTGGTTAAGTCCTGGTTTAGTCCTGGTAATTGTTTAGATCCGTTTTAGTTCTAGTTATGGTTCATATCCTGGTTGATTTGGTATTTTTTGTTAAAAAAGGCAGATTAAACTTACGACAGTCTGTCTCTATATAAATAAAATAGATTTCATAGTCTCCTTTTCTGCATAAATAGTTTTTGCATGAACTTGCAGATGTAGATATGTAATAGTTTTGGGAGCTTTTGCCGCGCCCTGTCTTCTCTACTAATCATTTGACTGGACATGTCTTTAGTCCACCAATAATTTCTTTAGTTGGCCTAGTAATTAAATTAACCATAAACCAGGTCAACAAATCTAAACAACAAATTCCACCATAATTCTGACCTGTCCTCCATCTTATTGTCTCTCTTCTCAGTTGCTTAGATGCAAACCGTCTCTCCGCTGTGCCCTCGCTCTCCTTCAGGGGTCTCTCTTCTCTGCGTCTGCTGCGTCTGGAGGACAACCATCTGGAGCAGACACCGGGGGGCGCTCTGGCTCACGTGCCCAGGCTGCAAGCTCTGTCTCTGGGCATGAACCGGCTCAAGGTCTTGTCTCCACGGAGCTTCCACAGACTCACGGAGCTGCTGCTGCTGTGAGGATTTATATGAACATAAACATTAGAATGGAGTAAAGCTCCAGTGTGGAACTTTTCTGGAGGAGCAGTCCATACTTGCTGGTCCATGAGGGGGTTTATTCATATGCATAGAATGTTCCACAGAAGTACATGTATCCTCTATCTATCATCTTAAAGTGTGTATGACAGGTTTGGGCGATTCTCTTATTTTTACTTAATGTGGTGAGATCAAACCTGTTGTAAATATAAATTATAGTTTAACACTAATCAAGAAGCAATTTACAAAATAAAAAAAAAAAAGTTGGAAAATATGTTGAAAATTACTGTATGTTGAGCGTTTTATTTTAGAGTGGTCCATTTTTATAACATCACACTGGGAGAATTCTGTCCAAAAGTTTGACACAATTTACACACAAGAAGCTAATTTTTTCCAATATTTTAAACTAAACAAAGTTGTTTTCTATATTTTTATTTGTCAAATAATAATCTCTGTGTACATTAGAGGAGTTTTGGCCAACTGTACAATATGGTTGCTAGGTAACCGTTATGGAAATCCCTAGTATGATGCCACAATTTCCTAGCCCGATTCATCAGCCAGTTTCACTTTGTGGAAACCGTCTGACCTCGTAGTATTAGGATTCATTCGTTCAACGGTAGGCGGGTACTTTTTTTATTTAACCAATCGCTGCTGTTTGGTCGTGACTTATGTAATGCACCAAATCCTGTAGAAAGAAGGGCAATAACATCTTTCCCCTTGATAAAATTCACCAAACATTCTCTTTAAATCCTCGATCTTGAGAATCGTTGCCAACACAGAAAGTATGTGTTCATCTACATCCATCTCGACCCCTTTGTTTACTGTTGTGTTGTACCACAAAAGGGACCCAGACAGACACTTGAGTTTGATGTCATAGCCTCACAGCTCTTCACTGATTGACCGGTGCGCAGTCTACAACTTCAGGTTTTTTTTTGCAAACTGTCTAGTGTATTCCAATTTCTGACCTAGTCACTGGAGAAAAATGAAATTGAGTGGAGGCAGTACGTGATGCCAGCCAGACTAACGATTTCTAAACAGGAAGTAAAATTTGAAACTTAAAATATTGCCAAACTGGGAAAAGAATTATAAAATTTTTAGCTAATTCTTAAATATAATGATCTCAAGCGTGTTTTAGTAAAATCCAACCTGTCATAGGCACAAGCTGCTGACCCAACCAGGCCAAGTAACTGGTTACAACTTTTGTTCACAAACTGCTTCTTGATTTATTGTAAACCTAAAACAACAGGTTTTATTCCACCAAATTAAGTAAAAAAAAAAAATATTATAAATAAAAATTATAAAACCTGTCAAATGTACTTTAATTTCCAATCTGAATGACAATATCTTGTATATATGTTTTTCAGACAACTCCAGCACAATCAGATCCACTCACTCAGTCCCACCTGCTTCTATGGACTTCACCAACTGCAGACACTGTAAGTCTTTAGTCCTAGTTTAGGCGTGGTTTAGACCTGGTTTAGACCTGGTTTAAATCTAGTTCAGTCTTGGTTCAGTCCTAGTTTAGTCCTGGTTTAGGCCTGATTCAGACCAGGTTCGGTCCTGCTTTAGTCTAGGGTTAGACATGGTTTAGTCCTGGTTTCGTCGTGGTTCTGTCTTGTTCTAGTCCTGGTTTAGTCCCAGTTTAGTTCTGGTCTAGTCCTGGTTTAATTCTGGTTTAGACCTGGTTTATTCCTGGTTTAGTCCTGGTTCAGTTCTGGTTTAGACCTAGTTTAGTTCTGCTGTTGTCTTGTTTAGCCCTGTTTCAGTCCTGGTTCAGTCCTGGTTTAGTCCTGGTTCAGTCATGGTTCAGTCATGGTTCAGTCAAGGTTCAATCTTGGTTTAGTCCTGGTTTAGTTCCGGTTTAGTCTCGATTTAGACCTGGTTTAGTTCTGGTTTGGACCTGTCTTAGGCCTGGTTCAATCTTGGTTTAGTCCTGGTTTAGTTCTGGTTTAGTCCTGGTTTAGTTCTGGTTTAGTTCTGGTTTAAACCTAGTTGAGTCTTATCTCTTCCGTTTAATTGTCACAGCAGAAACATTTGGTTAACAGCTTCAGTTTGTGACCAAACAAACCGCAGACAGATCCAAGTCTCAGATCCTGGTCCAGGTCCAATCCGGATCCCGGCTCTTAATCCCAAAAACCTCCTTTACACAGAAGTCTAAGAGCTGGTAATTAAACAAATGTGTTTGAGCTGTAATGCCTCCGGTGTGTAGTCTACGTCGGGCCACACAGGGAGAACCAGGACTAAACCAGGACTAAACTAGGACTAAACCGTGATGAAACTGGGTCTAAGAAAAGACTAAACCAGGATTAAACCAGGACTAAACCTAGACTAAACCTAGACTAAACCGGGATTAAACCAGGACTAAAGCAGGACTAAACCTAGACTAAACCGGGATTAAACCAGGACTAAACCTAGACTAAACCGGGATTAAACCAGGTTTAACCAGGACTAAACCAGAACTGAACCCGGACAAAGCCTTGTCTAAACCAGTACTAAACCAGGACTACACCAGAATTGAACCGGAACTGACCATACCATGACTGAACCAGGACTAAACCAGGAATAAACCAGGACTGCACAAGGACTAAACCTGGACTTGAATAGGGACAAAACAAGGACCAAACCAGGGCTGAACCAAGTCTAAACCAGGACTAAACCAGCAGTAAACTGGGACTGAACCAGGACTGAACCAGTCTTAGTCATTTTTAAATCTAATTTGACCTCTTGTACAGTACAGACATAAATAAATCAATTTGATTTTCCAGAGACTTGAGCTTTAACAGACTGCACAGCTTTCCCTCGGCGTTCCAGCTCCTGACGTCCCTCCAACGACTGTGAGAATTTGACACACATTTGAGATAATGAGACACCAAATGAACATTGAACTTTTCGATACTTCATCTTCTTTCTATTTTACAGAAATCTCCAGAACAACTGGATTAATTTTATCCCTGAAAATGCTCTGAGAGGAAATCCATCACTGAAGAAACTGTAAGGGAATCATTTGTCCATTCATAGTAGGACCACATATAGTGAGACTTCTTCTTAGTCTGGAAAAAAATGACTAAACAAAAACAAAAACAAAAATTTTATAAAGAACAAAAGATTACTTATTATTATTATGCTAACTCGCAATGTCAAATTTAGGTTTTAAAATAATGAAAAATTTAAGTTAAGTGATTTTTTAGATTAGTTTGTACCTTATATATTTTTATATACTTATTCACTAATGTATTTTCCTTCTTTCTTTTAACATTGTGTTTTGTTGTTACAAGAGACAGTCAATATATTGAAGTAACTTTTTAAAAATCACACATTTTTAAAGCCAATTTCTACTGATTCAGGAAAAGTCTGTGCTGGAATATTTTTAATAGAACAACATATTTATTTTTTATAGTGATGCAAAAAAGATGATGCTTCTAAATGTCAGAAAAATACCAGAAAATATTAATTTGATCTAACTGAAGTAGACAATAATTTATGTCCAATTATTAAAAAAAAATAAAAATAAAATCTGTATTATTTTTTTAAAAATTGAAATGTATTTATTTATTTATTTTTTATTTCAGAATTCTGCTGAACAATCCTCTTTTTGTGGTTGGACGCATTTCTAAACTGTCCAAGCTGCCGTCGCTGTGAGTCACTTTTATGGAGATTACAATCAAATCTATTCACAAAAACAAATATGTTTACTCAAGTTAATAATATTTAATTCAATCTGATTTAAATAGTTTGTAAAAGACAGCAAAAAAAAAAAAAAAAAAAAAGAATCAAGGGGAAATTTCAATTTAACGGATGAAACTACATATGAAATTTACTGGAATGTTGTAATATTTAAAGATACACATCAGCTTTTGCAATGTACATTATTTTTAGTTCACTTTTCCTGTTTTTATTTCCACAGAGGATTCTCTGAGATTTCACAGAAAAATCCAGAACCTTTCCATCAATTGTCAAACTATAACACACAGGAGTCTTGTGAGTAGAACTACATGTATCTGTTTATCTGCTCATTTATTCTGAATTACACCGACCAAACCTGAGGGCCAGCTAATCTGCATGGGGTCCATTTAAAAATATTTTTACAATTTAGAATTTTAAAGTAGTTGGATTTAGACATTTATGATTCTTGCACCGCTCTTTCAGATATTATTTTGATTGTCTAACTTTTGAGAATTATTTTATGGTTTATCCGATTACATTACTTCAAATTATAAATCAGATGTTACTTTAAATATATTTTTTTTTTATTTCTTGGGCTGCTACTTTTGTACATATTATTTCAAGTATCTCTGATTGAGGTTCAGCTTCCTGCTTGTCTCCATAGAAATGCTGGATTGTTACACAGTATGCCATTAAACATATTTATTCTGTGTTTTATTGCTAAGAAATACCTTGACAAAACATGCATTCATATGTCATTTTTGACTCTCACCTCAGCTTCCACCTTCATATCAAAAAAGTCACCCAATCCTGTTTTCTCTACCTCCACACAATTAGTAAAATCAAAACATATCCTCTCCTGCCCTGAGCTGGAAAAAGTCATCCACCGCTCATCTTCTCTCGTCTAGACTATTGCACCTCCCTTCTCTCCGGCCTCGACTCCAAATCCTTCTCCCGCCTCAGACTGGTTCAGAAGCAGCAGTTCGGCTTCTCACTGGGTTTAACATCAAGACATGACCCGGTTTTACGTCCCTTCACTCTGCCTGTATGTTTTAGAATCGAATTTCGTTTAGGACTTGCACCAAATTACATTTTAGAACTTTTAAACCAGTACGAGCCTCCCGCAGCCGCAGATTCTCTGCCAGGTCTCTGTGTCTGTTCCAAAGTTTAGGAAGGTGATGGAGCCTTTTCCATCCTGGCGCCTCGGCTTTGGAATGACCTGCCTGAGGAGATAAGGCTCGCACCATCAGTATCATCTTTTAAATTTTAAATCAGTTTTTATTGGTTAGCCTTCTTTTAACTGGTTCTAGCTTGATTTTATTCCTAATTTATTTTTTATTCTACTTCATTTACTTATTTATTATAATTAGTTGAATTGATTGCTTCATTGTCTGACACTGAATGCTTTCTTAATGCTTTTTGTATTGCTCTTTGCAGCTTGTGCAGCACTTTGTAAACCTTGTTTTTAAAAGTGCTTTATAAATAAAGACTTATTATTATTATTACTGTGGTACATTCCAGGCAAAGCAGCAGTATCTCCATGGAGACAAACATGTGGTGGACCCTCTATACTAGAAAAGTTACAGTGTTCATTTTATTGATGACTATGATTCTGATTCTAAATGTGATAATGTCGTACTCTCAGATGAAGACAAGAGATAGTTTTCCCTATGGATTACACTGTACTTTGTTGTGAAATACCCAAAAAAAAAATTCACATATGTTGAAACTGATAATTTCAATTTTTCACTGTATTAACAGAAATTGTCATTTTTCCCAATAATTTTAGCTACCCCACATCTGAATTAAATATGATTGGTCTATAGAATGTTACATCTTGCATCTTTAATATTAAACTTCTGGAAACCTCACCTGTCTTTTGTGTTTTCAGGTGAAACGCAGGATTCCTTTTGGGTGCTCTCTCTCCTGCTCTTCATCACTCTCTTCCTCACTGCTGGAATTCTCACCAGGACCATCCTCTTTAAACTCAAAATCAAATAAATTAAATTTGGTAACGTTTCACTGTAAAATCTGCAAATTTGACTTGAAATCGTTGAAATATTTGTGCCTAAACAGTTTCATATTGAAGATTTTGTATTTAGTGTCATTTTCATTTGTGTATTAAAAGTTGCACCACACAACTTTTCTGCTTGTCTCTATGGAGATTTTAATTTGCTAGGAATGTTCTGCAGTATGGCATTAGACAGATCTATCCTTCACCTCGGCTATCTGTGGAGTGGGAAGTCTGTGAGTCTTTGCTTAGTCTTAGAAGGTAGATGGATGGCTATTTAATTTTAATTTTTTTTAACCAGTCAAAATATCAAAAGCATGTGTAAAAAAAACTAATTGTTAAAAGTAAAGTATTTATTCTAAAAGGTGTGGAATAAAAGTTGAAATTTATAAATCGCTACACAAAAAAATCTTTCCAGAATATTTCAGTAAATCATAAGGGCTCATTTGTCCCGTAATAAGAGATTTTTGAAGTTGTGTAGCTAAACTAGCTTTTTGTGTATTTTTTGTGTCACATGGAAAGAAAAATAAAGTAAAAAACGACAAGACGCCATTTTCTTTCTTTACAAAATAATTTATTAACATTTAAATTGAAAATATACAAAAATGAACCATCAGACTCCACTCTCCTCCTGATAATATAATACTCTTAAATCACGGAGATTTTCAATTTTGACAAATAAAAATACGACAAATTTTGCACATCTCGTTAATTTTTTCTTCTCAAATTGTCAGTCACAGTTTTCAAGTCTTTTTCACCGAACACAGAAATTTAACAGCAGGCCACAGCCGTGCTCTGGCCAAAGTGCTCAAATTTATGACTATCTTTTTTCATACTTTTGGAAAAACAGAATCACTTAGCAATATTTTCCTTCTCCTTCATGAAAATAGATCCTTAATAAAAATGAACATGAATGCTGTTTTGGGAGTTAAAACACAAATTATTTAAATAGAAATTGCAAGGAAAGGGGTGTAAAATAAACAGGGATAAACGATAAAACAAAAGGCAGCAGCAGCACTCAAGACACCATACTTACGGAATATTTGAATTTCCAAGCCGGCGTCTTGGTTTCTTGGAGCGACTTCCGGTTCCGGATTTGGGCGCTTACCTCGTCGTGATTGGTTGGATTGGATACGTTTGTGTCTGTGTCTTTCTGGGGTGAGAGGAGAGGGGAGGGGCAAATTTGGGGGTAGTTTTCGGGGTAGTTTTCGGGGGGGTGAGGTCATGGTTTTCCTTTTCGTTTTTGGTGCATCACTAGATCGAGTTGTTCGGTCAAACTGACGCCGAGATCCTGACATCTGTCCACCAGGGTGCGCAAGCGGTCCGTCCTGCCCCCCTCTGCAGCCTCGAACAACAGACGCTGGAAGAGAAAGAGAAGGGGCAGAGAGAGAAACATGGGGAGAAAGAGGAAGGGGTAAAAAGAAGGAGAGAGAAAGGGAGAGAGAGTGAGGGGAAGAACAGAGAGAGCAAGAGGAAGAACAGAGAGAGGGAATGAGAGAGAGAGAGAGCAAAGAAGAGGAGAGCGAGGGAGAGAGGGAGAAGAAGAGAGAGAGAGGGAACGTGAGAGAGAGAGAAAGAAGAGAGGGAGAAGAGAGCGGGAGAGACAGAAACGGAGGGAGAAGGAGAGAAGCGAAAGAGGGAACGAGAGAAATTGAGTGAGAAAGAAGAAAGCGACGGAGAAGAGAGGCCGCAAGAGAGTGAGAAAGAAGAGAGCGAGGGAGAGAGGGAGAAGAGAGAGAGGAAAAAGTGAGCGAGAGAGGTAACAAGAGAGAGAGAGAGAGCAAGTGAGGAAAAAGAGTGAGGGACAAGAGAGGGAGAGGGAGAGAAGAGAGAGAGGAAGAAGAGAATGAGCAAGAGAGGTAACGAGAGAGAGAGAGAGAGAGAGAGAGTGTGAGGGACAAGAGAGAGGGAGAGGGGGAGAAGAGAGAGTGGGAGCGAGACAGAAAGTGAGGCAGAGAGAGGAGTGAAAGAGTGGGAGAAAAGAGGGAGAGAAAAAGAGGGAGAGAAAAAGAGGGAGGGAGGAATGAGAGAACGAGAGAGAGAGAGAGAGAGAGAGAGAGAGAGAGAGAGAGAGGAGAGAGAGAGAGAGAGAGAGAGAAGAGAGAGGAAGAGAGAGGAGAGGAGAGAGAGAGAGAAGAGAGAGAGAGAGAGGGAGAGAGAGAAGAGAGAGAGAAGAGAGAGAGAGAAGGAGAGGAGAGAGAGGAAAGAGAGAGAGAGAAGAGAGAGAGAGGAGAGAGGAGAGGGAGAAGAGAGAGAGGAGCAGAAAGGGGAGAAGAGAGTGAAAGAGTGGGAGAAAAGAGGAGAGAAAAAGAGGGAGAGGAAAAGGGAGAGGAGGAAGAGAGAGAGAGAAGAGAGAGAGAAAGAGAGAGCAAAGAGAGGGAGGGAGAGAGAGAGAGGAAAGAGAGGGAGATGAGAGAGAGTGAGAGAGGGGAGAGAGAAAGAGGAGAGAGAGAGAGGAGAGGAGAGGAGAGAGAGGAGTGAGACAGAAAGAGGGAGAGAGAGAAGAGAAGAGGGAAAGAGGAAGGAGAGCAAGAGGTAAAAAAGAGAGTAAAAAAGTAAGAGAAAAGGAAGGGGGAGGAGAGGGAGGTGGAGAAAGAGGGAATGCAAAATAGGGAGAAAGGAGGAGAGAATGAGAGCAAGAGAGCAAAAGGGGAAATAAAATAAAGGGATAAGGGAAAGAGTGATATTAGAGGGTAAGAAAAGAGAGAGGGGATGGAGAAAATGGAGAGAGGGAAAAGTGAGTAGGGAGGGAGAGGGGTAGGTAGTGGAGTAGAGGGGTAAAAAATAGGTTAGAGGTCAGTTAGAGGGAGGCCACAGGTAAAAGACGAGAGGGAGTAAGAGAAAAGGGGTTACGCAGAGAAGGAGAGGAGGAAGGGAAAGAAAACGAGGGTGAGGGAGGAGAGAGAGAGGGGGAGGGGGGGTTTCACCTGTGACTTAAGTGGCAAAACAAACAACATCTCACGTTTGTTGCAGAGCCATAGAAGACAAGAAGTACAAAAACACCACAAGAGTATTTATGGTTATTTATGGTTTATCTGAGTTCAGATAAAGTCCAGATTAAGTCGAACTTGAGTAACAGTGATTCTAACAGAGTAGTGCTTTCAGTTAGCTTCACATCCACAGACAATGTTGATGAGCTGCAAAGTGTCAATACATGCAGTAACAATGGGTCACCGTGCACTGCAGTCTGCCCCAGGGCGGTTGTGGCTCAAATACAGGTTAGGTTTGATAGTTTGTTTCTCATATTCTATGGCTGTAAACGAGTGCAGAATGTGAATGTGCGTAGTGAAAGAATTACATCTTTCCAGAGAGCGGCGCACAGCGGGAGGTGACTCAGGGCCTGTTGGTACAAACGCCGAACCTGAAACAGAGAAAGGGAAACAAAGGTAAAAATATACTACACGTGACAGGAGCAGACAGGAGCAGCATGAACAATGGAGAGATGTGGGCCCTGCAGATCATTTTAGTGGGAAAGGGGAAAATAGCGCCATCTGGTGAGCATCTAAAACAGCCCAAATCTCACCTCGGACTTCTCGTTGAGCTCCTTCTCTGCAGCGATGGCTCTGGAAAGACATTTGGATACACTCATAACATTATGACCACTGACAATGCAAGTCACTTTTACATACTACATCCTCAAACTGGAAATCCCAGCTTTACTCCAGATTTAGTCTGTTTTTTCTTCACAACATCCTGGAGTTATGTTTTGTTTCATTCACACATACTTAAAACAAGCTCTGCATATTTAGGCAGTTCTTCTCTCAAACCGTAAACACCTTCAGTATTTTCAGGCCAACAGAGAACTGGTTCCGCACCTAATCCCTAAAACGACTGACATGGTAATCTGAGCATTCGGGAACCAAAAAGTTGGTTCCCATTGGAAACCAGGTAAAACTTACTTTGTGACGACAAAGTACGTCAGCTGATTCACACGGTTCACACATGTTAAAATAAACAAACAAAGAAAATGTGTGTGTGGAATATGGTGGAAAAATGAAGTGACAGTGCAGTGGTCAGCGGAAGAGACCAAATATTTGCTGTATCTGTGTTCGCTCGGTGAGGTTACATCTTTGGATTGGGCGTTGCTGCTGCCCTCTCCACAGTAGATGTTGTAGCAGAGATTGGTGCAGATAAATAATAATTTGTATGAGTACAAATGCTCGCTGGTGTTTATGATAAGATCCATGATTGTTATTTTCCTCGCCGTGACATCTGGATTACTCAAACATGTGTGAATGAAACAAAACTCCAGGTCTGTTTTTGATGAGGTAACAACATTGTAACATGGTTTAAAGCTCACAAGGATAGGATTTTAGGACCTTTAAGGCTGATTTGTCTAATATAGTTGAGTATGATAGTTACATTTTCCAGTTGGCTAGACATTTGGGGGCGTGGCTGCTCAACATTCTGGACTGAAACTTCAGGTGCTGTAGGTTTCCCTCCTGCCACTCCTGATGCAGCAACCTGAAGTACACACATGGTTAGCACTCACACCTCACAGCAAGAGTTCACAGTATAATTCCCAGGCCTTTCTGTGCTTATAAAACTTCTGTTCTGAAATGCATGGGGTTCTACTAGTTTAAAGAGCCTTTTCCATGTATTTGTGCTATATATATATATATATATATATATATATATATATATATATATATATATATATATATATATATATATATATATATATATGTAGGTAGGTATATAAAGTTAAAATAAGTCTGTGGTGTACTGTCTGCATCTAAATAAAGTGTTTTTCTATCCAGGAAGTGCACTTAGCATATTAGTTATTGCCAACTTTACCATCTCTGCAAACTGGCCTCTGAAAGTTATAAAAACTCATCATGGTGAATAATTAGGATGATCTGAATATATAAGTTAAGTGCCAAATAACTTTGAACCACTGCAAACTGTTTAAAATGAATTATTTCAGGTTTTCACATTTTTTAAGACTTTACCTGAGGCCCAGCTCTGTGTTGCTGGGCATCGAGTACCGCAGCCGCTCCAGCACCAGTGCATGCTGGGAAGGAGGCAGGCAGCCTAGGTACAGAGACACCACCTGGACAAATGCAAACAGAAAACTGATTACATAAAACATTATAGGTTCATTATGAATACCGTATACAGAACCATAACATTCAGCTCTGGTTAAGATCCAGTTTAGAACTGCTTTAGAACTGCTTTAGAACTGCTTCAGTCCTGCATCAGTCCTGCATCAGTCCTGCATCAGTCCTGCATCAGTCCTGCATCAGTCCTGCATCAGTCCTGCATTAGTCCTGCATCAGTCCTGCATCAGTCCTGCATCAGTCCTGCATCAGTCCTGCATCAGTCCTGCATTAGTCCTGCATTAGTCCTGCATTAGTCCTGCATTAGTCCTGCATTAGTCCTGCATTAGTCCTGCATTAGTCCTAGTTTACACCGAGTTTATACCCGTTTCTTTTACCTGGTTGTGAAACTTGTAACAGCTCCAAAACTCAGCTGGGTTAAAGGGGACCTCCAGTCGTGAGGGGACGGTGCTCAAACACCTCAGAACCAGGTCTGAGAAGAGCTTAGATGAGCCACGGGTCTGTTGCTGAGAGCTCACGAACAACAGGTAACTATATGGAGAGAGAGGGAGAGAGGGGGAGAGGGGTAAGAGGAGGAATGGCAAACAGGAAAAGGGAGAGTGGAGAGAGGGAGGTGGAAAGAGGAGGGAGGGAGAGGAAAAAAGTGAGAGGGAAAATGAGTTGAGAGAGAGAGAGGGGGGATAAGAGTCCAGGAGAGGGTGGGGAGAGGGAGAAAGAGTAGATAGAGGGAATTGAGAGACATGGATAGAGAGGATGGGGAAGAGTAGAAAAAAGGAGGAAATATGAGGGGAGAGAAAGAGGGGTAGAAATGAGCGGAGAGAGAATGGTGAGAGACATAGAGCACATGTCAGGACAGAGTAGCCCACACTGGTGTCTGTATAAACACTAGATTAAAATGATTAAAAACTGAGTTTTGAGACTGACTCCATCCAGAGTCGGTGAAGCTCATCACGCTGCAGAGGAGCCCCTAGAGCGCGCTCAAACGCCTCCACTGTGTCCTCCAGAGAACTGTGCAGCCACTGCCACCGACTGAGGACAGAAGAGAGGGATCAGAGAACAAGAAGTGACACACATGTACAAGGGCACAAATGTTACAGGGGAGCAGAGTATAGATTTGACATTTGTCATTTAACATTTTTAACTGTTTTAAACAAAACATCTTTAACAGAGATTTAAGTGACCGTAGGAAAATTTGTACTGACCAGTGGAGCAGGTGCAGGTAGGGCATCTGAGTCCCCAGCTGCTCCTGGAGGTCCTTCTTAATGATGGGACCCTTTAATAACTCGTCACAGGAGAAGCCCAGAATGTGTCTAAACAAAATACAACAAAATGATTCACATTATATCAACACTATGGACATGGTTATGAACCTTAGAACTTGGTGGCAGGTAAAATCTTTGTATTAGTCTATTGATTTGACCAGATTATTTGTTTCGGTGCATGCACGTGCTCTGTCTGTGTATGACACACTCTGAGCCAGAACACTGCGCACATACATACACACAAAGATGCTGACAAGGAAACAATCCAACACTGTGAGTGTCCAGTAATCAAAGCATAGGGCCAACAAGATGCACTGGATGCATATAATGAAAGGAGGAGAGTTTAGTGCTCGTATTTGAGCGTGTCATCAGCATGTCATCAGTACGACTCCTCAGCTCTGACTACACTAAAACTTACTGATCCACTGGACCATTAAAGGTTGTTTCAAATTGTCAATGATAGCATTATAGAGATGCAGTAGCCTTGTAATTATGATGACCATAAAAAAGAGAATAAAAATTCATCAACTCTGGACGTGGTGGGGCTAAACATTTGCCAATAGATAACGACACTGCCTCGTTATCTGTTAGCTGACAGGCTGTCAATCAATCTCCCTACGTTTCTAGTGTAACTGACTTGCCTGCGCGCCACCGGTACGTGGTTTACGTACGCCTGTCACGCAGTCCACAGACGCAAGCTGCACAGACGCTGTTTACTCCACCAACGCAACAGTTCTTAGCGGCTTTTTTTTACCTATATCTTCCTCGCAGTTAGCACAAAGTTTGTTGCAAGACAAGAATCCAGGAGCAGTTAGCCGCAAAAGAAAGTCCGTTTTTGAGGTCGCTGAAAAGAAGAAGACAAGGGGAAAAGCAGCGAAGCCAAACTAAGGTGATTCTTGAAGATTCATTCCAGCGATGGCGCAACTGAAGCAGACACAGGGTCTAAAGACTGACGCATTGGTCGCCAATTTACTCCTGGACAGGTCACTTCTGCTTATTATGAAAACGTACTTTATTTCCAAGAGCTAGTCAAACGTTTTTCAGGACACGAAAGCGATATCCTATGTCTGAAAACGTAATTTTCAAGGCAAAGAAAGAGTCCGCTTGCTGCTGTGTGTTGTAGCTAGTTCATTCGCACTGAATCTCCGCGCACCTTCTCTGCACCCCTTTCCTGCTCCTGTCCCCGCTGCCCGATCCGCTCTTCCCCCTGCTCCTCACTTCTCCTGGCACGGAATCTCCGCGCACCACTCCCCTCTCCTCTCTCCTCTCCCTGCTCCGCTCTTCCCGCTGCTCCTCACTTCTCGTCTGCGCACAAAATGTCCACGCACCCGCTCCCCCCGCTCCTCACTTCTCCGCCTTGCCTAACCAACACTGCAGTTAGTTGTTTACAAGTCATGTGCAGCGCACCGGCTGTAAACAGACCTGTTTCTGGCGTAAGGAGGAGGCGTTTCTACGTAGGGAGCTGTAGGGGAGGGGGGGTGGTTTCACGCATGCGCAACATTTGAAAAAGGACAAACAGTCGCTGGATTTCTCGTTCCTTGGAAAATCCTCTATACAACCTTTAAGACTTTGTACTGTTGTACTTTGTGCTGTTAAAAAGCCCAATTTCAGTACATCTACAGATGGATTATTTATCACCACAGCCGATGTGCACGCAGCTGCAGTCCAGAAAGCACCGCTGTCTGTGTGGTGAACATGAAGTTGCAATGCTAACTAGCAATATTGACAGTGCACTAAAACAGTTTATCACTGTGTAATAAAATAAATTATGATGCTAAATGAACATTAGCGAGTGGGATATGACATAATGACCCGTATGCATTAAATGCGGGTGAGTGTGTAAATGCCGAGAAGAAACATGTCAAACTTCAGTAGCCGGACATCCACTCATACCTGATCAATACAACTAGCCCCGCCACTGAGAAAACATGAAATCTGCTGAAATCCTACAAGACACTGACATGATACCAGACAGGACAAGAGCTCTTTCTACAGGAAACTTGCACAGTAGAGCATGAAGTGATGTAGTCTGATAATCCCTTTATAATTTCACCTAGTGATAAAAGTACCGTAAAACATCGACGGGTTTCTTCTGACTGTCCTCTTCTTCACACAGGGACAAGATGAAGCCGCGAAACAGAGGAGCCAGGGCACTAGACTTCTCCTGATCACAAAAACATACAGAAGATTTAACTATGAACACTCTGAAACCCAACTGATTTAGACTTAATATGCCTCTCTCTGATCTGAATGGCCACCACCTAAACCCCAGCACCTAGAGCCAGTCATAGCTCTGTGCTAGTGCAGCCTCTGCAGCTCAGTGAGGGAAATCTGAGCTTTCATGTCCATATACTGTGAATGAGAAAAACTTGTATATGTCTTTATTTGCAGGTTAAGGGACTGGCAAACCAGATTCAGTTGTCAATGTAATACTTTACAAAAATATACATATTGTAAGAGCACAGGCTACATACAGTTCCTTTAAGATTGCATACAATGTTTGGATTTTCAAAATAAGACTTAAAACGACTATTCAATATGTTCCATGGTGGAGTCATACTGGTCATCCTTCAGTATGTCTGAGTTGTGTGTTACCTGAGCCATGAGGAACTTGCAGGAGTGGTAGAAGACCTCTGCGTTGTCTGGGCACTCAACGAGTGCATGTAGCCACATGCTAACAGCAGCGTTAGCATCTCCTTTAGCAATGTGTAGCTCGGCTAACGCATCACGGAGAACACAGGACTCAGGACAGCACTGGAGGAGTGCCTCACACAGAAGGATTCCCTCATCAAATCTAAACAAATCAAATCACGATATTCTAAAAATGCAGTCACAAATTCTCATAGAGGGCTGAGGTCTGTATAACTAACGAGTACCTAATTTTTCCCATATACCTGAGCAAAATGTGTCTTTCCCCAGTTCAACTTTATTGTATAAGCAGGTCTTGATGTCAAAATAAGTCCACATCTAATTATAAAGCGTTTTACAATCTGATAAAATGGTACCTGACAGTAAAACTCCACTCTGGTCTGTGAGAATGTAATTAGGATGCTTAGGATAAGGTAATTGAGGAATAACCACTGCAAACTGTTGCAAATGAACAACTGTGTTTTTCACCTTATGACTGTAAAAATCACTTTTTAAGGTGCTAGTGTGTCTCACCTGAGCAGGACTTTGTGCAGGTGCAGCAGGTTGGTGTGCAGAGGTAAACAGGCCACAGTCCTCTCACTCGGAGACAGAGAGTTATCAGAGCACTGAGCAATGCCATCTGAAATACACAATTAAAACAGTACGAAGTAGTAGATCATGTTTTACATTCAAGGTCAAAAATGTAATATAGTTTCAGATGGAGCATTTTTTCCTCAAACTCCCCTCTACTTGTACCATAGAATTTCTGATAAAATTGTAATTAGACATTCCCATACCTTGAAACATGGAGATGAGTCTGTCCAGGGGGGTGCAGATGTCCTCAGCTCCTCTCCAGGGCAGGAGGAAGCTCTCTCTACTGACCAGCCGAGAGGGCCCAGAATCAGCCGCATCATAGAGAGAAGAGGGCAGTCTTTGGAACTCCGACAGGTGGATGAAACAAAGCCAAAGCAGAGCACGGTCTCCAGGCGTCAACAGGTCCACCACACAATCTGATTTCAGTGAGACCTATAGGAGAGATGGGTAGGATTTGATTTTGTAAAACCAGATTGCAATTTGCAATTTCAGGGCTGGCTAAAATGTGAAATAGTCCTTGTTTAGTCCTGATTTCTAGTCTATCATGGTTCAGTTCTACCCTGCTTCAGATTTCTGTCCCATTTGTCCTGATTTAGTCTCAGTCTTGTTCTAATCCAATTCTGAGCCTAGTTTAGTCCCAGTCCCAGTGCACACCTGTAGTATGCTGAGAGCATTCTCCGTCCTCCCACTGAAACAGCTGAGCTGAACTCTATAGAGCAGAGCCTCAAGGATCTGAAAGGACAGTTTTTCTGACATTCCACAAGAGGGTGCCTCCGAGACCAGAAACTGCAGCAAACGCTCTGACACAGAGTCTTTCCCCTCAAAAGACCGCTCCAGAGACAAGTACTGAAGAGAGAGAGAGAAAAGAGATTTTAAAAGGTTTGAATCCAAGATTTAGATTTTAAGTTCTATGACCCATCTGTGTTCCAAGATACGAGGTAAACATGTTCAAATCAAATATAGCTTTTACTGATTTAATCTTTTACAAAAACATTGGGAGTAATGTCCAAGTTGTTTGTTATAATTTGGTGTAGAGTACACTCTGTTAAGATGTCCTCCAGTAACATCATTTTAGATTACATATTGTCCTTGTGACTGCTATATAGTTATTTTATAATTTGCACATTTTAAATTGCAATACTGAGCTAAAATTAGTTAATAAAAAAAACAAGTCTGGTGACTTTCTGGGTAGGAAAATTACGTCATCACAACAAAGTACTGCATGCGGTCGGCCCCCCCATGGATAGCTGCAGATCACACTAATAAAGAGTATATTGGTATATATTGGAAATGAAAGTAAGTACAGAGGAAATGAAAATGGGGGTAGGTCAGTGCAAAAAAATCTTGAATACAGGAGAATAAAGATTACTCAAACAAGCATGAATGACTCTACATAAATGTTGTTAAAATTCGACCTTGCATAATATCTCCCCTTTAAGCTCTTAATGTAAATACTGTAAAAATCTTCAGACGTCTAATAAATGCAGTCACGTTACATATTATATTACCTGAATCAGTGTGAACCAAAGATATATTGCCATTTTCTCAGCCATACTTACAGCCCACCAGACACAGTGGTCAGGGGCATGCTCCACAGCCATCTCACACATCTCCTGCACCTCGGCACGGCTCCCCCTTTTGGAGAACAGCGAGAGGTACTGGCTCCACACCTCAGGGTTGTCACAGTTATTCTCCAGAGCGCGAGAGAGCGTGTTCAGAGCTCCCTCTAGACATTCAGCAGGGGGACTGAGGACAGAAACAGACAATGTCACAGGGGAATTCACAATACATAGATTTCTAGATAATAAACAGATGATTTCTTTCATGTAATTAAATAAAGCCAGCCCGAGAACAGATACACTGTAAAAGCTCTTAGGGTCAAAATACCACCACTGTGTGCTGTCTCCATTTATCCAATTCAATGTGATAATTACAAAGCATTTTTAAAATCTAGTGTGGTCACCCAAACTCTGCTCTGGTCTCTGAAAGTTGTAAAAAGTACTCATAAACTCATTGCGGTGAATACTTATGTTTGGAATGCATAAGGTAAGTGAGGAATAACTTTGGACCACTTTGGGCCAGAGACAAGTTTACCAATCAGATTCATTGGTGAATGGGAATCAGGTGGAGACAACTACCTAAGACTATCTCAGACAGTTGTTTCTCTGTTATGGTTCAACATTAGAGCAAAAAAAAGTGTAACGAAAACCGTGGATTCTGAAACATGTTCATTACTCATGGTTCAATATCGGGCAATACAGTCATTGTCACAGCCATAATATAATAATTGTTCCTTTGTGTGGTGGTCAACTACATAGAATTACAACAGAATAAGCCCACATAACATGCATTATACTTATTTGCATTTAATTAGAGTTTGATCCTAGTTTAGACCTGGTTTAACCCCATTTCAGTCTAGGTGTAGGCATATTACATATAGACTGGTTTGTCTCTTACGTGTCTGTCTGGTTGAGGTACTTGAAGGCCAGTTTGATCCACAGCTGAGTGTCACAGGGACTTTCTAAAACGCTCGCCTCCAGGTTTGAAATATCATCTGTTTCACTGAAGAAGTAACGTCGATCCTCTGAAGTCACACACACGTCCGACGGACTCAGGTCAGTGCTGCCATCTGCTGGAGAGAGGGGAAGACAGAAGACTGGGATGATTGACTGGAAGGATAATTTTTTACAGTTTAAATATTAAATTTGTAAAATGTCACCTAGTTCTAAAGATAAATGATTTGGGTTAATAGTATCTGTTTTTACCTCCGCCAAGGAGGTTATGTTTTTGTCGGCGTTTGTTTGTTTGTTTGTTTGTTTGTTTGTTTGTCTGTTAGCAATATAACTCAAAAAGTTATGGACCGATTTCCGGTGATCCAGAAGGATTCTGGATCACTTTGAAATTTTAGTTAACATTGTGGTAAATGGGGCCAAAAATTTTGTTTCTCAATATCTCGGTTAATTATTGACCAAACCCCATGAAATTTGACTCAGGGATGGACAATGAGATCCTCTTTCATATTCCAAAGGCTGATCCGGATCTGATCCAGAAGACTGATTTTATCGCAATTTATATAAAAAATGGGGGTAGTCCTTGGCGGAGGTCTGCGCTCTCTGAGTGCTTTTCTAGTTTTCCCATGTTTTAGCATGTTAAACTGGCAAGAGGGTCATGTGAGGATTTCATTTTGCTTTGTGATAATTGTTTTGAGAACCAAAGCACGAAATTACATTGCATAATTACATAAACAACTTGGCCATCATGTCCAATGTTTTGTAAATCTGAATCTTGCATACTGTCTTATAGTTTAAATTTACCACTTTTTAAACAGTAAATGAGTAGCAGTACCGTATCTGCCCTGAGTGGTGGCCTCCTCTGGCTCCTCACTGTCACTGCTCTCCTCTGAGTCAACTGCAGACAGGAGGAGGGGCTTTGGTCTCCATTGCCTCAGGTCTTTAAATGTGGTGAATGGAGGAGCTGAAAATGACAAACAAAAACATGTCAAAACTATGAGAAAAAATCTTAGAAGGCTCTACACTGCACCCACAAATCTTTGGTCTTTCTTTAGTTTAAGAAGTTTAATTTATAAACTCACTGTGGCGTTTGCTCTCGTTGACTTTGCTCACCAGGAGGACGGCCTTCTGATCAATGCTCATTCGATTATTGGGACCAAAAAGCTTCTTTATGTACTTTTCTGTCAAAACAAACAGAAAAAAAAAGTTTTAATTTGCAAAGATTTCCCCATTAGTTGCTGCTCAGTCCTGGTCCAGCCCTGGTTCAAGGTAAGCAAATTTGTCCTAAGCATTTGACCAATCCTTCAGTGTCTCTCATAGACTAATATATAGATGCTAGCTGTGTTACAAATAGCTTCGAACTCTGGTTCCGATTCAATTTCTATTGAAAAATTGTGGTACCTCTCCCTGTAACTGCTGTTGTCAGACTCATAATTCCAACCTTAACGTGTTCATATTAACGTGCACCACATGATCCTGGAGTTTTTATTTAAATATTTTGCTTGTAAATCAAGATATGGCCATTAATAAAAGACCAGGGTGTAGCCCTGGTGCAGCCCTGATTCTTACCTGTAGAGGCACTGATGTCTTTGTCGGAGCTCTTCTCAGAGCAGCCGATCAGAGACAGGTCATAAGAGAGGACGTCCTGGAAGAGCTGACTCCCACTGAGGGTCACGTTCCTCATGTGCTGCCTGAAAACACACAGGAGATACACATTTAGAACCAAACCAAAGAAGTAATTTAATTAAGTGACAGGTGTCTTATATTGCTCACCATTTGCAGCCGTCGTCGTTGCAAGTTCCTGTTAAATCGAAGCGACAGAAGTGCTTTTTGGGGTCGATGGTGTTACTGTAGGTGACTGAGCTCAAAGACAGCTTCTCCTTTGTTCTGTAGTAAGGACTGAACCTGCAGGGGAAGTAATTTAACATCATTACTATTCTTGCATGATTAAGTATGGCATCATTAGCAGTACTTTCACAACTGTCAGAGATTTTGAATCATTCTTGCTCATGCGTAAAAAGCTGTTATTCATGTTTCCCTTTCAGAGACTGCCTGCAGTACCACAGAGTGGCCACTGAATGAATGGAGGGAGGTCACACTATAAAACTCACCTGTATGATTTGAAGACCAGTAGGGGGCTGTGATAGGGTCCATACGGAACAGGCCTCAAATCGGAAGCTCCTGATTGGGTGGAATTGACATCTAGCTCAAACGCAGCCACCTGAAGCAGAAAAAAAGACAAAATTTACAAAAGAAGTATTAATTTTAATGGTAGTTAACAAACATATGTAAGATATTGTGCACATACCAGATTGTAGCATTATTATTATCATTATTAAAATCCTTGGGATGCTTCAACACTTCCAGTCACATACAAACCACTTTATTATATTCACCTTTGACACAGGTGATGTTTGTAGATCCTGTCCTGTTTTCTCAAGCTCTGTCTGCAGCAGTTCTCCAAGCTGAGGCTGCTGCTGGTACCTCTTCTTCAGAGAATCCACATCTAATCCTGCAAAAACCTCTGCCTTTTCACTACAATTAGAACGACCTTTGGCTAGCTTAACCATGCTAGCACTAGTAGCATTAGCAGCAGCAGTATTGTCTTTAGCCGGCGTAGATGTTAGCTGCTCTAAATGGGGCTTTGTAAATGAGGTGGACTGGCGGAATGAATGTCGTCTCTGGCCTCTAGTCGCAGATGTTGGTGTATTTTCAGATTCCTCTGCTTCGTCCTCTGTGTCCAGCGTTAGTTTGTCTTGCGTTAAATCGTGTAGTGACGGCTGCGGTACAGAAAAGGGACTAGGGGGTGCTACTGCTGCTTCCTGTTGTGGTTGGTTTTGTGGTTCTCGTGGAGTGGATGCTTGAATGGGAGATTCAGATGGAGCTTCGATGGAGGTGGTCTTGTTGCGTAATGCCTGGGCTTCCTTCAGTTTTTTGATTTTGAGCGCGTACTCCGACTCGAGCTGCTGGAGGCGCTGTTTCTGGGCAATGAGTTCGGCAAAGTGACGCTCCTTTCCGTCTAGACGCTGAACCTTATTGGGCTGAAAAAAAAAAATGGACAGATTTAGCACCAAACTATAAACACTTATTTAGAAGTACCATTTTGGTAAATGTTTGTAACCTTATGTAATCTCAATAATTAGACTTGGGCTGCAAATTGTCCTCAAATTGCATCTTCTTCAAAGTTTAGGATTATACTAACTAATGCTAATGCCAATGTTAAAGCAACACTATGCAAGTTCAGAGGTACTATGACACCGAAGTGATTCCATGGAAATACGCAGTTAAAACCATACTCTGGAAAATTTTTTAGGGAGATATACAAGTTTAGTGGATGCAGTACAATTTTCCATGCATTGAAAATATGAAATATAAAAATGTTCTGTTTTTGGTAAAAAAGTCATGTGGTAGAGCTACGCCATATAGATATAACTTAAACCTCCATGCGTAATTAGAGCCTTAAAAGCTTTAAAAAACATTATACGGACATTATATAGTAAACTGTGGCCTGATTAGAGAAGTGTATCTGAAAATGCATTATATAAATAGTACAGTATAACCAGTATATTCTGACCATTGCCTGGTTGGATTCATGTTTCCTCTTGTTTCCTCTGGCTGCTGCACTCTGAGCCTGAGACAACTCCTGCTCCAACTTCACCTCCACAGACTTCTTCAGAGAGACTCTGTGCTCCACACGGTGCACCTGACAAAACAAACACACATATGAAACCTCCACACAACGCACCTGTCTGCACATCTGCAACCTCTCAAAAATAATGCAACCAAACATCAGGGACGTGACAATATCCAAATGTCATGGTACGGTATTTATGGCATTAATAACAGAATCGCAGTTATACAAGTTTTTCCTTCTTAAATGCCTTTACAATATTTTAAAAGTTATTCTGTTTGAATTCAGAGCACATGAAGAAATAATTTCTTATTTTTTCAGATGGTCTGAATTCAAATAGTGGAAAGAATCCTGGTTTATGTAGTTCCCTCTGTGATTTTAGCTGCTGCTCTAACAAACAAGGCATTTACGCAACACATACACACCTGTTCCTGCAGTTTCCTGAGTAGCGTCCTGTTAGCATTAGCGATCTTTTCGGAGGCCTGGAGCTGCTCTCTGAGTTTGGAGACTTTAGCCTCAGCCGCTCGCAGACTCTCTCTTTTCTTTAGCTCCTGTTGCAGCAGATGTCTGAGCACCGCTTCATCCTTCTTTAACAGTTCCCTGTGAACAGACACAACAGAAAGGGAGTAATCATTATAAAGCATTATATAGTGCTTTTCGAAAAGTCTAAGTTTACCATTTTCTGCATAATTGACACTCAACACTGATAAAAGCCCTTCTGAGCACACTCACTCACAAACAGGAAGGTCACGATAAATAGAATTCATTCAATAAATGATAGATGGAACAATCATTTTTCAGGGTCAGTATTCATTGGGGAGTTTTCCCTTGTACAAATGGGGAAATCTTTGTTATTTTTCTGTACTAAGTTGAGATTTGAGCTATAGAGGGTTAAATTATAAACTTCTATGACTCATTATAGATACAAACCAATTACTTCTTACTAGGCAGGATACGACACAACAGAATTTTTGTCTGTGGGTAGGGTTCAAAACTGGCAACCTTTGGATCGGTAGGTGAACACTCTAACTAGTCAGCTCAAACTAAACAATAGACAAAAAATTTGATTAATATCTTAATAGTTTCAAGTCATGACCACTGTAGTTTGAGTCACGTTCACATTGCACATTTTTGAGTATAAATGTCACTTATTCCTTGTGCTGATCCAAAAAGCAGATTACTTGTGGTATTAAACAGAAATATCTATGCATGTAATATGTAAAGTATATTTTTTAATACCAATTTTTGTTTGGCTTGTTTTAAGACTATCAGAGGCCTCAACATTCTCCTCTAACACGCAACAGTGCACTTTCCCATAGAAACCAACATTCCTCTTGTCCTCCCTTTCTCTTATCTATGTCAGAACGACCTCTGGATTCTTCTGTTCATAACACCAGCACCAAACTGGACCTGGCTGAGCTGCTCTCAGCTCCACAAGAGTTGCAAGATGGACACAATCAGTCATTTAGGCTTCTCTCGTGCCCTTTTTGAGAACTAATGTTCTGTCAGACACCCTCCCTGTGTCTGCAGTGAGTTTTATTCTCTGTAAAAGCTGGTAAGTCAGTATTTTAGACTTCTGCAAACAGGTTCTGTCAGATTTTGACTGTATTTACATAATAGAGAAAGTCTGAGAGAGATAGCTAAAATGACTAAAACATGCATGGATGACATCTTAAACCTCTGGCATGTTTTTGATGAGGGAACAGCGATTAAAATACCATCAGGTTTAGGGTAAAAAAAAAAATAAAAATTTAAATTGGCTGTCAAAATGATCACTGATCTGTCTTGACTGTAGAGCTGTAGGCCTTTAATCTTAGTCAACGAAAATGTTTATAAGCTGACTAATTATTTGGTTTAGAATATGAGTATTTATATGGGACAACAGCAGCAACAGCAGGATTTCTAGTGGATAAATTGAAAATTTGGAAAAGAATCATGGGTTTAATCTGCATTTTTTCCACTTCTGTGCAAGTGTAGTCTTGTGAATACAGTTTGGGTCAGATAAATAGAGTTATGGAATAGTTTTGAGAGCTTTTGCCACACTCTGTTTTTCGTCAACTAATTGATCAGCAGGACATGTCTTGGACCAAGAATTTCTTTAGTTGAATCCAGGCATACATTTTAGTCCTTTATTTTTCAGTTTTCTCTCAAATGTTATTACTCTTGGAGATGTTCATAATTGCTTTTCTTTGTCCATAACCTTCACACTGAAAATTCCCCTAAATAAACCCGATCTGACCTGTGTTTGTGGAGTTTGTGCTCTGCCTCTGTCAGCTGTTGTTCTGCCGAAGGTTTGGTCAAAGACTCCATCACAGAGTCTGAGAAAACCGGAGACGTAGAGCTCCACGAAGTCAACATCTTCTGCTTCTCTCGACTGCAAACAAAACACAACCCATGCATTGGAATGACAGAAGAGAGCTCTTGTGTTTTACATTGTTACAGTAAAGGCAGTGACAGCAATTGTTAACAAATGAAAGCATATACATCTGATGGTGGCAATGGCACTATTCAGACAATAATGACAATCCATCAGGAATTTGCTAAAAAGTGCTAGATAATGTCTTGGCTGAGTGAGGATCACACAAAAAGTGTCTGATGGGAGACATTCAATAGTGAAATAATGATATTATATTGACCACCCATTAGAAATGAATCAAAAATTACTGTAAATGTCTAGATTCGTGCCAAGGCCTGTATAAAAAGTCAAATCAACCAAAAACTGAAAAATGGAAGCAGCACGTTTGTTTTGTTTTCACACATTATGCAGGTTTCTCTAATTTAGCATTTCTACAAAACATCTAACTATGTATGTCCAGATATTTAAATGTTATTGCCATTAGTTCTGTTTCTATTATCTCCATGTTTATTTTTGTTTGTTTATTTGTTACCAATTTGCGTCAAAATTAAAGGCTCTGTACATTTTTTGCCATGTGCTGGCTGCATCCAATTATAAAGTGTTCTATTGTCTGATAATCAGGATGTGATTGTTATCATGCTAGTATAAAATGAGCTAGTTCTCATTTTTAAGACCATAAAAAACTAACTGATCAGCTGCATATTCATGCATGATCACAGAGATTTAAAGGACGTGGAAGTAGGGGCAATAATTGTGAGCTAGCTGGGTACTCTTATGCACAGAGCCACATGAGGTATTATCAATTTTTACCTCCGCCAAGGAGGTTGTGTTTTTGCCGGCATTTGTCTGTTTGTTTGTTTGTTTGTCTGTTAGCAACATAACTCAAAAAGTTATGGACCGATTTTGATGAAATTTTCAGGATTTGTTGGAAATGTGAAAAGGAAGAACTGATATCATTTTGGGGGTGATCCGGAAGAAATCCTGGATTCTGGATCACTTTGAAATTTTAGTTAACATTGTGGTAAATGGGGCCAAAAATTTTGTTTCTCAATATCTCGGTTAATTATTGACCAAACCCCATGAAATTTGACTCAGGGATGGACAATGAGATCCTCTTTCATATTCCAAAGGCTGATCCGGATCTGATCCAGAAGACTGATTTTATCGCAATTTATATAAAAAAATGGGGGTAGTCCTTGGCGGAGGTCTGCGCTCTCTGAGTGCTTTTCTAGTTTTAAATATCTCTCACTCTTACACTCTAAGATTAGTTGTAATTCATTTAAAATAACAAAGTTTCACTTAAATGCCATAGTATCTTGTTTCTTACCTGGCAATTTCCTCCTTTAACAGTCTGTATTCTGCTTTCTTTGCTTCTGGCAGAGCCTCTGGGGTCCTCATGGGGTTATTCTCCTTCTCAGATACTCCTTTGGGCTTCGCTGCCTGGAAACAGTCAGAATGTCAAAACAAAACACTGCAAAAATTAGGATTTGAATAAGATACAAATAAGATTCCTATACTTTAAATGATCAATTTTTCTATATACACAAACTGTATACTGTATGTTAAAGAATCCAGCTGGAAGCCCTAATAAAAACATTTAAATGCTGGGTACATTAGAGTGTCTGACCTCCACAGTGCGTCGTGCTTCTCTAATCATGAACTCCAGTCCTCCAAACACAGACTGACCCGAGGAGCCATCTGCATCACTGTCACTGTCGTCAGAATCATTCAGAGAAACCACCACAGTCTTGTGCCTGGGCAGCTGAGAGAAGAGAGCAAGAGAGCGGGGTTTAAACCAAAATCAGGGAACAACCATAGACTATAGAAATGAACGTTCTGCTAACTGCCATGTATTGTAACGTTTAGTAATGTAAAGTCTATTTATGCAGAAAATTTTAATTAATCTGTTGCAGTGTAACTTGTACAATAGTGTTTGGAAACGCTGGGTTTGATCTGCAGTGGATTGTGGGAAACCTCAGAGCTCCTTACTGCTGGATAGGAACATGGATCCTTTAAAATAAGGAACATCCTGAGCTGCTTCTGCTAAAGGAGCTCATGGTTATGGTTATGGTCTGGATAACAGAGTTAATGCAAAGATGAGCTTGTGTTGAGTTGTTTTATTTATGAATGAAAAGAAGTAAATATGTATTATTTCTTTTATTTTACAGTTAAATTATTATTTATGTAATTAGGGTTTTTGTAATCTTAAATGTTCCTATATGAACTGCCTACCTCTTACACTTCAAAAGACCTTGTGGAATTTGGCATATTTGTTTTTGCAGTTTTCAGTTTTAGGGGGTTATTTTTTCTTGAACATATATCGAGATATATATCGTATATCGAGATATAGCAAAATATATCGAGATATATTTTTTGATCCATATCGCCCAGCCCTAATCCAGACTCAAACCGATTGTCCATAAAAAGAACATAATCTCAGTGTTTGGATCGGTGTCTGCGCGTGTAAACACGAGCACGTGAGTGACGTGGCTTGACATGAGTGACGTGTGTTCAGGGACGGTACGGCCACACACACAGACAAATGACTCCGCAGATAAATACTGATGCGGAGCCACATATTAGGACATTTATCTGTCCGTAAATTGGATTAAATGAACATAACGTAGAGAGTCTAAGATTTATAACGACATAGCACATGCCCACGTGAAATATCAGCTGCTATCAGCAAGCATATCGGCCAACCGATATATAGGTCAGGCTCTACTTTTCACTTTTAATTAAGTTATTCGACCTGCCCAAACTCAGGTTATGGGTCACCCCATGCATCACTACAAAAAAATACTAGTATATACCAGTACACTACAGTGCTCAGACCTACTCACCACTAGGGGTGCTTTGGGGAGGTGGTGCGCCCTGTTGAACTTGTTTCGGGGTGGGGGGGCTGCGTTGAGGTTGACTGTGCTCAGGTTTCCTCTGAGATGAGCCTGGGCCGAGGACTGAGGAGAGGAGGGGCCACTGAACGTCTTCTCCTACACACACAAAATACACTTTCATTCAGTTTAAGCATCCAAGGTCAAAATAAGTCTGCTGTGTACTGTCTGCATAGTTTTAATGTCAGATGAAAAGTGTGTGTTAGCATGCTAGTCGTTGTTAGCTTTACCATGACGGTAAAATCTTTAGTACAAACTCATCGTGGTGAATAATTAGGATGCTTGGAATGCATAAAGTAAGTGAGGAATAACTCTGGACCGCTGCAAACCGTTGTGTGTCACGTTTTTAAGATGCACTTTTTTAAAGGTGCTGTACCTGATTTTTACAAACAAATTAATGGATGTTGAAATGTCATAGTAATACTGAAACTGAATATTGCATACTTTCTTCTTATTTTGTGTATTAATCAGTTGTTTTTCTCACCCCGACCGCAGCCACCCTCTTGTTGGCCATAGACATGAGGCAGGTTTCTCTGAGCAGCATCTCCTCCTCCTCTTCCTCATCGGCGAAGGGCGGTTTGGGGGGAGGCTCCAACTCGTCAGGGGGAGGGAGCGGAGGAGGAGGGGGAGGAGTGGGTGGGGCAAACGACTGACCAAACCCCTAAAAAATAAATACAGTGCATGTGTTAAGGGTGTGCCAAAGTGGTTTGCCAATTTATCATTTTATCGTTTTATCAGCAGTATAATTGTATTGCTTTTTTGGAGACAAGTTCTCACAATTTAAATTTTTATTATAAAAAAAAAAAAAAGGTACTGTTGTAAAAAATTCTGCAGGCCTTTAGTTGTTTACTCAATTAAATCGGCCACTGAAGTCTTAGTTGATGAAAATCTGTATTAGTCATCTATTGAAATTATATCATTATGTTATAAGGATTAACATAGGGCTACAGTAGAATGTGTGGAGTCAGTTAACTAATAACTTGGGATTTAATCTACCTTTTTGCATACAAATACAACATTTCCTAGTACATTTCTGTTTAAAGTGCTGTTTGGGTCACTTATATTCCAGCCACAACCCCTTTTTAGTTGACTAACCGATTGAAAGGACATGTCTTTAGTCGACCAAAAATTTCGTTACTCAGCTACAGGCCTACTTTCCTTACATTACTATATTTATGTGCATTGAAAAGCTGTAAAATGTAAAAAAAAAAAAAAATGTTCATACCATCCCAAAATGAGTGCCTGCCAAGCATAAGGACTGAGGGAATCCTCCAAAGTCACCTCCAGCAAAAGGGTTATGGGTCGGAGAAGGAACTACAGAAAACGCAAGAATTATAAGGAAAAAATGTGTAAAATATGAATTAAAAATGCTGAGTTTCTGCCTACCCGGGGAGCTGGTCTCACTGTCAGTATCCATGGCGACTTCATCATAGTTGTCATATTGGTAAAGGTTTCCTGAGGTGTCTAAACCAGATTTGCCTGTGGACTTTCTGTGTTCACGATCTCTGGACTGAAAGAATAAAATATAACTGATTAAAATGTCATTCATTCATCAAATTTTGTGACATAACTATAGTTAGTTTTAACCCAGTACAGATGTAATAAAACATGAAAAACAGAATGAGTTCATTTCAAACGGTTTGCAGTGCTCCAAATGTATTCTTCACTCATCTTGTACATTCAGACCTTATGCATGCTATGATGGTAAAGCCAGCAAGAACTAGCAAGCTGTAGCGCACATCCCGATTATCAAACATCCAAGTTTTACAATTAGATACGGAAAGTATAATCACTAATCACTAATTTTGACCTCAAGAGCTGCTTATACAAAACAGTGGGGCAAGTCACATTTTGCTCAAATACATGAGAAAAATAATAAGTGCACACCCTTTAAGATTTTACCAAAAATCATTTCTCTGTTTTTTTTCTATTTTTTTTTTTAAATGCTGGTGTAGTTTATAATTTCACTTCCTGGTTGGACATGGGCAGCAGCTATGAGATAAGCAGAGGTACTGTTATGCAGAAAAACAAAGTTTACAAGTGCCAAAACCTGTTTAAAATTCACAATAATTATGATTACATTAATAAAAATAAATTATAATAGTTTTATTTTGTTAAGAGAATGTTAAATGTGTTAGGTGCCTTCCTTTTGCATGAGATAAATTCTGGAGGCATTTTGAAACCTCCAGTCCCTGTTACCTTATTGGGTGTAATAGTCTTCCCTCCCACCAGCTTCATGAAGCGGTTGTACTGCTCGTCCTGGTTGGAGAGGTCTCTTATCCTCCTTATCTCCTCTTCTCTTTTCCTCCTCTCTTCCTCTTCTTGTCGTCTTTTCTCCTCCTGTTCTCTCTGTTGTTTAAGTTTCCAATTCCTTAGCTGCTGTCTGCGAACAGCCTGCTTTGATGAGGCTTTGGGAGAGAGCAGTAGTGTTGTCAGGGTACAAAAATTTCAAACTCAATTTTGATGCTAAGAATTGGTTTTGAGTATCCAATCTATTCCTGACACCACAATGATAACTCACACAACTCTGTAGACAATGGAATGTGATTTTCAACATTAAATAAATAGCACTTTCTTTTATATTTCCATGTGGCCTTATATCTGCGTAATTGTCCAGATAGGTTCCTTTCAAAGTGTATACTTGTTCTGATACAACTCAAGATCATACTAAAGCTATTCAGGAAAGGTTCATTACGACTCGAATGAGTATCAAATTTCAATACTAAGTTTTAGTACCCTATCTGATTGCTAACACTTTTGGAAAACCCTAGGGATGAGATATGTCATAACATACACTCAAAGATGTCGGTTCATATACAACTTCAAGAAAATATTAGGCCTACCGAGTGCAACCAGATGAAAACCAGATCTTGTTCAGGACTATTCTAGGTCTAAATAAAGGTTAAAATTGATCTAACACTAAAGGGAACAGTTCTAATTAAGGAATAACCCAAAGGAGGACTAAAAATATGGGTAAAAATAGTTTAAACTGGTGTGTCGCAAACTGTGGTAAGCAAGCTTCTTCAGGTGGCACTTGGACAGCTCTTCAGTTTGTTCATTTTATCTTTTTGATAATTTTGATAATTTCTTGTTTAGAACTATGATGAAAATGATGTAGTCCAGTTTGAGGCTTGGTTTAGCCCTAGATTCAACCTGAATTTGAGTTTGGTTGACTAAAATATTTATTTATTTATTTGAGACAGGGGCAGCTTTTGCATTTTACCTTAACAGGAGAGATGCAGTGTACATCAGGTTGTAGCATCAGTACTAATTTCCAACTGTAGTCCCTGGACAGATTCATTGATTGATTGTAATTAACTAACCTTGACTATCAACTGTTCTGGAGACCTGTGTAGCATGTTGTGGGTGTGTAATATACTTTTTTTACTGACTAAAATTAAATGACTCGAGGGACTAATTAAATTAAATGACTCGAGCTACTAATAACACAGATTTTCACAGACTAAAATAACTAATTGGTAATAATAATTATTAATATTTTTGGTAAATAACTAAAGATCCAAGTTATACTTTTCAATCCTAAAACAGGGCATAAACAAACTCACCAAACAAACATACCTGGACATGTCCCATCGAGCATGTCCAGACAAGAGTAGTTAACTAAAACTATTACAGATTTAGTCAGCTAAATTAACATATATTTGGGTGACTAATACTAAACTAACAGGAATTGGTTCATTCATTCTTGACTAAACTAAAAATATTTTAGGTCAAAAGATGAAGACTAGAGCTAAATGAAAATGCCTTGTGTCTCACCAGGGCTGAGTTTCTTGTTGGCACTTTGGGGTTTGTTCTGGTTTGGCCTCCCTCGGTCCGCTGGGGTCTTGGGCACTGGGGTCTTTGGTCCGGGTTTAGCTCCAGGTTTGGGACTAGGTTTAGGACTGGGTTTGGGACTGGGTTTGGGACTGGGTTTGGGACTGGGTTTGGGACTGGGTTTGGTTCGGTCTCTGTCTGGTCCCCTGTAGTCCCGATCCGTAGACCTGGTCCCTGGTTTAGACCAGTCTCGATCTCGGTCCTGAGAGAAGCAAAGTCAAAAATTCATGCATTGAAGAGGATTCTTTGCTGTGGAGGTCACGATACAATCATCATACAGATTTAAATAGCAACAATTTGTGATTTAATTTCCATCCAAGTAAGGGATCCCACACTGTTTAACCCTAAACTCATAAAACGAAATGGTGTGAAGTTACACAATTAAATGAAATCTCCTTCACCTTAAACTCTAAACAAAACTCTGGCATGATTTCCTGGTTCAGCCCCGGTCTAGTCCTGGTTCAGATAGGCTCAGTCTTGGTTAAGTTCTGGCTTAGGTTTAGCTGTGGCTTAGTTTTAGCCCTGGTTCCGAATTACTTTGTTTTAGTTCTAGGCCAGTCCTGATCTTTCATTGAACTTTTTACAATACAGTATCAGCCATACCTGAGAGTTGGTCCTGCTGCGTGTCCGTGCGCGCTCAGTAGGGGGTGCGATGGAAGCAGCAGAGGAGCGTGTGGTCACCCTCTGCCTGTTTGGGGTCGCTGTAGGATTGAGGTTTGAGCTGGAGGGAGCACTCTTGCCTTGGGCAGGTTTGGTGATGCGTTCTTTGCTCTTTTTCATCACTTGAAGTTCTTTTTGGTGCCATTTTTTACTGGCAGACTGCAGTGCCAGCAACCGTAACTGCAACTCCGACAGCTCCTCCTCCTCCACCTTTGGCTAACAAATGGACAAAAAAAATAGGATCCAATTTTAAAAGGGTCCAGTTTAATCATGACTAATAAAATTTATTTTCTCCAATAAATTATAATAATGTATGATGTAACTAACCAAAAAATTTGGTCTGTATGCGGCTAAGTTTGTGGCATAGTTTTAACATATATTATGTCTCAAAATTAACATTAGCATTGATACACAAACATCTCCCTTTGTAAAATCAGAAGTGCACTCCAGTGAAGAACATGCTGTCAGTGTTATCCATTTGCAGCTCCTTGTCCACTCCCTGATTCGTCAGAATTTATTAATTTGGTGTGGCTACAATTAGACAGGAAGTAGTGATAAAAAACAGTGAGGTTACCAGCGCCAGAGCATATTTATATCTTAAATCTGTGGTGCTTTCTATGACCATATGAGGGCCATATTTGAACCCCCAGGCCATAGTGTGAACATTCCTGTCTGTCCAAGCAAAGAGGTTAGAAAATGTTGCCTGTTACCTGAAGTAGTATTAATTTTGCTGTACCTTGTCAATGGAGTTGTTAGACTCCACACTTGATACGGAGGACTCTCTCTTGCAGTTTTTTATGGTTTTGGTCTCATCCCCATCATCTCTGCAGCACACACAGGTGACCCCTTTCTGCTCCTTGGTCTCCTCCTTCCTCTCCTCCTCCAGTTTGGACACCTCATGGACTGCTTTATTTTCACTTTCAGATTCACTGCAGCAGCAAACACAAGCCTTCTCTTTTGTTTGTGGTTCTGTTTCTCCGCCATCTTGGATTTTCACCTCTTCACCTACAAACACAGACATTAATGTAAGTAATTCATAATGCTTTGGCAAATTATATTCCAGTTCAAATCCTGGTCTACTCCTGGGCGGGTCCTGCTGTGATCCTACTCTGGTTCTGGTTTAGTTTTAGACTAGTCCAGTTACAGTTCCTGTTTTATTGGTTGCTGCTCTGGTGATGTTTTGTAGTAAATAAGAACCAAATCTAAATTAGAATAAAATCCTCCATACTCACCCTCCTTGTCTGTGTCTATCGTCTCCGCTTGCTCCGCCCACTTCTTTTTCAGTTCGTCCAAATTGGCTGGGACTTTCTGCCGCAGCGGTTTGATATTAAATGCCTGGAATACTTTCTTTTCTTTATCCACAGTCTCCTCCTTGGCGCTTTCACTTTGCTCACTAGCACCCCCTTCAGACTGTGCTTCAATACTGATATTATTATTATCATTATTACAAACAGTACCAGGGTTGTCCTCTGGTTGAGTTTCTTTAACAGGGGAATCTTTAGGTTCTAATGCCATCGTCTCTTCCTTTCGTATACACTCCAGTTCGAGTTGAATTTGTTTGTATCGCGATAATAAGTCTTCAAATGACTCCTCTGCGCTGGTGTCTGGTTTGGCACAATTATAAACAGGTTTTCGAGGCTGGTTTCGCCCCATTGGCTTCTCTGTGGCCGAAAGGTTAAGGAATAGTTAGAAAGGCTGCAGTTTTGAAGAACCCTCTTTTCCTCCACAAACAACAAATCACAGGACAAAAATTAACCTTTCCTGAATACCTTTGGAATGATCTTAAGCTGTATCAGAACAAGCATAAGAGTACATAGACAAGTATACACCCATGGATCACTATGGAATCTACCATCCAGGTAAACTGAGGGACTACACAGATATAAAGTCTCATATAAAAATACTACAATTTAATGTTGAAAATCACATTCTATTGTCTAAAGAAAGTGTTTTTATCATCATCATCGTAGTATAACAGTTTTATTTATGTTCCATCTTCTCTGTTATCTGGTGTATAAAAACACATTCTTCTATTTGTCCTTTGGATAAGAGGAGTTAGAGGACTTTATGAGGCCACAGACAACATAATCTTCTTTTTGTTTTCTTTCAATAGAAGAAACAATGTACATTTGAAGAGCATATACACTTTTAGTACCTACTGGATTTGACAATGTACAGGACACTTTATTGTAGTTTTAAGGAAAAAGGTATCAAATCCAGTTTTTACTCCACTCGTCCCCTCTAGTGCTACAACTAACCCCTAACACAACATAGCCAAAAAGTGCACCTTATAAAGCTTACAGTATGTAACTTTTGGCAAAGTCTGCTCTAGTGAACTGAAGAAAAGAAAGAAGAAAGGCATGCCCTGTCAATCAATTAATTGAGTAAAAAGGGGGCGAGGCAAAAGTGCGCAAAACTACTACATATCTCAATTTATGTGGCCCAAACTGCACTCACAAGACTACACTGCACGCAAAACAACTATTCATGTGGAAAAAAGTACTAGCAAACAATGTATTTACATAGAGAAACTTTTGGGTTTTACATCAATATGAAAATACTTCAGTTAATTCACAGCAGGAATGCAAATTTTTAAGATATTTATGGTCATTAAATTTCTTTTTTAATTTAACCAATGCAGATTATCTGTAATGCTTTAGTGTGGAACATCCACAAACATATCCATGGCAGTACATTTCTTACATACATCCATTACAGGACTACAAGGTTATGCCCCGAGTCTGATAAACAAACAATGACAATCCACTTTGCTAGTTTCAGTTTTGTTTTCTGAGAACGGTTTCTTACTACTAACACAATGACGCCATTAGATTTCTGAGTACATGTAGCACACTCAAAACTAGTTTGATGTATAAACAAGGACAGTGAGCTAGCCTAACCTACGGGGTTAGCAGCTTTTACACAGAATAAAACCCCATGGAAACAGCCCCTTTTTTTTTTGACAATAGAATGGAACTTACATTAGAAAAAAACATGGTTTATTGATGGTTTAATGGTAAGATGGTTTATTATGTAAAATAGACTTTCTGGAGGTTTCTTCTACCATGTCATCAAAAACATGACTGAAGAGGCTTTACCCCGAATTCACACCAGGAGCTGCAGCAGCGCTTAACGTAGGCGGAGCTGCGCGTACGCGTAAATTTCAAAGTTTCAATTCACACCAGAACGTCAGAGTCGCTCCTGCTACGCAGCCTGCACATCTTCTCATTGTTTTCAGACATCACATTTTGTACTTGCTTTTATTTTATCTTAAAAGTGCATTAAGTTAGAATGTGTATTAAGTGTATTGTGAATTAAGTGTACAACTGCAACGCATTTGCGTTTAATGAGGTTTAAATCTATTAGCACGCACATTAAACACCTCCGTTTTTTCCCCTTAATAAGATCAAATCACGTATAATTAACATACATGATGAGTGTGATTAAAATCTTATGTCCGTCCAGGTAATAAGGCCTATACGTTTATATGTTGATACAGAGTCCTGCACCAATGGATAAGGGAAAATAGTCGCTGAAACGGGCGAGTTTTAACGTTCTGGAATTTTAAGGGCGGGTCAGGACTAATTCAGGTCTAAACCAGTTCTAAACCGCGTCTAAACCATGACTAAACCCGGACTAAATCAGATCTAAACCAGGTCTAATCTTAGAGAGAGAGAGAGAGATAGCGAACCCTGAGTCCCGCGGAGCAGGTGTCCGAAAAGCGCGACGGCTGCACATACCTCTTCTCCAAGCTCTGCACCGGTCCTTTCGCTCGCAGACACTCGGGGCTACACGCAATTAATTATCCTTATGGAAGTGTAATATCCACTCTTTAAAAAAAATGTTAAATTTTGTGTTTTTCAGTATCTACTTTAAATAATAGTTGCAGTACTTTTGAGAACCGTATACGAGACATTTCATAGCACCAGATACAGTGGTAACTCCCTACATTCACTTGTACATTGATTTCTATGCCCCTGTGAACAGTAAAGTCCGTGTAATTGAATCCTGGGATCCCTGATGGTTCACACACACAGAAGGATACGTTTCCTGGAGGGAGAGTTGTTCTTGTTCCCATGATTCTCAGCGGCGACGTACCTGCCGATCGCGGCCCTGTTGCCATGGTTACCTTCTCGCCTCCAGTCAGCTCCTCTGCCTCCTCTGGCATGTCTGAACCTCCCCAAAGCTCCATGACTCCGTTCCCAAAAGTTAGAACGCTGAGTTGGCTCTCCATGAACTGAAACACACAGGAAAACAGATAATTTGCAGCTGCTGACATCAATATTCCCTGGGAGTGTGATGCTAATTGGAGGCTCTGCTCTTTCTGACGTTCTGTTACTTAAGTTAGATTTTAATCAGAACTTTGCTTTAACACAATCTGACCAGAAAGAACTGAGTCACAAGCTAGCTTGCATTAACCAACTGTTTTCAGTTAGTCACTCTGACCTTTTAAAGTTTTAGATAGTCTTTACTAATGTGTGCATTGTGTCTCCATGGTAACTGCCTGAACATTACACCACAGAAGTACATCTAAAACACCCCATGCATTATGTCACTGCAGTATACTTATTTTTTTCATTCTGTTCACAGTAGAGAAATTCCCTCGTCACTGGCCTGTCACAGACTATCCAGATGGAAGGTGCTCAGATTGGTGTAGTTCAGAGACAGAGATTGACTCCTTGTGTTAAAAAAACCCTTCAAGAATAAACATTTTCCAAATACAGTTCACCTCAACCTCCACAGCCTCAGTAGAAACCTTTGGAAAGCCCTGTAAAATGTCTATTCTACTGTTGATTTCACAATCCAACAACTCCGGGTATGTTTGCGATGAGGAAACCACATTATAACACAGATGAGAAAATAGCATCAAATTAGTCTTTAACATTCAAAGTCGCTTTATAATTATTATTATTCACCCTTTAGTGACTCTCAGTTGCCCAGGGCAGACTGACTGTTAGACTGCACATTTTTGGATGTGGTACTGAGATTGAGATCATAGACCTTCTCACTACTTAGAGATGGGCTAATTTTTTGAGTCGATGCCAATAACCGCTGAGAGATGATATCTAGTCGATATCTGTATTTATTATCATGTTTTAAATCTGTAACGAGACCCACGTATTTATCTTAAGTTAAAGAATCAACCAAAATTTAGCTTTTCACTTTTGTAAAAATGATAAGAAAATGTATTTATCTGAGATATCAATTCATTTGTTACATGTTTGTATAAATATACAGCCATATAATGCCCTTCTAATTATAATTTTACTTATTAATTCAAAATGAGCGCACAGACTGGGATTGGCATTGAGTATTCATACCAGCTGATAAGATATCAAATAATCAGCACCGATATCGGCCAATACCTACACTTGACATATATTGCCCATCCCTATGATTAGGTTCGAGATTCGTAGCTTTCCTTTTTAAAGAGGAGGCCATTCTACTCTGCGATGTTTGAATGTTTTTTTTTCACTTTATCAAACAACCCAGTCAGTGTTACCGTGTCCTGGGGTCTGAGGCGAGGTCATAGGGGAAGGTAGAGCTGGCCTGTCTGGTCCACTCGGGCCACTCTGCTGCTGCCTGTGGCCAAGAGGGAAGGGCCCACGTGGAGGCCCACGTGGAGGTCCGTGAAGGGGTCCGTGAAGGGGTCCATGAGGGGGTCCGTGAGGGGGTCCGTGAGGGGGTCCGTGAGGGGGTCCGTGAGGGAACGGCATATGCGACCGAAAATCTGGAGGAGAGAAGCAAAGTCATCAAAGGTGTTTGGGACTGACTAGAGTTTATATATATATATAATAACGTATTTTGAAAACAGGTTAGAAAAATATTAGAATGAAAAGTTAGAGGCAAAATACCTATTTGGGTATGTTTTTTTTTTTTAAACTTATCACAACAAACTGTTCAGATTTTTAAATTTGCAACTATGATCTTTGATTTGTGATATTTGATATTTAAAAAAGAGGATAATAAAATGTAAAAGGGACATCTAATCAAAAAGCTAGAATTCATCTTTGGGTTTTCAACACTAAGCATAAAATAGTTTCCTTTGCCATCTTCTCTACACAACAAACTGGTCACATTTATTTGCACTATGATCATTGTATAGTGACCATACAAAATGATAACTAGCTATTCTTTATTACTTTAAATGTCATCTTAATATAGAGGAAAGGGACAGCTAATTTCTCAGCTGTCTAAAGACTTTTAGAAACCAGACAACTCATGTGATAATCTTTGTATATCTGAATATAAAAACGAAAAAATGTAGCTATACTTAAAATGTTTGCTAAAATAAAAAGGGACACTGATTTACTGAAACACTAAGCATAACAATAGAGAATGTCCATTATTGTCCACTGCTGTCTGTCAAAATTACAGCTAATTTATTGAGGCCAATTTCATATTTCCTAAGTTAGTCTTTGTAATATGGATACAACAAAATGAAAAAAATATCTAGATTTTAAATTTCGGCAAAAAATATAAAGAGACAGCTAATTTTTATGGGTAGAGGGGCCTGTCAAATAGACAGGGGACTATTGTTGTCCATCGCTGTTTTAAACTGACTAAATTTGAAGTAGGATTATCTTCATCAAATTGTAGCTACATTTTACATTTCTACTAAAATATAAGGGGACATGTATTTTATAAGAGTGTTTTGGTCCTGTCAAATGGACCCATCTATTGTTATCCAAACATGAATATTTCTAGTTTTATCTATTTATATCCAAACATAATATCTTTTACATTTCTAAGCAGAGGGCCACAATTTTTTAAGGGTGGAGGTGCTGTCAAATGCCATGATCCCGTTTGAGTTTGATCATACGTCCATCTCTTTTTCCTCAGATTAGCAACTCTTTGAGTCGTGTAGTCCCTGTACCTACCTCGGTCCATGAGAGGCGGTATGTTGCCCGGTATGCTGCCCGGTCGGTTACCCGGTGTGGCCCGCGGTGCTCCGTTCCCATCCCCCCGCAGCAAAGGGACATTCTCCTCGGTTTCATCATCGCAGATCTCCCCGTCTTCAAGCTCTCCTTCCTCCTCTCCGGCTCCGGGCGGCTGATTACAGGCGTTTAAATCCATCTTTTTAGATTAGCTACAGCTTCAATATATTATGGATGCTGGTGGTTTAAGAAATTACCGAATGTGTATCGTAAAATTCATGTTGGAGTTCAAAATAAACGCATCCGGCGCTGACACAGATTAGCGGCGGAACGCTAACAGCGCTAGGCTAACGCTTCTACAAGTCTCACTTAGTCTCGCGAGAATTGATCAAAATAGTGCTATTCCGAGACTTGAAGAAATTGTCCAAAATGCGGAGCTTTAAATTCACGTATTCACATGGAGTCCTATTTATCTATTTATAGTTTGGAGCAGCTAATGCGGTGTGTAAATTACAATTTAAATCAAACTTTAACTGAAGCCTAGCTGCTCCCTAGTGGTTGTAGCCCTAAACAACCGCTTAATATACTACGGAACTGACTGACCTGTCCTGACTTTTAGCATTACTCTTTTCACTCTCAACTCTTTTTACTTCTTCAAGATCATGAATCAGATGATTAGTCATCGGGGACATTGTGGGCATCCTTCAGTTAAACAGACTGGGGAACAAGATGCCCAGTGCCCAGGGACCCTTCTTCAGACCCTGGTCAGGAGCACCTCGCAGAAGGACGTTTTCCTCAATGTCTGCGGCTTTTTAGAATCACTCTGAATATTTGGACATGCACTTATGCATTTTTAAATGCCAAAGATAATTACTTTAATCATTTTGGTGGCCATGGTTCCAATCAATGAGGGAACATTGTTTTGAGTGATTTGTCCAAAAATACGAGAGCCAATGGAATACATTTTGAACAGTTTGACAAAATCAAATTACACTGTAAGAAACAGCAGACGGCTGTTTAAAAACATTTGAAAGAATGCATCAAATAATTTGCTCTATGGAAAAACAAATAGAAAACTTAATGATTTGCACAATTAAGTGAAGAATTTGCAGTGACGTTTTCTGTTCTAATAAGAAAAAACGTGTCAAAGCAACTGGGAAAATGTAAGAACTCCTCACTTTTGACAATTAAAGGCATTCCTTTTATGATCATCTAAAGGTGTTGTGAAGTCTCAAATTCAGTGTTCCATTCAGTCATGTTTGAGTCACCCTGTATGCTTAAAGCAAGGTACTGCTCTTAAATTGCAGACGTGAGGTTCTATTACTGCCAGTAGATGGGGCTTTGCACCCAGTTTTCAGTTCAGTGCCTATCATCTACCACTGGCCTGCTGTAGATGACACCTACTTATGTAGCAACCCTGGTTTCTACTGGCTTCTATGGGCACCTGGATGACTTATGGCCTATTCATACTTTGCGGTGACATCACGTGGTGTGTTGAACATGTATGTGTATGGCGGAATGTTCAGCAGTTACCCCGGTGACACAGTGCACACATTAGCAAACACTGTTTATGTACTGTAGAACTTCTGTACTTCTATATAATAATTAATTTTATGCTCAACCCAAGCGACAATTATGAATATTGAACTGTTTTATTAGAACCTTACCATTTTATATGGAGGTTAGCACATTTTAACGCCTCTGTGACTTTTTGGCACAACCATCCATCAAATTCTACTGTATAAAAGTAGTATAAAGTATAACAAAATTAAATTAAACTAAACAGTTAGGGGGAGGGGGTAACTTGGCAGGTTCACTGATTGTCTGCAAATTTGTATTAATCAACTTTTATTTTTTACTGTAAAACACAAATAGGTCGTTATAGTATTTTTGTATTAATCTATGTTGCCATCCCTGGTCATATTCGACTTTGTTGCTTGACTATGGCGCCACCTTCTGGAGGGGTTGAGCAGGGCAGTTCAGTCATATGCTCAGCTGCACAGTCAGTACTCTGTGGGTCGACCAGCGAAGGATCAGGTGGGGGTCGGTAAAACACAAAGGCTAAGATGAAAAATAGTATTGCTGCAATCTGAAAAAAGACAGATTCAAATGTGATATAAATCAGTTCAGACAGAATTAAAACCACTTACTTACAAGTCAAGATTCTATACAGAAAGGAATATACTAAGGCTAAATGTCCATTCTTAAACTTAAGCTAACCCTTCATTTTGCACGAGACAAAGGAATATTTGAATTCTCTTTAGCAGTGACGGGAGGGGTTAAGGCACAAACAGAGCCAATTCAGATGCACACATCAGATAAAGAATTTCAAGCAACAATAATGCACACTGCTGTCATCTGCTGAAAGCATAATATATGTAATATGTTATGGATATTACATACATTATATATGTCACACCTTCTACCACCATCTACATTTAGTTAGCCACAGCACACACTCCATTTGCTTCACTGCTGTGGAGTTTACAAGCGTATTAAATGAGATTCATGTTGCTTAACAAGGAACCATTAACATGTTGTATTTTACTGAACAAGTCAAATCTAGCATTGCTTTTCTAAGACACCTAATGGAAATCAAAACACTGCAGCACAGAGGATGTGTCCTGTGTAAGGCAATTCTTAGCCTTCATACCCAGGAAAGGGTAGGGTCAAGGTTATGGGGTACATACCTTGTATACAACACAGGCTATGAGAAGGTAGAAACTCATCTGAGAGTTTTCGTAGAAGAAACAGGAGCCCTGGTCTTTATTCTGCCACAGGAGACAGGCCTTGTCAATCAGAGTCCCAAACACTATGGGGCTCGGGATATTACCTGTCCATACAGATTACACAGGGACATTAGAAAGAACATGTCCCTCAGCGACTGAACAACAAACAGAAGAACTGTCATCTCACCCAGAGTGCGCACAAGGATCCACTGGATTCCCAGAGCAAAAGACTTCTGCCTCTCTGGAACACACCTGCACACACACATCCATACATCCCAGGTTTATCTACCGATACTTTGTGCCTATGTCATCAACATTCCCTGGAGGTGTGATGCTACTGTAGGCACTGCTCTGTCTGAAAGTGTGTATGACAGGTTCTGATGATTCTAAAATGTTGACATAATTTGGTAGGATAATACTGCTGAGCATTTAGCCATAGGTATACAGGCAGAACACCACCAACATGACGTCACTGCAACGTATCAGTACACCTGCACAGACACATATCCATACATCCCAGGTTTATGTCCACACCTGCACAGCCAGGAGCACACATTAGCGTCACCTTCCACACATGTAAAGTCTGCTAAAGTTATATCCACTTTATTCTTGTGATGTTCAAGGACATTGTAAATTCCATTGGCCATTATATACAGTCAAACTTCCTCCAACTCAACTGCAGCAAAACTGAAATAATCATTATCGGCCCCAAAACACTAACCAGAACTCACAATAACTTCTCCCTCTCCACTGATGGCTCCTCAGTCCCCTCTTCCTCCCACCTCTGTAACCTCAGCATCCTCTCTGACCAGACCCTTTCCTTTGAACACCACGTCAACACATCACTAAAACCGCCTTCTATCACCTCCGGAACATTGCTCGTCTCTGCCCATCCCTCTCCCCTCAGTCTGCTGAAACCCTCATCCATGCTTTTGTCACCTCCCGCCTCGACTACTGCAATAGCCTGTTCTAAGGTTCACCCTCCAAACTCCTCAATAGACTTCAGTACATACAGAATTCTGCTGCCCGCCTCCTCACTCGCACCTCCTCCCGTGAACACATCACCCCTCTCCTCAGAGATCTCCACTGGCTTCCCGTCCCCCAGCACATTCAGTTCAAACTCCTCACCATTGTGGACATGTCCCTCCACAACCTGGTCCCCACCTACCTCTCTGAGCTCCTCCACCACCACACACCCCCGCCCGTGCCCTCCGATCAGCTGATGCCAACCTCCTGTCTCCCCCCGCCAAGACTAAACATAAGACCTGGGGGGACAGGGCCTTCTCCACTGCTGCCCCCACCCTCTGGAACTCCCTGCCCAAACACATCAGAGACTCATCCACACTCCTCATGTTTAAAAAAGCCCTGAAAACCCATCTCTTTAAAAAAACTTTCATTAACTGTCTTTTTCTCTTGTTTGTTGTTGCTTGTCTTCCCATGTAAAGCGTCTTTGAGTATCTTGAAAAGCTCTATACAAGTGTTATGTATTATTATTATTATTATTATTATTATCAGTCTTCTTTTTAACAGCTAATTTTAATGTGCCCATATTACACTATTTTCAGATTTACTAGTTATACTGTTGTTTCCTCATCACAAACATTTACACATTTTAACACACAAATCCTGTATATTAAGACTGCATTCTTCCCTCAAACTGAAAAAAATTCTGTTCCACCTTGGGATGTCATGTGGTAATACAGGAAGTGCTCCACTGTGTTTTTAAAGTGCATACACATAGGGCTGTCGTAATAACCGCAAAAATGAATCACAGCAGTACTAAAAGGCCCACCGCGGTGCATGTTGGGCCACTGCGATAACTGCACGTGATCAACGTGACCCGACCCAGAGTCCTGCACGGGTCCATTTTTAGAGACCCGCACCTGCCCGGACCCATTAACATTCCACCCGTTACCGCCTGTGGCCGTGATAAGGCAGGACTAACCCGGGACTAACCCAGGACTGACCCAGGCCGCATAGACCGTCTGATGATCGCAGGCGAAAAGACCGGCACAGAACTCCACGCCGCACAGAGGTAAACGCAGCCTTCACCCGAACTAACGCGCTTTGTGGACACCTGCTCCACGTGCTCGGGGTTCTCTCTCCCTTAAGTCCTTGGGTACCCGAGCCAGTGCAGGACTCTGACCCGAGCTGCCACAGTGAGAGCTGGAGAGATGCAGCGGCACTTGTCCCAAAGCCAAATGCTATATCCGTGTGACACCCAAGATAGGCCTACATGTGCATTTGCGCAACAAGCACATCATTGGAGAGAGTTTTCAGTGCGGCTGGAAATATTATAACTCCGGGGGATGGGGGAGGGGGTACGGTATCATCGCATACCACGCTGTTGAGCCGCTATACCGCACCACAGGAGCAGGTGAAATTCCCTAACCGCAACAGCCCTACATACACCTTCACTAGACTCATCTGGGTCATTTCAGCTCTGTAATTGACAGTCTCTAGAGAACAAAAAGTAAATGGTAGCTGTTAATTTGAAACTACAGCTTTGTGACATCATAAGGGAAAACAGAGCACTTTGAGCTCTGGAGATGTAGACAGATTACTCAAACATATGCAAATGAAACAAAACATCCAGGTATATTTTTTAATAAGGTAAACAATATTAAAACCTGACTTAAAATTCACAAGAGTCAATTCTGTGTAATATAGTAGCTGCTTTTGGTCTTTGGACTAAAATATTTTTTAGTTTTAGTAAAAATTTAGTCAAATATATATATATATATTTTTTTTTTAGTTTCAGAAATTGTAAGTACCGTAATTTAAAAAAAAAATCTGTGGCTCGCTAGTGTGATATGCAGCTATGATGATGAATATTGTGATTCATAATATTTAATTTATAACATAATGATCCATGGGTGTCATAGATTATAACTATAGCACAGACACAAGCATGTCTTCTCTAGTGGGAAACACTAATACTGTATTTCATCATGTACTCAAAGAACACATCTGGGGTTCCTCTAACTTTGGTATTGCAAAGGGGGAGCTTGGATCTCCACTTGTCTCTGTAATTCATGTCTTTATTTTTTATTAGTAAGCAAATATAGCCATACTTTTGTCTCATTTCTGTTTGTTACATTACTGTATGTTGTGCTAATCCATACTAAATAAATATGACATTTTTAAGCAGAGAACTGACTGAGTCTAAATGAGACTGACCTGAGTGTTGCGGTGATGGGGGCTAGGTAGGAGAAGGTGGTCAAAAACGCTGAGATGGTCATGAGGGTCAGAAAGAGAGGAATTAAGGAGCAGGAGCCTTTACACTGTCCTGCTACAGCCACGCGCTCATGAGCCCAGGAGACATTACCCATCACACAACTGCAGCCTGTGTACACCTACAGTGACAGGAGAGATTATAACATTTTTTGTTAAAAAAATAATAATAATAATAAAGATAGGTAGATAAATATAGATATAGACATATATAATTGAAATAAATGTACATTTTACTAAGAGAGAGATGTCAGATTAGCAATACTATACTACTATACTAGTAAATATATAAGTGTCTGAGAACTGTGTGAATGCATGAGCAATGTTCCAAATGATGTTTGATTCAAATTTTCAAATTAAATAAAGAAAAAGTTTTTAAATGATTGCAAAAAACTAACACTCAAGCTCACTTCCTATTTCCACAGTTAGCTCTGTTCATTTATACAGACCCAGTCTGAACAGGTGAGGCTGATCAGAAGTAAACTATATTTTGACAATACCGTTTTTTTTTTTTTTTTTTTTATGGAAATGTACTCATACTCATTTTATCATTTAAATCCCTTAGTCAAACAGAAAATATGTTTTTATTGTAACTCTTAAAGTAGTATATGTTTAGTGCTGAGCGGGACATGTGCAGGTGTGTTTTGGATGGCAGTTTTTCTGGAAACAGACTGTTTCCTGCATTTGTGAAGTGTTGAACCTGTTGTCACTGACATTCACTTGGAGCTCCCAGTCAATGCCTGATCTGACGATGGATTGATTTTTAGCTTGGGCTCTGCAAAAACCCTACAGGGATAGAATAAGAGTAGAAAAGCACTGGTGCTTCCTCTGACCTAACCTGTCCAGCCAGAAAGCTTTAACAAAACACAAAGATAAATGGGTCTGGATCCTGTCTCCACAATTCCAGAGGGCGGATTAATCAATCAGAGAGAGGCATGCTCTGCTCCATTAAAAAGCACCACTCTCCACTCCATGGAAGCACCACACTCTTATTTAGGAGGTAAAAGAAGTTATATATTTTGCTGTCAATGTTGCTAGAGTTTTGGAGAGATGTCTTCTGCATGTGAGAGATTCTTGCTACAAATTAGCAGCTGTGGTTGGACCGTCCCAAGATTGGACAGAGGTTTGTCACACTCTGTGATCCTGTTCCAGACCTTTCTGGGTTCAAACAGGAGGTAGAAGAGACAGGCTGCTCAGGTAACCTCTGACTGGAGGTAGACAGCTATTCACCTATGCTCAAAGGATTAAAGTTTTGTCAGTAAGGTAACTAGTTATCTGTGTATGTTACCTCTCCACTGGATGTGAGGTTGATGGAGGTACAGCCGGCGTAGCAGGGAGAGAAGTACATGACATGATCTGCTCCACACACAGGCCTGAACACTTTGTCACAAGTGCAGTTAATGTTACACTGAGATGTAAGCTGCTCATTCACAGAGGAGCTGCAAAATATCCAAAACAAAGAGGGTCAAAGCACAAGACTTTTTACTTAAGCTACATTTACATGCTTTGGAGAGGACATCCAGTTATGAACTAGAGTGTTGTGTGGAGGTTATGTGGCAATGGCAGATATACATTTTATTTATTCAAACACACACAGTCTGTAAAAAATATGATAAGGCCTAGATAGAACACAGGTTGGCCATGGGTTGTGCCGACCATCTTGTGAGCGGAACATGAGCGAAATTCAGCATGATGCTTGCTTGAGTCCCACCTGTTCAGCTGATGTAGACTGGTCCTGTCTATCTTCTCTAACATAGGGTTCTCCAGCTGATTTGGGTATGGCACATTTACACCAGCCAAGGGAACAGTTGGGCAGTGGATGAAGAACATGAAATTTGCAAACAGTCCGAGCACAGTACATACAATGCAAAATCCGATCATGCCTCGAATTTGCATCTTAAATCTTTTCATAAAGTAGCTACCAAAGAGAGTCCCAAGTCCTGAGATTGGAATCATTATACCTATGAGAGAATAAAGGGAACAGAGTAGTTGTCACAGAAAGGAAATACTTAAAGGGCCTATATTAAGCTATTTTCTAATCTTTTTTAATGATCAGAAACATACCTGGAGTTGTGTCTTTGCACTGTTTTCCTTACGACCTCTTGTATATAGCTGAGATTTTTTATTACTTACCTTTCTATTTTATCTTGACTTGTACATTTATATAATTCTGCCTTATTTGACACCTGTCTCTTGATATCTTTTTTTGCTACTTATATAGAAATTATTACTACCATTTGTGTTTTTTACTCTTTGTAATTATATTATAATGTGATATCTGAGCTACTGTGTCCAAATAATTTCCCTTGTGGATTAATTAAGTCTAGTAAAGCTTTTCTCAAACATGTGTCAGTAAAACAAAACAGATATGCTTTTGATGAGGTAACAACATTCTAAGATGATTAAAAGCTCACAAGAGTAAATTGTACATAATACAGGACCTTAAAAAACTAATTGTTACAACAAATAATTATTATTTAGCCTTAAATAATAAGATAACCTTACCGAAAAGCATTGCTGCATCCGAAGAACTGAGTCTAAACTGTGACTGAATGTACTTGATCAAAAATGCACTCAGAGCTGATAACTGCCCAGACACTGGAGCTCCAGCCAAACACAGAAACATGAAAGTGGGATTTGTACAGAGAAGAAGAACAGATCTAAAAAGTATTATTGTTAGACTGTTTTGTCAATAATACAAATGTGTACAGTTTGACAGCAGTCTTACCTCAGCATGTCTTTGAGAGTGTGTCTGTACTGTGCTTCTGATACTGTGGTGAGGCTGCCCTCTTTGTCCTGGGGAGGCTCACATGTAGTAATGGTCCCCTGGGAGCCTGGGGCAGAGAGCACACAAAAACCTGTGTAGTATTCAGCTCACACTCAATATGGACATAATATTTGATTACCTTGTAGTTTTTTAGGATACCCCAGAATGGCAAAACCAACTGGAAGACTCAGAGTTCCACACAAAATGAACCCAATCCACCAGGCCCCCACCCACAAAGGACTTGCTGGAGTCATCTCTGTGCTTTGACATCAAGCATCACACATTTCATCTTTGTTCCATATTAAATCTTTTTGACACTACTTAACATCAGACTTACTCGAGTGTTACTTCAGAATAAAAGCTGAGGAAGTATCCCCCCAACAGTGAACCAACTGCTGGGCCAAACGTGGCCGCTGTGTAGAAGATGCCTGAAGAGAAACTGGCATATATTAAAAAAAAAACATATAAAAGCATAAACAGACACATAAACATGAATGTTTAACTCACCCATATAAATTGGTGCATTGCTTGCTTTGACATTATCATCCAGAAAAGTGAATCCTAATGTGAAAAGAGGTGTTGCTCCAATGCCATGTAAAATCTGTCCCAAAATGAAGACAAAGAAATAGTTGGACAGCCCATCACTGGCCCTGTTATCGGAGAAGTCAGAGCTGTTGGCTGAACACAGATCTGATTTCTCTGGAGCAGTGGCCTGGTATGGAGGTGTGGTGAAGTGAGGAAGGGCAAACACCAAAGAGCCCAAACCCATGATCATGATGCCCTGGCCCAGCCAACGAGGCTTGTGCCCATTCCCCCCAAAGTAACTGGCAAAAGGCAGACACACACAGGCAGCAATGTCATAAGCACTGACGATGAGGCCGGACTGGGAGCTGCTCAGGTCAAAGCGCCTCTCGATGGAGGTCACTACAGAGCCAACAAAGCCGTTTATGATCATACCTTGGAGTAAAGCAGCCATAGACAGAAAGAAAAGAACCCAGTGAGGAGTGTTGAACACTTGGAGAGCTTTGAGCCTCAGAGACCCCCAGCCACACAGCAGGTCCGAGTCCTGCTCCACTGGACTGTGTCCACATTGAGCAGGCCCTAGCTCACATAACTGTCCCTGGAAGGACGTGGCTCCAGTGAAAACAGCAGCATGAGCAGAAACATCAGCTCCAAAACTGGAGGGGCTCCTGGGAGCAGAGCCAATGGGACTGTGGCTCTGGGACTCCATACCAGGATCTTCATCTGGAGGGTGGCCCTGAATGTCCAAAAGCTTCTGCCTGAAGCTCGAGGAAGCATCTGCACTCAGCTGCCCGGACATTGGTATTGAGTCAGGCAAGTGAAGTAGTTGTTCTTGTCTTAAATTGGAGATTATCCTGGATGCACAGGAGATCCTCAAGGGCTCTTGCACTATGATGATGATTAACCTGCATATCACATACCAAACTTCAAATAATTGCATTATTATACAACTGGTGGTTCTCAGACTCTAGAATGTGATTATGTCATTCCCGTAGATGGAGCCAAGAGTAAGCTTTCCCTACTGATTACATTGTACTTTGCCATGAAATATGCAAAAGATTCACAAATGTTGAACCTGATTTCCATTAGTGACTAGACCCATTAACTTCTTGTATTAAAACAAACAGCTGCATTTTAACACTATTCATTTTAGCTGCCCCCCATCTGTATTAAATAATATAGGCCTATAGAATGTTGTGATGTCACCTAAAACCCAGCAATTCCTTAATAATACATGCTATTTGTAGATACATTGCAAAGCCCTCAAAGTTAAAAACATGACAGAATTCAAATAAATAGAAAATGATTAATACACAAAAGGTATGGTTTCAGATGGAACAGGAGGGTTTACAGATGGAAACATAGAGACACAGTGATTAGGTGGTAGATTATTCAAAAGGAGCAGGAGCTGCCAGTAGGGGTGCAGGGGGAATGGCAGCGCTCTGGAGGGCCTACTTTGCTATGAAGTAAAGGCACAATAATGCGGCAGGTTGAATCGTTATATTTTTATGATACCTTTTATTGCCATTGTTTAAACCAGTCAAGGTTATGCCACATGAAGCATTTTATGTTACATTAATTAACATTAATTAATTATTAACATCTTTGTATTTGGATTAGGTTGTCAAATATAATACAAGATGGATGGAGGTGGGAAATATGAATTTACTTACTGCAATTGAACTAATCACACAATCACACAATGAATCACACAGTGAAATACAAAAGTACAAACTTGCACACATGTTAAGCAATGAGGTTGGAGTCCTACCTTAGAAATGAGTCCAATAAACAGTGTGAAAGTTTCCCTCATTTGAAATTGTGAGGTGGAACTTAAGACAGAGAGCTCCTCCTCCATCACAAACCACTCCAAGAGAGACACTTTTCAGATGTGATGATCTATGGACTTTACAAGACCTGTTATTAAACATTCTGGAACTATATGACCGTGCAAAATCCAAGTGAAATCAAACTTTACACGAAGAGACAATGTCAAATTTTCTAAACCAGAACTATTAGTCCGGTTCCTTATATTCAGTTTTTAACCTTAGTGGGAATTTTTTGAGGATTTGCTAAACTATATATTTTTGGAAAGCTTATAGTATATGGAGCCAGAAAATCAATATTTGCATTTGCCCAGATGTCTATATAGCGGCCATATTGAAATTTTAAAATGTCCGCCGTAAATGTAAAAATTCTAGTATCTCGACTTCTGAATAAAGGGAAATGTTGATTTTTACTGCTAAACCCATATTGTAAGGGTCAAGGAATCCAATGGTGCTAGTTACACATTACCATATTAATCCTTCAGTACATGAGTAGGTAATAATAACCCATTGTGGTTGTTTTCTTGCAATATGTCTGTAAGGAAAAGTTAATATTTCATGCTGAAGCTGTTCTTCAAAAAAAAAAAAAAAAAAAAAGATTTTGTATAGCACTCACTAAAACATTTAATATATAACTGTGTGAATGATTACAAAGACACACACTGCAGGCTTTCTAGAATGGGTACTGAGAATGATACACACATACAGTAGTTCCTGTTGAAAGATTTTATTTACAGTGATGTTTTGAGCCAATAGCTCTTCCTCAGACTTGTTATATCAGAAGTGGGATCCCTTAAGTGCATTTACAGAGCATCTAACATATAGATAGTAACTATTATCTTTCTTTTAATTCAGAAGATATATAATATATTTTAAGAACATATTTAAACATAAATGACTACAGCTAAATAGTTAATATTACCATATAGAATGTGTCATATATCACTTTGGCTCCTCAGAATTCTCATTTATTCAGTGAGTAAAAACACTACACTATATAATTATTATTATAATTATTATTATAATAATAATTATTATTAATAATAACAACAACAACAACAACAACAACAATAATAATAATAATATAATAATAATAATAATAATAATAATAATAATAATAATAATAAAAGTCCAAGTGTTCTTGGGGAGATGCAGATTTGCAGCTTCCTGGCAGCCTGGTTAGAGAGGGGAGAGAGTTCAGCATCCTAACAGCCTGGTGGATGAAGCTGTTAGTGAGCTTGCCTTACTCACAATCACATTCAGGCTGGGCTCCAGGGGCCTGGTGCTACACCCAGAGACAGGGAACCTTCCTAGTCAGGCTGGGCCTCTGGAACCTCCCTGGTACTCTGGCTCCAGCGAAGGAGAGTCATGGTTCTCTACCAAGGGACAGAGTGCTTTCCCTGGGTTAGAGTAGTCAAGCTGAGCCCCTGGGGCCTGAGCACCAGGGATGCTCAAGAGGCCACTCTTGGTGCTACACACAGAGACAGGGAGCCTTCTCTGGGTCAAATTAATCAGGCTAGGCTCTTGGATGCTCCCTAGTACTCTGCCTCTGACAGGTCTGTCCAAGGCCTCCACACATAGACCCAGCGCACCTCTCAAACACATGCTGAAAAAAGAACCTTATAACATAAACATTCTAGTAAAACCAGCTGAATCCAATGGCAAAGCTTTGGTAAACTGGTTGAACACATTTTGGACCATTTCATAGAACCATTAAACACTTTTTGCACCTTATTTGACTGGATTTCAGAAATCTTTATACAGTATGTTATTTCATTTCAGAGATATGGACCGTTTTTCAAGCAAAAACACATTTTTGGTTGCTCTGACAAATCACTAGGAAATCATAAATTGTGGATTTTTACAGATCTCTCCTGTTAAGAAAAGGTAAAATTAGCGATTTTTACCATTCAACCCCAACTCACCCCATTACACCTTTTGTAGGCCTGTATACAAACAGAACTAGTTTTATTTTTTGTTTTTTTTAATGCTTTCCTATGGAGTTCTGTGGGATTTATAGTGATTGTGCCTATGTGTATTTAGGAGGGTTCTGGGGTCATATACTTGCCTGGGGTGGGTTGTGGGTGTATTTGGTACTAAATGGGTGTAAGGGGATATGTGTGTATATGTTCACATACATGGGTCTGTGTGGGGGTGACAGGGGTCACATTGTCATTGTGTAAAAATGTGAGAAGATGTAAATATTATGATCATTCTTGAAATAGTGGACTCAAAAAAAAACAAAAAACAATCAAACATAACATTTTGAACACATCTGAACACACACTGACAGGGGAAAAACAGGTATCAAGTGTAATAAAATTGGAATTACTCTATACATACATTTTCAATGTTTATCAGTAGAGGCATAAACAGTGACAGATATATACATTTGAAAACACACATGCACGCACGTACACACACAGACACACACGCACACATGCACGTGCACACGCACACACGCACACGCACACACAGGCACACACAAATTCCCAAACAAACATTCAGTGCACTTTGAGACTCCTCTAGAACACACCCATATCATTTTAAGCTCAAATATCTATGTCTCTGGCCTTCAGTGTGGACTAATAAGTTCAAATGTCTTTCTATTGATATAACCTTATAATGGAAGGTACACAGTAAATAGAAAAATATAAAAAATTTCAAAAGACATTAAAACTAAATATTTTGAAAGGTTTTCAAAACCAAAGAATGAAAATAAAAAAGTAAATGTATACTGACAAAGTTATGGCGGTAAAAAAAGCCATTTTGAATGGAAGTCAACGGGACAAAAATGTACCTAAGGTGTGTGTGTATTTTCATTAAGGACCTTTCAATTAATGTGATATTGAAAAAAAAAAAAACAACAGAAATTAAAAATGCATCACAAAATACACAAACTGGCCAGTGTTTTTATGATATGTGATCCAATATAGCCAACGTTATGCAAAAAATAGAAGACGTGATGTACACAATTGTACCTAGGGTTGTAGGAGGGTTATAATGATTACATTCTAGGCCAGAGAAAGCATATAAAATCTTTTGAAAAGTATCTCCAGATCAGCTGTCATTATCCTTCTGCATGTACACTGCAATGTCTTCTGCTCCTGCTGAGTGTGTCCTCTTCTCCTGTAACTGTACTGTATCCTGCAACATTTGAATCTTCCCTCCCAAAATTTTAGGGAAGGGAATTCCAGAGGGAGAAGCTTCAGTACAAATCATAATAAAGTCATGTTTCCTCAGCCTGATTAAAACATGCACGTCAAACATCAGTCACAATCAAGCGACCCAATGTAAGACTTAAACATTTTGGACAGAGAATCATAAAGAAGTGTTTGCAACTTGAGCAACCCCTCTCAGACCATTTTTTCTGTGTGGCAAGATAGGGTTCTATATGTTTATGAATTATAACAATATAAAAAAATGTCAAAAGAGTGCAAATGTGCTCAGCAAATGATTAATTACAACCAAATCTTTCTGACCTCTTCAGTTAATTCTCCAGTTAAAGGCTCCAGAATACAGTGAAAACATACACTTCTAAAATGAACACCACATTATTCATGTTAGCAAAAAGCACAACTTATTTTAAAGGAAAGTGCAGTTTTTGATTTTTACCTCAGTAGTGTTTGGACAATCGACATTTTAAAAGATAACATAAACAGAACAAAGACAATATGGCAGATATTTTGAAACATCATTCATATATAAGAATTGTCCTTAAAGTGTTCATGTGGAGTTATGGCCAATAGACCTTCCTCAAATTTTATTGAGTTTTGTTTTTTTTAACTGATTAAACTTCCTTATCAGTGGTGGTTCTACTTGTGCTTAATTTGGTCAAATAAATGATTTGTGAATTTCAGATTTGTGTGTCTCCTTTTTAGTCAAACATTTGCAGTAACATTACTAGGAAAAAATAAGTATTCATTATTTTAAGTGTTTAAGTTATCACTACTAATATAACATTAGTTTACAG